GGCGATGGAGTCTAAGCGCGGGCACACCTGGATTCCGTCGAAAAGGCGGCGAGCTTGGGACCCTGGCGCCCCGGTCTCGCTTCTTGTGATATTTTTCTGGTAGTGGTGAGTATATTTGTTTGGGGAGGGGAGGGGCTTTTTTTGCAAAAAAAAGAAGAAAAGAAAGAAAGACAAGAAAACAAGGAGATCCCACCCAAAGGATTGATAAATTTGAGAACTGCGTCCCAAGCCCAAGCTTACTTGGGTGTTTTGACGAATAGCTCTCAACATTTGAAAACCCAAGCCTTGCTCAAGCGCAAGGCAAACCAAGGAGAGGACTCCGGAGATCTTTTCGGATGGTCAGACCTCTCACAGAAGCCATGGGCCGTTTGGAGGGGATCGCAAGCCTCGTTTTGCACGGGGCTCTGTGGGATAAATTGCCACTCCAAGATGGCTTCCACCCCCAAACCACTACCGGCGGCTTAATGGGATCTACCACCACCACAAGCCACGAGATATGGTTTATGCACCCCAATTTCCTCTGGGAGTAGTGGTTTGGGGGGGAGTGGAAACCATGTTTGAAGCACAACTCTCCCAGCCCAATCTTCGCAGCTGGCACTTGGCAACTGCGCCATACTCTCAAACCCCCGCATGCTGCCCGCACAAAACCATTCGCCCCAAAGATAATTGCATAAACTCCAGGGGCAACTTCCCCATTCTTTCCAGGGATCCTTGTTTCTGGAAAACCACCAAAAACCCTGGGGAAATGGATCTGGTTATTGAAAAGAACGATGGCTGAAAAGAATGGAAAGGAATCAACCCCTAGAAAAATCTTTGCCGGGGGCGCCCGGGAGAAGATCCGCAGGAACTGGCCAGAGTTCAGGTTGCCACCATGACGCTCGAACCTCGGTGCATTCGTGCCCAGGTCTGTGGCGTGAGGTTCGATTGGTGAGCAAAGCTTTTCGGGGTTAGGAGATTGTGTGAAGCTTCAAATGTAAAGCTGCAATCTCCAACTCGCAGTGTCAGTGCCCCGCAACAAAATCATTGGCTGAAGGGGCCTTGCTTCCAAAGAAAAAAATATACTGATTCGTGTCCGACACTCCCACAGCACATCCCAGGCCGCAACTGCTGCTCCAGCCACCGCAAAGACCTGTGCTGCGCCCCATCTTCTGGAGCTTCGCTTTCGAACAAGGCAGCCGTAGGGAGTTTGGGTCTGTATGGGTTTGTCGTTCCCACCGCCCCCATAATGGTTGTCCTTTTGGTGTTCCCTTAAAACCGCCAAAAACCGGGGGGGGGGGGGGGGACGCTCAAAAAAGAGACTATGTAAACCGAGGTTGCAGCGCCAGCTGTTGCTCAGTCAAAGCATCGGTAGGGCCGTTCTCAGCAATTTGACGGTCAGGGGCTTGCTAGCGCTCGAGACGTATTCTCACGATCTGACATCCGAACCAACCCTCAAGGTGAGCCCTGTTCAAAGTGAGTCTGCCAGGGTCTTCTTTTGATTGCTTCGTGCGCCTGCTTGGGCCTCAAAGTGACCCAAAGATCGGTCAGATCACTCGTAGTCAAACCCAGATTAAACCCGCACTCCAACTGCATGTGACTCCAACTGCATGTCTTGCTTTTTGCGGGGCCCTGTTTCGCCTTTTTTAAAGGAAAGCCACAAAGGAACACCACCCCAAAACGTGGGCCCCCTAAAAACAGACTCTGAAGCACACAAGCCCAGCGAGTTTCAGGGCCCCTGGCTGTGAGTTCAGGCTGCGGAGGAAACTCTCGAAGGTCTCCCGCACCAACTGCCTGGCACCACATCCGAATGGTGAACTCTTCTGCCACGTGGGCAGCTTGTTTGGCACCTGATTCTTGCTTGCCTTTAAGGGAAACCAACGCAAAACCAGCCTTTGCAGGGTTCCCCCAAAAAGAGACAAACCCAAGTCTCCTTTCAAGAAAAGCTTCCTGCATCCCAGTAACCAGTAGCTCTGCAACCTTGACAGAAGTTGACACAATGCTATGGTGCTATGGTTGACTCACTTCCTGAGAGGATTGGCCAAACAAAGTCGGCACTGTTTGTTTACCACCATGTTTTTTCTGCCCAAAAAATGACTAAAGTCCATAAACTCGGTGAGTCGTGGTTTCAACGGAAAACCAAAAGGAAAACCACTAAAAAAGACGAGCCACCCAACTGGGGCTTTTTAGCTTCAAAGCCCAAACCGAGCTTCCGCTTCAAACGGCTCGGCGCAGTGCCTGAGCTTCACATACGTCACGTGAGCTGCCGCTTGTTCCTCGGGCAAATCAATGCCTCGGCCGCGTCCGGAAAGTTGGTTGGGCGAATTGGTTGGGGAAATGTGGCCATGGCTCAAAACCGTGATGGGATCCCATTTTGGGGGTTTTAGGTGCACCACCCATTTTAGGACCTATTTTAGTGGAGATTGAATCGGATGTTCACTGCGGTTGGTTTGAGGGAACCATCCGTACCATGAAATCGCTGTCGGGCAACTGGCTAGATTTCTGGCTCGGAGCCCGGCGGTTTGGAGGTTAGCTTCAAATCCAATCCACAAAAGGTTGCCTGAGAAGCCCCCACCTACTCGCAACCAAAAACGCGGGGCTCCGCCTCCATCATTTGCGTGACTTTCAATTTGCACAAAGTGACAATGTAGTATGGTGAGGGTCCCTTTGTCTTGCCCACTTGAGGGCATGAAGGGATGCTCATGGCTTGGGATTGGAGCACATTGATAATGAATCCAAGGGGTTGAGCTGGAACATTCCATGGCGAAGCTGTAGCCGTAGCCAGGCTTCGAAAGGCTTGCCATAAGTTCACTTACCCAGGGTGCAATTGCGAGATGTGTGAGAGCTTTTCAAGTCTGACACTTAGGACTTGCTGCTACATGTATCAAAGTAGCAAGTCCAAAAAACCTCAACTTTGTCCATCGAGAGCGCAACAATTGATGTGGCGTCTTTGATTCGAATGAATGTGTTGGTGGTGGTTGATCCAAATGTCCATCGTCAACTCTTAGTGGGCGACACCAACCGCCAAGGTCGTTGACTGCTTTCTTACATGATTGTTTGACTCTGACATAAGCCTAAACGCGCACACGTTGGCGCATTCAACAATACACACATCACCCACTTGCGCCAGCATTGCGGCCCTCGCATCTCATGGACATGCGCCCTCTATTCGGCGCGGTTCAAATAGCCAGTTGCAACGGACCGGAAGTCGGAGGTGCCCCTGCCCAAAACAACAGAGTCATTTACCACCCCATCACAAAAGTCTCAAGTACTTGGACCTTTGGTTGTTTATCCAAACATGTGTCTCTTGTGTTGGCAAGATTCGTATCCAAGCAAGGATTCCTGTTCTTGGCCGGGCTCGTATTTGGAAACCTCTGCTTGTTGGGGAGAAAGGCAAATCAGCATTTGTAGCTTTTCCCTTTAAACCAACTTCAATCAGGGATACCCGTTTCTCTTGCCCTAGCCGCACCCCAAACAAAACAAAAAAGAAGAAGAAGAAGAAGAAGAAGAAGACATCCATGACTTCCTTTCCCTTTTTTGTGGGCCCCCTGCGCGCTTCTGTTCCGCGCTTGGCCATTGACCTGCGTCTTTTGTCGGAGCGAGCCGAATGGGTGCTTTGGTGTTCCGGTTGCCGATGTCCCATAAGCCACAGCTTCAAATCCAAACCAATTCAGCAACTAGAGGTCATCTGACTTGCGTCGCGTCCCTGGAAAAACTAAGAAATGACTTCCCCTGAACACCAAGATGGGAAAATAACACATACGCCTACGCCAATAGAAGGATTGGTGGTTAGGTTAGGCCCAACCAATCGGGGTCAGCATGAACATATGTTTCGACTCGTTTGGACAACAACGACCTGGGGGGGTGATTCTGTGTTGCCATCCGCAGCATTGCTTGCAAGGCTAGGGGGCCTGCTGTCCTCCAGATCGGCTTCCTTTTCCTTTTGGCTTGTCGCCTCTTTGCCATCCAAAAAGAACAGAAAGGTACCTCCTGGAAGGTTGGCTTTTCTACAAGGGCTGCTGTTAGTGCTTCTCAGTCTCCCCCAAAAGTGGGTTCCCTTATTTAAAGACAGACCTGGTGACGATCCTGCACCTCTAAGCAGATCTGAGCCGAGCTTCGTGGTTGAGAATCGCACGTCTCCAGGGTTTCCTATACTTCTTATTGGTGGTTTTAAGCACTACCATTTGGCCTATGTAGCCCTTGCTAGGTGATGGGTGTGGAAGTATCTGGAACCCTCACGAAGTAGACTGCGGCTCCATCACTGCAAGCGTGGTGAGAGAAAACCGCCTGAGGGAAGCGATTTTTTTGTGGCTTAGCAGAAAACCAACAGGGAGACCCCGTTGCGCCATCTTGGGGGCTCCGATTCCCTAAAAAGTGACTTCTGTGTCAAACAGTTGCAACTCCTTGTGTGCGTGACATTCATACCGGGCTGTTTTGACTTATCAGTCCGCTGACTGTGCGCACCGACGCCTGGGTCAGAAGCGAAGCATGGGCTCATTCACGCGCCCGCACGAGCGGGAACCCGCAGAAAGGGCACGTGGGGCGAAGTTCTCTTCGTGTTGGCCCTCGGCATGGCTGGTGCAGGCTGGCGCTGGCCATGTTTGCGGCTTGATGATGCTTGTGAATCGCCCCGTTTTCCATGTCTATAGTCTATTGCATCCGGTAGCCAAAGGAAAAAGCGCGGCCGTGCAAAAGTCGCGCCCATTCCAAGTGCAGAAGTCCGCCGCTCTGAACATTTACCGGCTCGGATATCTGAAGGGAGACTGAAAGCCGTATTGGATCAACCAAATGAAACACGTGAAGCATCAGACGAACGGGGACACAAGTTGTAAGCGGCCCATCCATTCACATGGAACCAAGAGGAAAGTGGTCTCACTCCCTGGCAGACAAAACGAGTGTAGCTCAGTTGCCCCTTAGGGAGCCAGAAACAAAAGGCTAACCTTGGGGCTATGACTCCAAATGGACCAAAAAGGGGGCAACCCAAGGGTCAGCATCCTGGACGAGCTGACAACTTGGCGACTCTCCTCCAACAGGTCGAGGGCCTGCCGTCCGTGAGTCGCAGGTGTCCGGAAAATACACGGGCACGTTCTCCACTTGGGGACCTTTGGGTGACCGGGTGGACATCATTCAGGTGGAGATTTGTGTCCACTAGCCATTTTGAGGGGTTCCCCATTAAATTTCAGGGTTGGGGAACCCCCGATTTTAAGACCAGCCCAAGAGTCGTGGCCCTTTTTGTGTGGCTAAGTTGCGGCTGAGGTGTGGTCCTTTGTTTTCAATGATGTTGGTGAGGTGTGGTTTTCGGTCATTCCTGTATCTTTACGACGAGCATCACGAGATCACAGAGACGTTCGACGTATACTTTGACACTCAAGTCGAGGAGAGGCAGCCAAGCATGGGTAAGCAGCTGACAACAAAAAACTGTGTTATGCTTCTATTAAAAAAAACACACACATCCATTTTGCTCTTGAGGGTTGGGGGGGGGTCTACCGAAATTGCGAGTCTCTTGAACTCTTGAACCAATAAGGGCCTAAGCCGCAGGACATAGGCAAACTTTGCTCCCAGCAATTGAAGTTATTAAATGCTTACCTGGAAATGCTGTGCTCGCCCATGTTCCTGTCTTCACATGTGTGGAAAGATGGCAGATGAGCCTCTCGCCAAACTTGCTGAGAGTTGAGTTCCAAGTTGAAACATATATATATATATATATATATATATATATGGCCCAACCCCCAAACCCCCCAACCCCGCACACCCCCACACCACACCCCAACCCTGAACACCCCTAACCCCCCACACACCCCAACCCAACCCCCCCCCACACCCCCAACCCAAGATGACAGCCCCCTCCCCACCCCCGTCATCGGAGTCGCCTCCGCTCGGAGCCCGCCCTTCAAACAGGCGCTGATCGCAGTGTTGAAGGTCACCGCGTCCGGGCGCACCTGGCGCAAACTAAAACACCGCCTTTGTGCGTCGCCTCTGTTTTTTTATGGCCTGGGGGGAGGGGGGGGGGCGCAGTAGTTCTGTTGGGGGGGTCCCTGAATTTGCGGGGTCCCTGACAAGCCTGAGTCATGATTTCGGGGTGGACACCTTGCTTTTAATAATAACGCCAAAAGGGAATCAACATGAATCAACCACTTTGGCGGGTCCCTTTGAGACAAACCCGGTTCAAGGCCGCCTATGGCTGTTGCAGTCTGGCGAACAAGAAGCACCAACATACAAACCGCGTGCACACGTCTCATGGGCAAATGGATCCAGACTCATCACTGCTCCATAGCGGCCCTAGTTTACTCGCCAGAAGAGGGCCAAGAAGAACTAAGCAGAGAAAGCGCTGGGAATCGACAACGATCGGCATGGCCAACACGCAGAGAACCGGGGTGCGTTCAGCCCCAAGTGATTCATCCAATACTACTGGACTGGGTGGACTCTTCCACCCGCCAGGGTATGAGTGCATTGCACTGAAAAGACGCCTTCAGAGGATCTTGATAATGGGCGAGCCCAGTGAGCTCGCTTTAAGAGGGATTCCCTGAAATTGGTATGTGTTAAAATAGGGAGAAAGGACTCCCAAAATGGCGGCTGATTGTTTTGGCTTTCCTTCAAACCACCCCAATGAGGGGTGCCTCTCCTCCCGTCCAACAAGTCCTGGAAGATGGTTTTCCTTGTTTTCCTTGAAAAGGGAGGCTCCAGGGTGGGTTCCGTGGGTTCCATGTGGAGGGTACCTCCAAAAACTGCACTTCGATCCATTCCTCCGCACTCCGCACTCCGCACGGCCTGGCTGTCGGCCATGTCCTGCAGTAGCCTGGCCCGCAGTTCACGGATTCGCGTGCAAGAACATCTATTAACAAAGTTACAACATGGGTCTGCTATGTTAGATTGTACCCTTTTTGGGATGGTTTTAAAAGGGAAAACCCTCATTTTGGAGGGGTCCCCTAGAAAAAGAAAGACTCACCCACATGCCCTGGAGTTCAGGAATGGGCCATGCAGGCGAGGCGGATTCGTTTGGACGGCAAATCGATTCTCAGGATGCGGCTGCAACGCCTCCTCGCCACGGAAAGCTTTCTCGCACCTTGGCCAATGCGTGCGCCAGAGGCTCGATTTGTCCGAGAGAACCAAAGAGGCACATGGCACATGGCGAGACCCAAACTCGAGGCAAGAACACACCGACGAAAAATGACCCCAAAACAGCACTGGAGACATCGCATGAACGTGACTGCATTTGAGGAAGGCCAGGCGCTTTGCAACAAATTATGAAGGTGCTTAACCAAGCATTGCCTCGTCCAAAGCCGAGGCACGCGTTGATGGCGCTGTTGTAGGTGCGTGTCTGCGGTTTCAGGCCTTGCTCCTTCATGCGCTGAATCAGCTGAATGGCCTGCTTCCACTCCCCGCTCCTGGGCAGCTTGGCCGAATATGATCCATGACACGTTGGACTCAGAGCTAACGTTGACATGTTGACACCTGCAAGGGATGCGCATTTAGTTTGTTGTGGCCAAACAGCAGGCCGCTCAAATCATATAATGTTGACCCAGGATGAATAAACCCGACCCATTTTTAGGGGGAGTTCCCTCCAAAAGTGATGAATCCCCACTAAAAGGGGACCCCCCCTATTAGTCAACCAGGGGTTTATTAGTCCGGGGGTTAACATTTATGCGCAATGACTCCTGGCACATGCGTTGATGGCAGCATTGTAGGTGATGACGTCCGGCGTCAGCTTTCTCTCTGGCATGCCATCCAAGAGCTGTAAAGCACGCTGGGACTCGCCCGCCTGCGCGCACGCGTTAATCGCGGCATTGAAAATCCGGACGTCAGCTCGTATCCCCGCTCGCTCCATCTCTGCAAGCAGTTGCAAGGCCTCTTTCCAATGGCCAGTACTAGCACAGGCTGAAATAGCACTTGTGTAGGAGATGACATCTGGAATGATCTTTGCATCCCACATCTCCGCCACCAGTTCAATGGCCTCCTTCCACCTCTTGTTCCGCGAAAGGGCCATGATGGCCGCATTGTAGGTAATCACGTCTGGGCTGACACCTTTCCTGTCAGGGTTGCACACATGTCGCAAGGGTATCCTGCAAAATGGAAACAAGATAAGCTGCTATGCATGTTGTGCAAATGATTTTGCATGTGGTACATGTATATATATATATGTATATATTTATTATATATACATAGATATCCTATGTATATATATATATATATGGTCACCCCCCCCCCAGGGCCTACCTTTGCCCTCTTCTAGTTGAAGGTGTCAACTCTACTCTGTGTGCCTCTTTCTTGCAGATGCCTGAAACACTGTAAAATACAGTGTTTTGTTGTTTTTTTTTACCTTCTATATGACAGCAGATGTCTGATTCTTTGAGGCTTGAAAGGCAGCAAAGCGAAAACGGATTCCGTTTTCAGATTCGAGCCTGGCTTTGATTGAATCACTGGTTTTTACAGTGGTTTTGAGTACACCAGGGAAAAACATTGAAAAAATGATGTTTTTGGCAGCTTTGAGCTCTGCAACCTGCACAGACCCAAAAGCACAAAATCTCCTGAAAATGAAAGCTCTGAGACCTGCACATGCCAAACACATCTCCAGACCAAGTTTGGGAGTCTGGGGATATGTGCCCTTTATTTGTTTAGCCACAGTTAAGCTAAATCATATTTGGGAATGAGTTACTATTAAAATTTGTTTGCAAAGGCCAAGTGATTTCTTTCCAGAATAAGCTATATTCCAATTCAAGTTGTATTTGGGGATGGATTCTTAATCAAATTATTATGTTCAAAAGCTAATTGAACTCTGTCTGCATTAAAGTATATTTGGATTCTACTGCAATGATATTTTCCTTATTTGGAAAGGTATTCCTGTTCAAATTCTGATCTAATATAGACATTATGGTGAATTATGAATGGTGGTGAACTATGTGCTTGCTAAATTCTATTCAATATGCAAATTCAATTCGGATCAAAAATCGTATTTGGAAAGGAATGTGTACTTGGATATGTTGGACTCCAGGCTCCAAAATATGAGGCTTGGAGAATCCAACATTAGACATCTCGAGGATTCTGATCTCCAGATTCTAGGTTTCAGGTGCTTCACCATGGACATTTCAAGGGATTGCAGGTCCAACAAAAAACTGTAAAACAAAGTGTTTCGAAGAAATTGCCCAGATTGTGTTCCCTTGGGCCGAAGATTGTTCGTTTCCCAAAAAACATTTTGCCCCCTTCAACATTCCAATTCAATTCGTGTTGGAGTACTCCAGGCTCCAAAATATGAGGCTTGGAGAATCCAACATTAGACATCTCGAGGATTCTGATCTCCAGATTCTAGGTTTCAGGTGCTTCACCATGGACATTTCAAGGGATTGCAGGTCCAACAAAAAACTGTAAAACAAAGTGTTTCGAAGAAATTGCCCAGATTGTGTTCCCTTGGGCCGAAGATTGTTCGTTTCCCAAAAAACATTTTGCCCCCTTCAACATTCCAATTCAATTCGTGTTGGAGTACTCCAGGCTCCAAATTATGAGGCTTGGAGAATCCAACATTAGACATCTCAAGGATTCTGATCTCCAGATTCTAGGTTTCAGGTGTTTCAAATTGGACATTTGAAGGGATTAGAGATCCAACAAAATGCTGTAAAACAGAGTGTTTTGCAGCAGTTGCTCAGATTGTGTTCCCTTGGACCGAATGGACAGCCTTTGATATAACAGTGCAGCAGTGATGACACACACACAATCATCAACCTTTTAGGACCACATGCCCAAACCACATCAAACAAGGCCTCAAATGAGTGTCCTTTTTTTCCCAAACAACAGTCTCCACTTGCTGCGCAATAAGCCTACAGAAGGTTTATAAACTTTCAGGAAAGTTTATAAACCTTATTGAGTGTTTGACGAGTTTCCCGCGTCAAGGTTCATGGTATCGTTGAAGGAGGGGGGGGGGGGGTTGGTTGGAAAGGGGGGGAGGGGGGGGGGGGGGGTGGGTTGGTTGGAAGTCTTAGCAGTGAGGTGTGACTCAGCCAACTTTGTAAAGACTTCTCAGTACCCCCCCCTGCCCTTGTTGCAGGGAAACCGTCAAACCCTTGACATGGTTTATAAACTGTCTTGAAAGTTTATAAACTCTTTGCTGTTGTTACTCAACATGACTTGTCACCCACAAACAAATATGCAGCAACAGCACACTTCTTGCGTATATATGCTCACACCCCCTGTCTTTAAAAATAAGAGGGTTTTGTACATTTTGAAGTGGAAAGGTAGGCCCTGGGGGGGGGGGTGAGCATATATATATATATACTGTACTATGTATACATATATATATATATATATACAGAAGGGCCCCTCATGGGGGGTGGGTTTTTGAAACACAGGGATTTAGCAGTTTTGGGGGTATGTTTCTTTGATGCTTCAAGAAAATCCAAAAAAACCTCGAGTTTCCCCATGAGGGGACGCTCTCTCTATATATATATATATGTATTGTATGTGTGTGTATATACATACCCTTGCCAGGTGTTTTCAAGCGAGGCTGCTGCCTCTCCATGTCCACCAGCATGCCGACGGCCTCCCGCCAAAGCCCCAGCTGGCCTAAGACCTTCCAGGGCTTTGTGAACGCCCGCCCACCACTGTAGTGGGGTGGGATTGGGGTTGGGGTTGGGGTTGGGGTTGGGGTTGGGGTTGGGGTTGGGGTTGGGGTTGGGGTTGGGGTTGGGGTTGGGGTTGGGGTTGGGGTTGGGGTTGGGTGGAGTGGGGTTGGGTTGCGTGGCTCGTCTTTTTGGAGGGTACCCTTGTTTGCAAGTGTACGCCTGAGTTTGATGTGATGGTTGCCGCGTTTTAACGGCCAAATCGCGCGGGGCCACGAACAACGACTTAGCCGTGTTTTCAAGGGAAGCATGAGAGACAAACCCAAATAGCTGGATTCGCTTCAGGGCAAGGGCAGCCAGTTGTTGAGTGACCCGTTTGGGTGTTCCTTGTCTTGAGCTGGGTACCCTTTGGGTGTCGTAAAGAGAAATGAAAGGAAACCCGAAGCCCATCCTGGGGGCTCCATATTGACGGAGTGTCCCTTGTTCCATCGGTGTGCTTTACTTGCAAGATTGAGTCGTACATCGTCATCCACTGTCATCGTCATCCATTCGGGTCTGTACGAAAATAGATAAGAAAACACATTTGGATGGTTTCAAGGGAAACCAACCACATGGGGTCCCAAATTCTCACTTACTCCTTTACCAAAAAACATGGAACCCAAAAGGGGGCCATTTCCCAAAGACGAGTTTCTTCCCCTGACGGGAGCACCTCGGAGTAACGTCCCCAACTGTGTCCTTTTTGGAAAATAGACGATTGAACCACCAGGTAAGCCAGGAATCGCCCTCTATTTTTCAACCAAATCAAGCAAAAAGGACACCTAGGCCTGAAGCTGGCAATCCTTAGGTAAATGATGATGACAAGAAACTTGATCACCAGGGTCCCTACTTACATTTGCCTTCCCATGGCAACGATATTCCCCCGCTTTTTCTGGGCCCCTGCCTTGATCACCAAGGTGTACTCCCGTGCCTCTGTCAAGAGCCGTCGCTGCTGCAGGGCCGCCACCGTCTCAGCCAACTCCTTGGGCCGCGTGAGGGTGCTCCGCAGCTTGTCCAGGAGGCTGCGCTTGTCCTCGTCCTGAGGACATCCCTCCCGAAATAGCAGTGACCGGTTTCTGCCCTTTGGTCTCCCGGGAGAAAAACAACTGCAAAGAAAATACCCCTACAAAAAGACACACCCAGGTAGAGCCGCTTTGTTTTGGTCACATTGGATGCCTCACCTAAGACATCGGGACAAGCCTTGTATGGGGGCTCAATCAGACTTAAAACAAGAACACAAAACTTAGCACACTCTTTTGTATGGGGAGGGGGGTAATCATTGATTTGTTGTAGTTTAAAAAAAAAAAGCGGGTCCTCCTCATTGAAGCGCCAGCTGGCCTTGGCCGGAGTCTCTCTCAGCTGTTGGCTGGACAAAACCCTCAGTGCCTGGTGCACAGAATGACCTTCCTCTTCACACCCACCAGTTTGTTTGTTCTTTTCTGCGCATGGCCTTCCACCTCTCTGACCTATACATCAGAAATGGACGGTCTATTGCAGTGGCGCTAACTTCTCTGCTTCACGGGTCACGTCCAGCCCTTCCAGAACTTCCCTTGATACCAATCTGGGCGGGCCTTGGTTTGTGGGCACTTGTTGAAGGGTGTTTTTTCTCGTTGGAAACCAAAGGAAGAAACCCTTTTCCTTGGGTTCCCCAAGAGCTCAGCCGGTCCCGCCTTGGACTTCATGGTGCGAAATGAACTCCCATACCGCGGCTGCGCAAAGCACCAGGCCCCGGAAATGAACGCGAGCAGCGCCCAGGCGCGCCAGCTCCCCCGGTTAGGGGCCATCGCCGAACGAAGTTCTCTCGTCTTCTCGGCTCGGCCTATCTAATGCTAGTCCTTTTGCCTGGAAGCACTGAAATGAAGGTCGGTACCAAGGCTCTCACGAAAAACATGTGATGTCCGAAACGAGGGGCGTGGCTATGAGTGGGCTGTGGAGGTGTCAACCACATGCCGGAGAGTCGCATTTGAATGCTCTGGGAGAGGAGAATCCGTTCCATTGTCATCTTGCTTGATGTTCGGTCATGTCAGACTGAAGCTAACAGCTCAAGATGTGAAACGCAAGCGACCGGCGATCATTCGCATTCACTGCCATGAAATCGAAGGGCTGTTCGGCTATCAAAGCTGTTGTTGCATATACCTGCCGCGTTCTCTTACAATACAGCACCCAAGTTTTGCACTCGGGCATGTCCTTCCAGACATCGCCATGGAATAAGCCAAGGTCCACAACCAAACCGCTTTTGGGGAGCAACTACAAGGCCGCTGTTGTGCCATTTTCGGCTAGTAGGATGGCTTCAGAAAGGGCCCATTACATCCCATGCGCCCAGTGCGCGGAATCTTTAAGACCAGCTCCTGGCAATTCCACAGAAACCTTTGGTGTTAGGCAATGTTGGCCCCAGTTCCTAGGGGCCGTCCTAGTAGGTCCCCTGCAAAAGTGATGAAACCCTTACAAGTAAAGCCGGCGAAACAGGTGGGCGGACGTTTCAAACAACATAGAACTATAGTTTGTGTTGTCTTTATTGCTTTTGTTCTTGTTCTGTTTCTCTTCTTTATTTTCATGTTTTCATTTCTTTCCTGCTGTTTTTCTTTCGTTGTTTCTTTGCTTGTTTCTCTTCTTTCTTTCGTTTTGTCCTTCCTGCCTTTCTTCCTTCCTTCCTTTCTTCCTTCGTTCCTCCCTCCCTCCCTCCCTCCCTCCCTCCCTCCCTCCCTCCTTTCTCCCTCCCTTCTTTTTTTTTTCCTTGCTTCCTTCCTTCCTTCCTTCCTTCCTTCCCTCCCTCCTTCCTTTCTTCATTAATTTTCAGTCTTGCCTTTTTTCCCTTCCCTTCTTCCTTTATTTAATGTCCTTTCCTTCTTTTTGGTCGCCGTTGTTCGGCTTTCTGATCATTGTTCGTACTCCATGAGTAGTGTCCTTGACTATTGCGCGAGGATCTGGGATTGCTCCCGGACTTCCGGCAACTACCTGATGACTACATGGTTTGATCTTTCCAAAACAAGATCGGAAATACAAAGGCCCCTGGCACACAACTTTTGAAATGCCCTGGCACTCCAGACGGTTGTGCCACATGTTAAGTATGGGCACACGAATAGATGCGGGCGTCAAAATGGGGCGTGATTCAAGCACTTCGAATTCTCGGGAGAATAGCGCACTTCGAAGACGAATGCGAGACGATGCGATTTCTTCGATCGGACAGCTGTCCAGTTGCTCTCGCCGTTCCTCCTTTGCTTGCTGATCCGGCGTCTGCCCAGTTGTCCAGTTCTCTCTTCGTTCCTCCTTTGCTTGCTGATCCACAGCTGTCCAGTTGCTCTCGCCGTTCCTCCTTTGCTTGCTGATCCGGCGTCTGCCCAGTTGTCCAGTTCTCTCTTCGTTCCTGCTTTGCTTGCTAATCTTGTGTCTGCCGAGTTGTCCAGTTGCTCTCTTCGTTCCTGCTTTGCTTGCTGATCCTTTGTCTGTCCAGCTACCCAACTGCTTCCGGTCACACCCTACCGACAAAGCCGCCCAATTTTTGCGCCGATTTGGTCTGCCAGCTTTTCAAAGCCGTAGGCTCGCAGCTTGCGTCGCACCAGCTCCTCCACCGCCGCCTCGGAGTCCGTTCGTGGCTTCTTGCGTAGACTCCTATTTGAGTACTCATGTCAATGTAAAGGTAAACGTGGCTCCTTTACGGGTTTTTCCCATGTCTCCCCCCCCCTCGGGTTCCCCGTTTGCCAAATGTGATCCAATATCCTTTATATTTCCCAAATGTTTTTCCATGGCTTTAGTGCTTCCCGCCCAGCTTCAAAGTCTGAGAAACATGGGAAGCCATGGTGAAAACATTGGGCAATATGGGAAAATTAAAAGTCATGTGGGTCGAGTTTGCATGCACGATCAACCCATGGAAAACATTGAGAAAAAAAACGTAGGGGAAAAACATTGGGGAAAGGCGAGGAAACACGGGTGGGAGAGGGGTGGGCACGGAACAAAACATTGGAAAATCCGCCGACAACAGGCGCCGCGTTGGACGTAAGAAATGCTCCTCACCTCTTTATCTGTTACCCCTCCCCTTACCCCTCCCCAGGGGCACGGCTGCGGGGGGGGGAGGGTCCACGTACCACTAAATCCTTTCTTCTGGGGGCTGTGCGGAACACAGTTGCGTCAAATCATTGGGGTGTTCGATTCCCCCAGGCCTCAGCACCTCCTGGGCAACATCCAGCATCACCTGCATCATCCGCATCAGCACCTGCCAAGGATGCGGATGATGCAAGTGATGCTGGGGATGTTGCCCGTGCTGGTGAAGGAACATCTCAAAACTAAGGAAAATGCACGGAAGTGAATGACATGAAGTGAAACGAAAGAAAGGGGGAAAAGGGGGAAAATATTTTTAAGGGGGGAACTGGGGAGAAGATCGGGGGCGGGGGGGGGGAGGGAAAGATCTTGGGGGACAAAGGACTCAGGGGTGGAAAGGGGGGAAAGGATCTCAACCGGGAAAAAGGGAAAAGATCTCGAGAAGGAAAAGGGAGAAGATCTTGGGGGGAAAAGGCCGTAGGGGGGGAAAGGGGAGAAATGATCTCAACAGGGAAAGGGGTGGAAAAGATCTCAGGGAGGAAAGGGAGAAGATCTGGGGAAAAAAGCCCAACAAGGAAAGGGGGGAAGATCTTAGGGAGGAAAAGGGCGAAGATCTCAGGGGGGAAAGGGGGGGAAAGATCTTAGGGAGGAAAGGGAGAAGATCTGGGTGGAAAAGGCCTTAGAGGGGTAAAGGGGGGAAAGGATCTCAATAGGGAGGAAGGGAGAAGATCTGGTGGAAAAAAAGGGGAAAAGATCCTAGAGAGGAAAAGGGAGAAGATCTCAGGAGGCCTCAGCAAGGAAAGGGGGACAGGATCTCAACAGGGAAAGGTGGAAAAGATCTTGGGAAGGAAAAGGGAGAAGATCTGGGGGGAAAAAGGCCTTACGGGTGGAAAGGGGGGAAATGATTTCAACAGGGTGGAAGCGATCTTAGGCAGGAAAGGGAAAAAGCCAACAGGGAAAGGGGGGAAAAGATCATAGGGAGGAGATCTTCTCCCCCTTCCCCTCTAAGGTCTTTGCCCCCCTTTCCCTGTTGAGATCATTTCTCCCCTTTCCCCCGCTAAGGCCCAGATCTTCTCCCTTTCCTCCCTAAGATCTTCCCCCCCTTTCCCTGTTGAGATCCTTTCCCCCCCTTCCCCCCTAAGGCTTTTTCCCCCCTGAGATCTCCCTAAGATCTTTCCCCCTCTTTCCCTGTTAGCCTTTTTCCACCAGATCTTCTCCCTTTCCTCCCTAAGATCTTTTCCACACCTTTCCCTGTTGAGATCATTTCTCCGCTTTCCCCCCCTGAGGCCTTTTCCCCCCAGATCTTCCCCCTTTCCTCCCTAAAATCTTTCGGGGAAAGGGAGAAGATCTTGGGGAGGAAAAAGGAGAAGATTTCAGGGGGGAAAGGCCTTTGGGGGGAAACGAGGGAAAGGATCTCAATAGGGAAAGGTGGGCAAAGATCTTAGGGAGGAAAATGGAGCTCAACAAGGAAAGGGGGGAAAACATTTTAGGGAGGAAAAGGGAGAAGATCTCAGGGGGGCAAAAGGCCTTAGGGGGGAAAGGGGGAAAGGATCTCAACAGGGAAAGGGGGGCAAAGACCTTAGAGGGGAAGGGGGGCAAGGGGTCAATTCCAAAGGGACGCAAATAAGAAAGCAGGCCTGCAACGTCGGCGGCCTGGTTAAAATATCGGGAAACATGTCACACTGTCGGGCGACAAGCCTAGGGTTTCAGGCTCACTGGACACAAGGGGCAAGTGGAATCCTGGCGCCGTCAAAAGCGGCTGGTGCATATGAATCCCTACCCAAATTCCACAGGAACATTCATGATGCCAAGTGGTGGAGCCCCTTTTTTGTTGCTACTAAAAATTAAACCCAGAAGGATACCAACCAAGACCGGGGACCAATTCCTATCTTGAGAACACCCACGCTTTCTGTGCCCAAGTTGGCAATTCCGCTTTGATCACTTTACACGGGGGCCCGACGGGTTTTAAAGGAAAGCCAAAAGCAAAACCAAGATCCATTCTCTGGGTCCAACCTTCAAGTCGAGGCATTTCTCTGCTAGTTAGAGGCGACCTTGTTCATCCACATTTTGTCATCCAGTCATAGGGTCCCGCCTACACATTTCTAACTCAAATCATCAACAATCCCGGTAAAATACATTGGGGATATTGGATTGGGAAATGAGGAGGGGCAAGGCTTCGGTAGATAGTCACCACCACGGCTTATTCCATGAAAGCATACAACAACTACAACATATAAAGTCTTACATGTTGTAACTAAAGGAACATCAAGGTGTCAAAGCTTTTTGTTTGTGTACGAAATGTTGCTCTTCTTCTTGTTTTGCCGATAGTGTTTTTGCAATTTCAATACACAATGCACCGTTCTTGGTATAATGACAGATCATAAGATCATAGCATAACGGATTGCCTACAGTGTGGGTTGAAATGTCTTGCTGTAATCGTGTTTTTCTGTTGTGTTGATTTTTGCGCCTTTCTTTTCTCTCTACAACACCCAATAGTTTTCATGCAAACTGCTGTCCTTGTTATTTCCAGACTCTTTCTAGACTTTTCCATTTCTTACATTTTGCGCATTTAGATTCTACTGAGTCTGTCATTAGTCAAAAGGGGATCTACCCTTTGAACCCTTCAGGAATAAACCCCTGCCTCCTCGTGAATCTAAACTAAGATTGACGAGCAAGCGCAACTTTATGGATAAAGTTGCTTTTCCTCGTCATGATCAACACGGTCGAATAGCAGATTCCTTGAAAGTATGTGGGCGGCAGACCAAACCGGGTGATCATTTGGTTCTGGCGGGCAATTACCGAAGGGTTATGGACGGTTCCAGAGCGTTACGAACATACATTTAGGCACGCTAGGGCATACCGAAGATTGCGTGTGCCATTCTAGAGCGCTGGGCTTCGCTTCCTGTATTTGTTTGTGGCTAAATGAATGTTTTTTGTACTTTATGAATGCTACTTGTTCTATCAACTTCTTTACATTGAAAACTGTTTGCTTGATTTTGTAGATCAACCATATCTACCACTATGACAAATGAAACTTTTAAAACGGAACTGTTTAATATCTAAAAAACCACTTTTTTAAAGTTTTTAAACTCCTTACCTTGAACCATCATTCTAACGATGTATTTAAATCCTCCTGTGTATGACCGCATATTCATGCTTGGTCCAAATACAAGTAATCATAACCATGAACAACACTGAATAAGAGAACCATATACTTTTTGCCTTGTGTATGAGTGAGAACAAATATGAAAACAAACCCCATTATAACTGTCGTCTCCGGTTTGTCCATCTAACTCAAGTGCCCCAAAATGTGAACTTGCTAGCCTTGAGCCCCCTCTTACAAAATTGAAGATTTTGTAACTTGTATATCAACTTGTCTGATTTTTGTTTCTATTCGTGCCACACATTCTTGGAAAGATAATATATGCTCTCGTGTTTGCATGTACTCTTAAATTCGTGGAGTCTTCCGAGCTGTGATTTTCTTCATTCTCACTTCGACCAATACCCATGTTATACTGGTATCTAGGCTATTTTTTAATAAGTTAAAAAATACAAAGCGCTACAGTATTTTTTAATATTGTAATAACAGCCTGGTGCCTGGTGCCCAAAAAAGAAATGGGTTATTCTAGGACTTGTTTTGTGAAATTGTTAGTAGAGATTTATAAGTTGAATATTTCTACATTGAACACACTACCAGTTTAAAACACAGAAAACAACAACACAAGTATGACAGTGAACAATCAAACAGTAAAAACCAAAACATCCATATTATTGGTGTATAAATATGAAGCGAGACAAAGAGATAGAGAGAAAATACAATATCAAAACCTTCCTTGAACCAAGCGGCAATGAATATACAAACAAAACTGGTAAAATGAAAACATGGAGAGAGTCAGTGAAGCAAAAAAGCCGAAATATCGGCTAGAAAAAGAAGATGCTAAGCAAACATCTACAGACTGCCAATACAGAAATAGACGTGTCAGAAAAGAAAAAGTGAAAACATGTGAATGTGGAACAGTTGTAAGTCAGAAGCATTTGAAGCGGCACTTCTTGTCTTTGAAACATATGGAATTTTCAATCAATACACAATTGACAAGATTTACTGAAAATAAGAATTGTTTAGATTTCATGTTTTCAATTTCCTTTTCCAACTTTTCCCTCCCCCCCTCCCCCCCTCCCCCCACTCCCCTCCCCGCGCGCGCCTTGTGGGCCGCATCCAGCTCCTCCTCCGTCGCCGCGGCTGTGGCCGGCAGCCCCAGGCCCTGCGCCGCCACCTGCAGCCGCGCCGCCGCCTCTGCCAGGCCCTTCAGCTCGGGCGGCCTCCAGGGCCAAATGTGCATGCGTACATGTGTACGTATATATATATATATATTTCCATGTAGATACATATATACACCTTTGTATATATATATATATGCTACCCCCCGCCCCCCCCCAAGTTCCCAAGTTTGGGCTTGGTTCAGATGTGCTTTGACCGCAGAAGCACGCAGGAAGAATAGCTCAGATTTGCACACTGGGAGACCAGACGAAGGAGGTTTGCTTCATTGAAGAAAGACGCCTTGGACGTGACCCATGCCCTTTTTTTAATGGCTCTTCACAAAATTCAATTCACATATCTTCCCACACAAACCATGCCTTCTTTCAAAGGCTCTTCCACAGATAACTCACATATCTTCCCACACAAACCATGCCTTGTTTCAAAGACTCTTCCACAGAAAATTTACACATCCTCTCACCCAACACATGTGTTTTTACATGTCTTCTTTCAATGAAACAAAGGCAGCATATGTGAAAGAGTTGCCAAGGAAAGTGAACCCTGTGTAGAATAAATCCAGACTATGGCTGGGACAGTTTGTGTTACATAAATGGTGGTTTTACATGATATTTACTGTCTGTTGCTGTACTTTTATGAACCACTGTAACCCTGACTCTTCCACAAGACCCACATATCATCTCACACAAAACATGTCTTTTTCAATAACTCTTCTCTACAGAAAATTCACATACCCTCTCACCCAGAACATGTCTTCTTTCACAAAGGTTCACATATCCTCTCACCAAAACATGTCATTTTTCAAAGGCTCTTCCACGGAAAATTAACATATCTTCCCACACAACCCCTTCTTTCAAAGACCCTTCCACAGAATATTCACATATCATATCACACAAAGCATGTCTTGTCAATAACTCTTCTCTACAGAAAATTCATTCATCCTCTCACCAAAAACATTGTTTTTACATGCCTTCTTTCACAAAGGTTCACATATCCTCAAAACATGTCTTTTTGCATGCCTTCTTTCACCAGGAATCACATATCCTCTCACCAAACCCATGCCCTTTGTCAATGGCTCTTCCACACAAAATTCAATTCACATATCTTCCCACACAAACCATGCCTTCTTTCAAAGGCTCTTCCACAGATAGCTCACATATCTTCCAACACAAACCATGCCTTGTTTCAATCCACAGAAAATTCACACATCCTCTCACCCAACACATGTCTTTTTACATGTCTTCTTTCAATGAAACAAAGGCAGCATATGTGAAAGAGTTGCCAAGGAAAGTGAACCATGTGTAGAATAAATCCAGGCTATGGCTGGGACAGTTTGTGCTACATAAATGGTGGTTTTACATGATATTTACTGTCTGTTGCTGTACTTTTATGAACCACTGTAACCCTGACTCTTCCACAAAGACTCACATATCATCTCACACAAAACATGTCTTTTTCAATAACTCTTCTCTACAGAAAATTACATATCCTCTCACCCAGAACATGCCTTCTTTCACAAAGGTTCACATATCCTCTCATGCTCCGCAAATGTTGCGCAACATTTGGAATTTGTTGCGCAACATTTCCCTGGACCAAAAAACAAAAAACAAAAAACCAAAAACAAAAAACAAAGAATCCCAGCCATGGTGGGGGCTAGGATTGGCTTCTTGTTGTTTTTTGGGTTTTTGCTTTTTTGGTGTTTTGGTGTTTTGGTTTTTTGGGTCCACAAAATGGCCTTGCAGAAAATGCATGAGTTCAATCAAAATACACTGTAAATATCAATGGTTTTGATACATGATGCAACAACACCTGGGTACTGGGGGGGTACCATATATATATATACACGTCGATATGTGTATATATATATATATGTATAGAAAGTGAGATGGTATGTTTACGCACACACGTGCATCTATATATATATGTATATGCAACCCCCCCCCCCATGGACCCTGGTTTTACTGCCTTTTGGGGACGGCAAATCTAGAATTTCCAAATTTATATTCTCGAAATTTCCAATTGTGGGTCCCCAAAGCGTGATTGATAATTTGGAGCCCGGAGTCCTCCACAATGTCCCAGTATGATACCCTTTGCAAATAAGATGTTACTTCAACTAGAATTGGAATTTTGAATATAGTTTAGTATGCATATAGTTTTCAAAATTGTGTTTATGTTCAATTACAGCTTAAACAAGCAAATCCTTTCCAAATAGCAGCTACATGAAAATGTAAATATATATTTTCGGCTAAACTCCAACTAATCTATAACACAAGAAGTTAGATGGAAGTTGTTTTCCAAATATAATCCAAGTGGGAAATATAATCTAAGACGAACACAACTCAATTTGCTTTTGATAATACCAAGTGAATAGAGACTACATCTCAAATATAATTCATATTGAATATGGCTAAACATTTGGAAATTCAAAATAGGATTTGTGTTATTTACATTCTTGCCCTTTTGTAGCATAAGAAAGGTCCGGCATTGAACTTGTTAGGCGGTGTTATGCGGTGTTCCAAAAGAAATTTCAAGGGAAGAGAGGTTCAAAATCTAAAACTATCTCGAAACAGGGATTCTAGCTAAACCGTTGTATTTAAAGTTCTATTTGCGCAGGAAAGTTAATTCTATCTCAAAAGGTGGAGGTAGTAGATGAGCAAATGTGGACAGGTAATTGAAGAGGGTGGGGGACGGTGTGTGAACGTACATACATATGTATATCTGTATATACACATACATACACACATATATAGTACCCCCAATGATCCTGCGCCTCCTCATAAAATACTGGAAAATACAGCATTTTTGAGCGTTGCACCTGCCTTTGTTTACCTCCTGGAAAGGGGTCAACATGAGCATAGCTGACATGAAGCTCACCAAAAGCACTTGAAAGTTTGTCTAACCAATAACTTGAAAGTGTGTCCACTGGATCGCTAAGCACTTGAAAATTTGCTACTATCGGATGGAAGATTCAATATTGAAGATTACACAGAACACTTTCCTGAGAATTGTCAATCCTGGCCAAACCCAAATAGCATTCAAGTTCTTCTAACACTTGAAAGTGCTTTACCACTGGATTGGGGATTCAATATTGAGGAGCCCACAAACCACCACTTTCCTGAGAATCATCCATCCTGGTCAACCCCTAAAATGTTCAAGTTGTTCTATCACCTCGAACATCCGTTACCACTGGATTGAACTATTCCACGGAATTTTTTCCGAGAATCTTATTGAACACCGAGAGTATTGGGACAACCCTGGAATTGTTAAAACGTTTTAAAAATTATGGGATTCAAGATTCAAGATTCAAGATTCCCAGAAAATATTTTCTCAGATTCTTGAATCTTGAATCTTGAATCCAGAATTTGTTAAAAACTTTTAAAAATTCTGGGATTCAAGATTCAAGATTCAAGATTCCCAGAAAATATTTTCTCACATTCTTGAATCTTGAATCTTGAATCCCAGAATTTTTAATAATTTTAAAAAATGTCTGAGTTGTTCTTGTATTCTTGGATGCATTCAAACTCTTTCAGATTGCAGGTGCTGATGTCATTGCTTTTATCACATCTGTATGCATGCATGCGTATCATATACATGTATGACCCTCCCCCCAATTTTGACACAAATCCAAGAAGCAAAAAGAAGCATAAAACACTGGCAAATACAGGTCAACCGCACCAAACCAGGGGTCCATGGGGGGGGGTACCATATATATATATATATATAATATAGAAATATGCGTAAGAAATGTCCGTTCACTTGGAAACTGAAGGCAGTTTGCCAGCCTTTCCAGAGTGAAACTTGGACCAATATAAGTCCCAGCAACTACATCCCCTATCCGAAATTGAAGTAGGCATTAAGTCCAAACTTAGACCCACCAAAATTCAAATTTCAGCCATGCAAAGCCCAGCAATCTGGCAGCCACCTAATGCTTGATTGAATCGTTTGAGTATGTGTGACAATAGGGATTTGGACCCCGGAAATGGGTATAGTCCTTTTGGTTTCCCTACTCAACAACGGTACCCTCCAAAAGAGTTGCCTGTATTTCCCTGGTAAACATCAACCCCACGAAAGAAAAACACACAGCACATCCTTGCCCCGGTCGGCGCCGGGCCTCGAGTTGCTGGCAGCCTCCATGGCCTTGAGGGCCGTGCTGAGGCCGTCACCCTGGGTGAGAGCCTTGAGAGGGATCTTTTCACTGGCGGCTGTTTTAAAGTAGCCCCAAAACAGCCGTTCCCGGTTTTCCCGCTGGTTTCCCTTCAAAGCCACAAAAAGGGGCACCCTCAAAAAAGACGAGCCACCGAGTTCAGTTGGGAATAATTGAGGTGGTTTGGGGCGCAGTACTTAAAGGAGTGCAACTGCTGGGACGACCTATGCTGGACCCAATGTTGCAACCGTAGGCTCGCAAAATCTCCATGGCACTCCCTGGCAACCATTGCTGGCCCAATTCGGAAACACCCGAGTGAATGCGAGACCAACATTCTTTCATGGTTCCCTTTCGGTTGGATGCAATGACAACGAGCAAGACAAGACACTCAGGCTGCGCATCAGCGTTCAGGTTGACTGACCATGCATCAAACAATCAGCCTCCAATCACACACCTTGCGCATCACAAGGCTCCAAGCTTGGATGCGTCAAAGCCCACCGAAAGCAAACCATGTACGAACAGGGGGGCATGGACGCTGCCGAAATCGAGTGTGACCCTCTGTTTCGCGCGCACGTCCCGTCCTTGAGGGCCTCCCCCGTCTTATGGCCCAGCAATCCCAGCGCCGCTTCACCGAAGGCAGAGGCGCGCACCACGAAGCGCTCGTCCGCGCGCATGGGCCAAAGCCGGGACAGGCCGCTACACTCGTTAAGAAGGCCCAGGGCACCTTGCTCGAGGAAAACCGCGACATGACCCATCTTCTTGTTCGTACTTGTTGTTTGTGCGTTTTGAAGCAAAGCCAAAGGGAACACCTGTCATGGCTCGTCATTTTTGGAGTTGCAACTTGTTCTATGTGTTTTTAAAGCAAAGCCAAAATACCGGTCCCCGCCATTTTGGGGGTCCAACCATTAAACAACACACCAATGACGGTCCATCCAAAAGATTTGCTGCTCGTGCGGGAATGACAAGTCTTGACACCACAACAGACGCGTACGATGGGATGTTATCAGACAGGAAAGCATCAGGCAAGATCAGATTTAATGACCAGTTCAGTGTCTTAAGCACCATCAGAAAACAACCAAGGCACCACAGCAGGGGTCCAAGGCATAGACCTCGCCCTCCTCGCTCTCCAAATGAGATCTTGGCTTTAAGTCATGCTGTAGCTTAAAGCTGGGAAATAAAACAAGTTTGTGTGTGTGTGTGTATAAATTACACATATGTATATGTCATGGTCAACATCCTTATCTCATATCCGAAAATGTCACAATCGCGGCCAAGCGGATGTTTCTAAGGGTTTTTTGTATTACACCTGGGAATACACCCACTGGGTATTGCCCCCGTTTAGCCATATTTCCGGATAACACCGTGAAAATGTTGAACCATTCTGCCTCATTGCCGAGTGTAATCGCAGGGTGTAATACAAAAACCCTCAGAATGTTGGCCTTGTTCATGGTGCAGTTTCCGCTTTCCGTCCTCGTCACCTACCTTCAGCAGCAGCCACTTGTGCGCGCAGCCCAGGCTGGTGAAGGAGGGCACCGCGATGAGCCGCCGGTCCTCCCCGGAGCAGATGGCCAGCGAGTTCCGCCGCGCGGCCTCGCTCTGCCCCTCCGCGGGGCCATGCGGAGCCAAGGGGGCGAAGAACATGCCGTGGGCCAGGCCCAGGTCCTGGGATCGAGTTCCAATGGAACGAGAGGCGTGTCACTCGATTTCATTTGGAGGGAAACGAGTCTTTTTAGTCTTGGCCTGCGTTTAACCACAACCAAAAAAAAAGTTTGAATCGAAACAAACAACCATTCACACTTTCTCGTTCAAACAACATAGCTACTCGGGAACGGGTTGTTCAAAACGGGGGTGATCCCTGACTTCCCGCTTCCTACCCTCTTCCCATTTCGAGTCGTGCTGAAACTCCCCGCAGGGGCGCTTCCACGAGGCGGCCCTGCAGCCGCAGTCGTCCCAGCTGCTCCCGCAGGAGCAGGAACAGCGCCCCCGCCACGTGCTTGCTGGCATCCTCACTCGGGAAAAGGCACAGCGAGAGGTTGGCAGAGCGAGAGGCTCACTCTGGAAGAAAGCTTGTGGAAGTTCAGCCCATGTTCCGTATTTTTCTTCTCAACATGCGGCTGAGCCAAAAAAAACACGAGTCGCCCAACCCCAAACATCGCGGCGCGCACCCAAGACGAGTGCGCGAGTTGCCAAACAAGTCCTTCATGAAGATGCGATGGAAGATCTCCCGCTGCCAGGCCGCAGCCGGCGACGCGCTGGGCTCGCCGGTGGGCGGGAAGAGCGGGGCGGCAAAATCGGCCGGAGTGGCCGCCTTGGAGTCGCCCCACCGCACCAGCTCTACGTCAAAGCTGTACCACCTGGGGTGCTCTTTCGTTGGACATCTGGAATTCGTGTGATCAAGACTGCACTGATTCAATGAGAACATGTTGCACCCATTCAAGCACCAAACCCGCATTTCCTTTCTTCATTTTCTTCGCATTCGCTCACCTGGAGTTGTGGGGCAGCTCGCCCAGCTGGCGGCAAACCCTCAAACTCTCGAACTCCCCGACTTTGCGCTCCTGCTGCTGGAAGAAGGGCCGGAAGTTCACCAGCTTGGCGCTCAGCGCTTCCACCAGCTCCTGGACCTCACATACGGGAGGCGTCGAAAGCGGCGCCGGCACCAGGGTGGCCGCTTCGAGGGCGCCTTTGACCCGCGGCACCAGTGCGGCCACCTGGTCCAGTTGCTCGCAAAGAGCAGCGACCTCCTCCTGACTCCTGCAGGCCACGTGCCGTTCAGCAATGGCCAGTAAGAAGTCATGGGCCTCCTGCAAGGCGTCCTGGACTTGCTCGGTCACGGCCCAATCTGACTCCTCCGCCGGTCGCTCTTCAGGTTCCAAAGCCTGCTCTTTGGCAACGGCCTCCGTCTTCTTGAGGAATCCAGAAGGGATCTTTGTATCCTCGAGGTGCAGGACTCAGTTCAAAGAAAAACGAAGCGACACTGTCCGCCCCTTCCCCTTTGCCGGCAATTCAGCATGCCCCAATAACCAGAACAACCCAAGGTTCCTGGCATAGAAGCCTGGCACGGAAGCTTGAGACTGGGAGACAATCGGTCCTCGCCCCTTTGCTTTTGCACCGCCGCCAGTTCCTGCCGCGCTTCCGCAGAGGGCGCCACCTTCAAGGCACCTGAATGCTCATCCATCCCTTTTTGGGTGTCTTTGAGGGGATCCCTATTTGTGGTAAGGGAAACCAAAAACTTCAACCTTGGGGGTCCCCTAAAACAAGACACACCCTTTTGGACAAGGCACTTGTGGGAGTTGTCTTATTCCAAGAACTCTTCAACATACCTTTTAAGCACACCCCGCTCACCCCCAAATCACAGCAACTATCATAAAAGGGTTGGGGTATGCTCAGAAGGTATGTTGGAGGGTTCTTGGATTCTTAGCATCCAAAGAGTCATAACTATGAACCCATTGAAGGGCCCTACTAGCCTTACAGGCCTGCGTGGCTGTCCCAACACGAGCCACCGCACACCCGGCTTGCGAACACAGTGTTGGCATGAATCTTGATGCTGGGTTACCCTTGAAACCGTTTCGGTGGACATCATGTACAGCATCGCTCTTTCCGTGGCACGGCAACTAAATGAAAGCTAGCTCTCTGAGACAAATGACAAGAGAAGAATAAGCAAGTGCAAAAAAACAACAACATCGTGCGAGTGTGGTGGGGCAATGGACATGCTATTCCAACCACTTGAGGGCATGATGTTTGAGGTCTTCCATTTTATGCCAAAACTCAAAAAAAATCACAGCCATCTGTATGAGCCCCAACAAATGGCGGTGTTCCTCAACCCATCTCGATGGCTACCGAGCCTTCCATACTCCCAAAATGAACCAAAAAAACTCCACGGCCACGAACCGATGGCCGCACCGAGCCGTCCACCCGAGCCATCCCGAGCCATGTGCCTTGAAGGTCCTCCTCCGCCGCCTGCAGCAGGCCCAGGCGGTGCCGCGCCAGGCCGCGGCGGTACAGCGCCTTGCCATTGAAAGGCTCCACCTGCGACGGATCGACGGATCCACGGATGCAAAGCCCCCAGAAAACAGCTTGAACACATCCCACCCATTCTCACAAAAGAAATCCCTCTGTGAAGTGTTTGTAAAGTGTTTGGCGAGGGTACAGGGTGTGTTCTCAAGATGTGGGGAGAAAACACATCACAACTGCTTATTCGCCAGGGTGACAACGAGCAATCGCTGCCGCTTGGATCTGAAAAAAAAAAAAAAACGACACACTTCACAGCCGAAAACAAAGGTTGCCAGCTGTTTCAAAAGTGCCAAGGGCTGGGGAAGGCTGGCAATGCGAATCTGAGAAGTATGGCAACATACGTCAAAAGAGCCTCATTTTGGTTGCTTTCAAGCCCATCGGTTCCCTGTCCCAAGATCCGGCAAATAGAGTGCCGGCCAACCTATCAACTCAATCACCCCCAAATCAAGCAAACCCCTCACCAACCAAGCCAAATCCGAGCAGCCGCCGGTTGAACACCGCAAACCACGGAGACACTGCGCAGCCTGCAAACCCAAGCCACACCCAAACCAAGCCGCCCCAACCCCGCCCACTCCTCCAGGGCGCGGCTCGTGCAGCGGCAGGCCTGCTCCCACTGCTCCAGCCGCAGATGGCAAAGCGCCAGATTCCTGAGCGACGCCCTCTGACGGACTACGAATCTTTGGGACCCGAATGGTGAATGTCAGAAATGCAGGAGCATAGATTTCAAACGGGAGCCCTGGACAACAAAATTCGGCGGGGGGCAACCACTTCTGAGGTGGTGCCAACTCAAAATTCATAGCCATGTGGGGCTGTTTCTTCAAAGTGGTTCAAGCTGGCTGGAGAAGAATGAAGCGCCACACGCCCATATCAAACCCCAGAAGCCGAGGTCCAAACTGAAAAGCACACCCCTGGCTGTGAATTTCAAGTGAGAAGTACGCTACCAAATGGGTGGACATAAGAACCCCACCGAGTTTCGATGTCCACCAGTTCGTCAATAAGTCATACCCACCCACCCGGTCAAGGCTCAGGTCCAAGGCCGCGCCCAAGGCTGCGGCCTCCGCCTCTCGCTGCCGGTAAGGCGCCCAGATGGACGCCAGGCCTTTACGGTAGGCGACCTCCGCTTGCTTGGCATCGCCTACGTCGCAAGACAGCCACGGACACGTCGCTCATGTGAACTCAAGTTGCAGGCCCCTTAATTTCCGGGAGAGGGGGGGGGGGCTGCAACGGGCCCGGCCCCGTTTTTTTGTCTGGTGTTCCTTTGTGCCAGCTGGCTCAAAGAGGTCCATGGTTTAGACACCTCACTCTTAACAATGAAGCTATTGCAGCTCTGCTGCCGGTCCCTTTGAAAGGGCCCCACCAAGCATGGGGGCACTATCCTGCAGTGTGTGTTTTTGTTTGTGTTGTTTTTTGTTGTTTTTTCTCTCTTTTTTTTTTTGGGGGGGGGGGGGTGGGTGAGATGGGCATAGGAACAGTAATTGCGTCAATGCTAGCCGTTGTGTCGGGCGTGCGCCACTTATTCAAATTCCTTGTGCGGGTCATGGTCGCACCGCTACAAATGTCCATCTCTGTTCATTTGCTGCGCATAGGATAGACGTTTACGATATGTATAAGTGGGCCAACCTACCATGTGTGTTCGCAAAGGATGTTTCCAGAACACCACAGGCCCCATGTTCCAAATGCGCATATTTGAAACAGGCTCCATTTGATGGAAATGCGCTTATTTGCAACCCGAGATGGGGGTCTGAACATAGGTATCCTTTCAGGGGAAATAGATGGCCCTGGTAGATGATTAAACCACCAGGTAAACCAGGACATCGCCATCTAATTTTCTAGCAAAACAACCAAAAAGGGCACCTATGGGTCTGAGGGTCTGAAGGGAGTCGGTCGCGCCTCGCTTCAGCAGCTGGTTGCCCTCCTCCTTCTGCAGCTTCGCCTCCTCGAGCTTCCGCGCGAACTTGGCCCTGGCCGCTTCCTCATCCTCGGTGTCCGAGGAGAACAGGTCATCCAAGTCGTCCATGGCGGCATGCGCACGGAGCGCTTGCTCTGGCCAAAGGGGGAAGGCCACCCGGGCTTCACCCCAGTAGGTGCTGCCAGTTGGCAAGTACAATTGTTGTGTGGACCTGAGATGAGAGCTAGCCCCTCTGGGTTCTTACCAACACCTTTCTGTTGCTGCCTTGACCATGTAAGCACGCCGAGAGAATTGCATGCTTCTTTTCCCTTGAGCCTGGCATTCCTGGCTCAAGAAGCCTGGAGGGCAAAGCCAGGTTTGGCTGTCCTGCCGGTTCCTTTGCTCAGGTCGTGGTCGTGCAAGTGGTGCACCGGTGCCATGTTTGGGCTGCATCGGCGTCAATGGCCCCGTGACCATCCCAAACCCCTTGTTAGTTGAGACCAAAGGCTCGCTGCAACCCTTCGCACACTGACCACAACTTATCTCTGCCGCGGACTGCACCTTGGTGACCAAAACGCGGCACTTGACTGAGTCTTTGGGTCAATATGTCTGGACAAGAGTCTACATGGCTGGCCCGTTTGCATAACTTGTTTCCAACCGGAAGATCGGCTTGCCACTAATAAGTGTACACTGCATCTCCAGCCATGTCTACATCAGCATTTCCCACCGCCGATGCGGCCATCACAAGGTTGGTGAGAAATGCTTGCGAAACTATGAAGCAGAGCAATGCACTCCTGGGCATAGAGAAGAGGAATTGTGCGACGGATGGAAAAGCTAAGGCAAAACCAGATTCCTCGTCCACGTGCCCAGTAACAAAACTTCTCCCTGATCTGCGCTGTCAGGTTCAGAACTGGAGCTTGCTTTGAAATGCAAGCAAACCGTGCGCTCCAATACGCCAACGGGCGAACGGCTACCGAAACATGCTGGGCTGCCTTACACGTCAGGGGTGCTTGTATTCTCAGTACCTGAGTGCAGAGTGCATGGTTCAGATGAAGGCCGCCAGAACTCAGAATTTTCACCTTACCCCGGAACTGGTGGTTTGGGGATTGAAGCTCCCAGCTCCCTCAAAGAGAAACTGCTCTGGAAAGCTACCCCATCTCCAAAACACCTAACCTCCAAAAGCACCAACCCCAACCCCGAACCACCAATTCTGCGGGTAGGCGAGAACTTGTGCGGAGCGAAAGACTGAGGCTGGCACATGCCGCCCATGCCGCCCATGCCACCCATGCCGCCCATGCCACCCATGCCGCTCATGCCACCACCAGCAGGCGTCGGCGGCTTTGTGGTGGGCAAGTCAGTGACGATAGCATCCGTGGTAAGAACCTGGCAGTTGACAGGGTTCCCTATAGCTCCCTCTTAAACATCACCCCAAACTCATCTAAACTTGGCTCAAATGAGATGCTTAACTGGCATCCCAAAAAGGGAAACACGGGGAGCCCTTAAAGGACATCCAGAAAGACCAGGAAACATACCCTCAAATGCTCCATGGCTGCACTTTGGCGTCCCCAAACGACTCTCGGCTGCCCCAAGCAACTCTCTCGTGAAGAACCCCCTGAAAGCAAACTGTCAGTCCGGTGATCCAGCAACTAGATGGGCCTGTCTTTCTTGGAGGGTACCCGTTTGCCGGGGTGAAAGGAAACCAAAAGGACAACCACAATTTTGGAGGGGCCCCCTAACAAAAGGCACGTGTCCTTCTTGAGGTGCCCTTTTGGTTTAAGAGCCAAACCAGAAGCAAACAAACTGTGTTGAGGGTTCCAACCTCCGTTTTGAGCAAACCCAAGTTTGTCATTCCGGGTCATTCCGGGGGATGTCCGGTTCCGCAAGCCATGGAGGCGTACCATCCCCGCGATGGAGGCGGCGTTCACTACGGAGTTGATGACCACCTAACGGAAGATTCCAGGCCGAACGCCCGGAAGAAAAGGTAGACTTGCTGGCGCTCAAGGAATGTGGGAATGCCACCATCCCCTTGGTTGAGGTTGTCCAGCCCTTCTCCAAACCAGGTTAGACTGTAACGCATCCTTTTCGGGGATTGCCCTGCCCGTGAATTTCCACATAGCTGCCTCACTTGTTCCTGGCCCAAGTAAAGGCTGTGAGATGGTCCAATGGCTGTGCAGAGCGACTCCTGAACTGGTCGTAAGTCAAAAGCCAACCCGAAACTCAAAGACTGCACTGCCCACACTTCGCCGAATGGTCTCCAGCCAGCATCAAAACAGACTTGCCATGGGTACATGGAGATCTGTAGAGATAAACCGCTGGGATGACCTTCCCCGCGAGTCTTGGCAACCACAAAACTGGCAGGCACCCAAAGCGGTTCGGCGCCTTGGCAGGGTCGACCACGCCAGCCTTCAGGAGGTCCTCATAGACCTAGGCCCAGCGCCCTCATGCGGTGCATCCCAACGCGACAAAGTACGACTGGACCGCATCTCTACACGTGTTCGCGCACACCACTTCAGATCGTAAGTCTCTGCTTTTGCACCTTCTGAATGTTCCACAGGCAGGATATGGCCATGGGTGAAAACCCAAATCGTACCCACAGTGAACATCAACCAATCCAACCACTAAAATAGGTTCTAACAAGGGTGGTGCTCCTATCCCAAAATCGTACCATGGTACGAGTACCATTTTGGGGTAGGTGCACCACCCAGTTTAGTCTAGTTCAGTGGGGATTGGGATGTTCACTGGGGGTACGGGCTTTTGACCCATTGCCGTATCTTTTCCAGGTTGGGATGCGTAAAATCCCAACACTTCCCCACCTTCGTGGCAGCGTTGTACCCAAAGCCAAAGTCCTTCCCGCGCACGCTGAAGACCACCTGGCGCCGCTGTCGGTTTCCCCAGCCGGCATTCACCGCATTTTGACCAGAATAATAATCATAATAATTATAATCATAACAATAATCCTCATAATAATAATGATGATAATAATAATAACAGCCCGGGAGACCGAGGTTATGAGAAACGAGGTCCTCAGAAATCCTAGCGAAAGGATGTTCAAAGGCTAATCTTGACCATACTTCTCTTGCCACCGGACTGCCACTTGCACGCGAGCCTAGGGCCGGTTCGATCGTGACAGTCAAAGGAACAACGATCTATCTGGGTGACTACTGCTTCACAATCCAGGAACCTCAGAGGAATCTCCTGATTGGGCCTTCAGCCGTTAACCCCCTGGAGGCTGCCTGGTTCACAAAAATTGCAAAGCTTGCCCACGTTGTTCCACTCCAGCCTCGCTGGGGTCCTCGCCCGCATTCCGCGCAATCTGCCGGATGGGAGCCTCGAATTTCATGCGAGAGGATGGGGGTGGGACGCGGCGCAATGGCGCAATGGCCGTTGCCCACAACTGGCGGATTGGATTTGGATTTGAAGCCCTTCTTGTAGAGGGTAAATGGGGAATTCCACCAATCCAAACCCAAGAGGGAAGCACCCACCAAAAATAGGAGTGGCAAGCAATTTGGAAGAGGTGCCGAGCTCACACTGGTACCGTTGCAAACTTTGGCGCCCCAAATCCTGCCCCAAGCAGTTGCCAAATCCGGAGTTTTGGTTTGGCAGCTTCCATCTGTGCGGTTCTCAAAATAGGGGTCCCCTTTATGGTTCTAGGAGGAAACCAAAAAGAAACCACCTGAAGGGGTCCATCTAATTTTGAGAAATGCCCAACTCAGGCGTTTTAAGTCAGTTGCACCACTTCAACTAGCTTCAAGAGGTTGGCTTGCCAATGTTTCAAGCAGCGCAGGAATGACATGAATTGCGATGTGCGGCTGATCATCTCTCGTCGTTTGGTTGGTTGGTTGCCTGGTTGTTTGGTTGGCTGGTTGGCTGGTTGGCCGGGTAGGTGGTGGATTGATTGCCTCTGCAGTACAGCTTTGGAGAAGAAAAGACATCCTTTGGCACGGCTATCTACAAGCTGCATGACACTGCCAGCACGAGGCCAAGAGGGGCAGTGGCTTTCTATACTAGTCTTACAACATCAATTTCTGCCCGCAGCAGTGCTCAAAAGCAACATGCCCTTCCCGGGTCGCAGCACCATGCCCACATCCGGGCATCCTGGCCTGGAGGGATTTGAAGACCAGCTCTGCGCCTTTCTTTTCATCTTCCGTGCGCAGGTCCTCCCGATCGCATGCGACTTGCACTTCGATCCATCGCTGCGGGAAAACAGCCGTGCAACTCAGGCTGCAACAAACACAACAGCCGCTCAAACGAAGCTTAGCAGCATGTATGTCGGCATCAACCTGCAATGATGCAAAAGGATTCCCGCGGCAGGCCCATGTCCTTCGTCACACTCTCCATGAACTTCTCAGCGCCCAAATACATCAAAACGCTACCGCCGCCAGGGACAATGCCCATCTCCTGTTGCAGGCACACATGTTTGCGCCAAGCTTACACGCCAATCCATGCAACACATGCACTCATGACCATACTTGCCAGTGGAACGTGCCGCTTTTTGAGCTCAACAAGCCCATTCCAGGTGCATGATTTGACGCAACGTCTCCGTTTGAGCTATTGCGGCCCTCTCGTCCTTGGCGCTCCGTACAGCACTGATGGCATCGGTATAGCGCAACCTCGGAGGCCGAAGGATCGCCTCCGCGGTTTCAAATCGAGACGTGCGTTCTGGGATGGCAGTTGCCAGGGGCACCGAGCGCACATGACCAAGGAAAATGCACAAGCCCAACCTGGACCAACAGCAAAGTGCATCTCAACTGTTCCACGTCCGAATGCTCCTTGCGCCTTCCTGGTTTTAGGAGGCTGTGGTACTTAAGAAATGGTTCCTTCAAGCTGCTCCAGCTAAAGAACACACGTTCAACTGAAGTGGGCGTGGCAAAAGTTGCTGCAATGTCTGTCACGAGCACAAAAGACGCTTGTGTTCAAGGCCCACGCTTCTTGTCATTCATCTCCGTCTCAGTGGCACCACCGACCTATCGCGCTTTTTGTCAGACAGCTGTGCCCCCGAGTAAGTCTCTCAAAATCCCAAAAGGGGAGGACTTCGAGTCGGTCCTCAACTCTCGTCATGCCAAATGGCCATGTGGCTTTGTCATGAAATAGGGGAACCTCTGGTGGATTGAGATCTCCCGTTGGAAAAAAAACGCCCAAGCATACACTCAAACAGAAACACACCACTTGGTGGCATGGCCCGGCCTTGATCTTGGCGACACCTCCACCCAGGGAGGCAATCCGCTCCTGGCGGATCGGCAGGTGCGGATCACGGTTGGTGCTGGAAAGACTTGGGTGTCAATTTCAATAGACCCTTGGGTGCACATACTTTGGGAGCTTTGTTCACTTTTGAGGTGGTTTATCTATTGACAATTCATGGTGTTTGTCCCACATGTCTGAAAGAAACAAAGAGGGGAGCTGAGCCTGACGCCTGAAAGTACGTATGCATTGCCCTTCCATCCTCCAGGGGAGAGCTGACACGCGGAAGGAAGCTATTTCCGCCAAGTGTCATGCGTGCGCGCAATCGCACATCAGGCCCATCAGGCCCATCAGGCGTGACTTATCTAGATCCTAGTCGAAGGAAGGGGATTCCAGCTTTGGCATTGAAGCCAAAACGTGACTTTGCACGCTTTTTTGCGCTGGATGACTCAGAAGAACCCCAGAATTTGGCTGATGAATAGAGGGCCCCCAATGGCTGACAATAAACTGGAATGATTCCGAGGTTCCCATCTGCCCAGTCAGAAGTCGAACATCAAAGCATTACCATCGTCACCAGCACAGACAAGCACTTTCTCCGTTGCCGCCATGCAGCGAATGGCATTTTGTCCGGCGTCCAAGACGTAGAGCTTTTGCTTGGAAGGAACGTCGAAGCAAGTCACGCGACCTCTACCATCCCCAGTAAAGACCAAGTCATTCAGCACCAACATGCTGTAGATAAAATCCTTGGGAGCACTCGGCAACCTGACTATCAGCAAATCGAACAGTAATTCATGGATCTTGTCGACACAATCAGCTTCTGGTACGGCAATGCTCCATATATGTGGCACCTGGACCAGTCAAACGACTGCAGGATGGAACAATCTATGCACCCACGGGATGACTTGAACAGCTGACAAACAAGCAGTTGCTTCTCGTGAGAAGTTGCTTCTCGTGCGTCTTTCTTTGGGGAACCCCCTCCCCAACATGGTGATTTCCATGGTGGCTTCCTTTCTTTAGCCAACGCCCTTTCTAAGCCACCCTTAAAAGGGGTACCCTCCGACAAAGACAGCGCCACCTGCCCTCAGCTGGAGGTAAGGCTCTGAAGTGATGCCGCCAAACTCCATCAGTGGCTCGAAGTTGGCCCGGGGGTCAAAACCAAGCAGCCGACCATCAGCGCCCACAGTGATAATCACAGGATTGCTGCCTGTCGTGATGCCGATCTCCTGGGAGCTGGGGTGCTTTGAGCTGAAACTTACCAGGAGGTCCCTTTGAAAGGAAAATAGCTTTTCAGAACCCCTCACATATTGCATGTTCTTCGATGCAAATGTGGCAAGGCTTGTGCTGAATCGGGCACCGATCCCCCATCTCAGCTTGGCACATTGATGGCGCCCCCAGGGTGCGCGGCCATGGAATAGGCATTCAGCTTCTGCCGCAGATCCCAGATCCTGCACTCTCTCTCTCCGGGCACCTCCCACCTCAAGGAAGAAACCGGGAGGTCACTCTGAGAGAACCCTGGGCAAAAGTGAAACTCAAAGCGGTGCTACATACGCAACTGCCAGATTCCCAGATCCCTCCTGAGGTGCCCATCTTGAGCGCCGGAAGCCAGAAGAGGAGATTCACCTGAATTCGGATGGCTGGGATGGCGCAAACGCATGGCACAAGCCACAGGCAGCCAGGTCCCGTGCGATCATCAAACTAGTGAAAAGCCAGATTCGCTTGGAAGATGAGCATGTTGAAAACTGTGCGGGCGGGCGAATAGCAAAGCGGTGTCCTCCCAAAACTGTTTAGGGGAGCCTGAGGCAAGAGTCATATGCCTCTTTGGTTACGCTCCAGAAGTGCCGTTGGCTTGGTGAAATGATAAAGGAAGAATGTGTGCACAAGTGTAAGTCTACATACTCGCGTTTCTTGCACGAACACCTCTTCAGCATGCGCACAGTAAGCATCGTCGAAACATATGTTGTGAGCGGCAGAAGTTGATCTGAGCCCAGCATGAAAGCAAACACCCATGCCCGTCCTGGAAGCCTGAAGGAAAATTCGCTCCAAAGTCCGGTGCAGGGATGGCTGATATCAAGACCTGTTTGCACCGTACTTTCTCGGACCGGTACTGTCTTGGACAAGTAACAGGTGTATTTCACTAATGCTGAGAGGGGCAAAGCTTGGAGTCTGGATGTCACCCACGAAAATATCTTGCCCATCTGCTTGATGTTCTGCCCGTTAGGCGAAAGGCGTCTCTCCAGGTACTATGGCTGGCAAGCCGAGAACTGCTGCTATTCAAAGAAAACGAGCGTAACCTTTCTGACTCCAATCATCCGAGAAGTCCGACAGAAATTGCACTATCCATCCAGCCAGCTGTTCAGCCACCTGGCATCCTACGAAACGAGCATTGGTCTGGCATGGGGGTTTTGCTCTTCAGTTCCGTGGCCCTGCGGTTGGGTGTCTACCAAAGTGATGGGCCTACCTTATGTTGCCAGCAAAGACAACCCTTCGACACATCTTCTCTATGTTTCCCCACAAAGCAACCACCGCTACCAAGGGATACTCACCTTAAATCGGGAAACAGCTCATCTGTATACTTCACTAAACAATCAGAAGTATGTCCTGTTTCACAATGTCTTTTCCCCCGCCACACGCCCACGCGTGTTTCTCACATGCATGAATTCCTCCTTCATCTCATCTTGCCGCAGAACTATACTTCAACTAGTGTCCGTAACACAAAAGTTCCTTCCAAACGTGCCATTGGCATAGCTGAATTTGAAAGCACCAAGCTCACAAAAATTCCAAATCCCTAGCTCAAACCCAGCAGTCACTACACCTGGGTGCTCTTTTTCAGAGTGTGTGTCTTTCTTGAGGGTACAGTACCCCTTCTTTTCGTGGCTTTCAACTGGCCCCCTTTTTTGGTAGTGGTTTTAAGGGGGTCAGATCTCTGCCTCAAAAAATGACACGCGCCATCCGTTCTGAGGCACGACAACTCGCCCGCCGCTTTTCGTTTGGCCGCGCCTGGCAGCGCCAGCATGGCGGTGATGTGGCCCTTGTGGCCCCGCAGAGTGCCCAGCGCCTGGGCCGTGTTGGCGTCCCAGGCCTCAAGGCACGGCGACGCAGCCAGAGGCTCGGAGGGGGGGGGGTTCATAGGGGGACACGCAAAATGGGTGGTTTTCCTTTTGGGTTCCCTTTCAAGAATTGGTGTTGTAGGTAACCTAAAAAAAGGAAATGACTGGTTGAACTGGTTCGGAGCTTACGGGGCAGTTTCCAAGCTACCCTCCACAAGAACCGGGGGATCAAATCCCCAAACCACCAGTGCAAACCCCAATGTTCTGGGACACCTGAATTGATGGGCGGTTCGGAGATAGGGCCGGTGTCCTATCCCACCAAAACCTGTCAGGGTCAACCCCCTCGGAAGCTGGACAAGCCCAAAAGGAACCGAGTTTAAGTCCCGGCGCCGTTGTGCGAATGCAGTGATCAGTGGGCAAAAAATGCCAAACGAGAAAGTAAGACAAGGGCCTCCGAACGACTACACGGACGTCTCACGAAACTGAGAGAGCTACACTTGTGCTTGTGGCTCACCTTGGGGCGAGAAGGGCTCGCCCATGATAAAGGCCCCTTACTTATGGATCCTTTGAGTCAGAATGGTACGTACAATATAGTCAAAGGCAGTTCAGAACTTCCGTGGTACGGCAGCTTTACGACAACTGGCCTGCGACCGTTAAGAACAACAAACAGAAAAGTGCCAACAAAAGTTTTGTTGAGGTTCGCGCAACCTGAAACTGTGTGAAGTGGGCGGGTGGTTGCCGCGTTACGCACTCTTCACTCACTGACTTCTTGACTTCGGACTTCCGGCTTTCTCAAATCGACCAGGGCACCTTCACGATGCCAGAACGATCGCCGCTGGCAAGGATGCCATCCGCCCAAACGAACTCTGTGATTGAAGCATCATGACCTGGAGCTTATTGCCACCGCAGCACGAAACGTTCGGTGCCAGGTCGAAATGTTTAAACCACCCGTTGTTTTGTTGGGGGGGATCTGAGATGATCTTGTGTTGCCTTTCTTTCGCGGGAATCCCCCCACCAGCACACAATGCTTGAAGCCGTGTTGCTGTGGACCCAAGTTTGCACACATCTGACCCCCTCCCAGTAGGTTGAAGAGTTGAAGCTTTCACATAGCCGTCTCTTTTCAAGCATTGTCAAAATCGAACAATGCCCTGAGATTCCAGACCAACAAATGAGGTTGCTTGGATGCCAGTCCAAAAAGCTACAAACAACAATGCTTCTCCTGAGATTGAGTAAACTTACAATTGAACTCTTGGGAAATACATGGGAACAAACATCTTGAAGCCTTAAGATATCAACGGACCGTGACATCCGCAAGTGAATCATGGACATGTCAAGGCCGACGTGATGTTGGTCGTACGAAAGGAACTGCTTTGACTGACTGTTGTGTGCGTGGCTGCGCTGATGCTTGAACGGATCAGGATTGCAAGGTCTTGGAAACATCTCGCTACCAGTATCCGACCCCAACCAGTACACGGCTTGGATGACTCATATCAGTCTCTTTGCAGCACTCCAGGTTGTTTGCAGGGAAAGCTGCAAGCATTCTGACGAGGTAAATGCCTCCCCAAAGGGCACCATCTTCAAAAATAAAACTCACCTCGAGCGAGTATATAGATTCCTCTGCGCGTTTTTTTTGGCTTCTCCACTCGTGAAAAATTCCAGACGTCTGAGGCTTTGGCCTGTGCAGCAGCCAAGCTCTCCCTTCCGGCGCAGGTCCCAAGCTCTCAGCGTGCGGTCCTCGGGACGCCGAGAGCTTGGCCAAGGGTCTTGCCCTCTTTCCAATGGAAGTGGGCAATCGAAAACCAAACCTGAAAGAGAATTTGGTAGCCTTAAACCCGATCCTCAGGATGGAAGCGACCTTCCCATTTTCCCATTACCATGGAACCTGATGTTTCGAAATCGGTCCTGGTTTGGACGACTTTGCTTTAAAAGGGATCCTCTAGTTCCGTGGCCTGGACAGGAAGCCACTTCATTCCTCTGAGTCTCTGAGTGGTCGTCGGGTCCAAGGTTCAAATCTCTCTGCCCTTAACATGTTCTCTCTCGAAGGAACGTGTGCCACAGGAAGTCCTTTCCGGGTTCAGTAGATTTCTTAGAGACACTCTTGATTGGCGCGTTCTCGAAAAATGGGTGTCATTGGTGTCACAGCTCCCACAAGCGCTTTCTGTTGACCCCAGACTCTTGAACCCGGCCGATTATTCGGCCTAAATCCCCACTTGGTGGGAGTCCCCGCAGTCAACCAGGGGTTCTACTTGGATCTGGAGTCAACATGAAGTTCCATGTTGCGACAGCCTGGCCATCCGAGTTGCCCTCGGTAAACATAAACGCTGGATCAGCACACATGAATGACAAGCGCCTGAAAGAATCTCTGGAAGCACAGCCATAGTCGCGAAAGTAGCATGCTCCGACCACAAAAGGAAACATGTAGTAAACATTATATCATATCTGTTGCCCGACCGCTGGTGAGTTCCGAATATGGGGCTGACCAATCTTCCGTTCGGCCCCAAAATGAACATGGGTAATCGTCCCATGCGTGGAATATCCTCTTTCTTGTTTCCCCAATGGCCATCCCATGACATTGGACCTGTTGATCAACCCCCATATGCGTCTCATGCAAAAGATGATAATCCAGGGCTCGTAGCCGGAGGAGATGGCGACATCCTCATTGGCGGAAGCCCTCACACGAGAGACGGAGCCCACATGACCCGTGAGGTCGACGCACACCACGCCGCTTGCCTGGCCAAGACAACACTGGGATGTAGGATGGTGGAATCTGCTGAACAAGTGGGGGTTGATCGGAAGGTCCCATGTCATGAGATGACCATCAGGGAAACCACCAAAAAAATGTCTTTCACCACCATGGGAAAAGCTACCCATGGTCATTTCCGGGCCAGGAATATTGATCAACCCACAACTAAAAATGATCTGGCCAAAAGAAGGAGTGGGGTGGTGTCAACTAGACCCAGGCTCTTTCCTCTTAAGACTCCCTTTTGGCCAAATCCACGCTGGATCGTAATTTCAAACCCAAAGTTTCAATCAGGTACAGCAAATCTGCACGAGAAAGGCTGCCTGATTGCACCAAAGCTGCATTCCAAAGGCAAAGCTTGCTGTCCATCCCGCCCGAGATAATGCGGCCATCTCGGCAATGTGAAACTGTGGTGACCCACTCGCTGTGCCCATACCTCAGCCAGAGCTTTCGGTAGCTTGCACGCTCCAATAAGGCCAGGTTCCCCACTTCTTAAATGGCTGTGGGTCAAAACGAATGGGATCCCATTTTGGGGTAGGTGCACCACCCATTGTAGTCTATTATAGTGGGGATTGGGATGTTCACGAGGTACGGGATTTGTTCACTGGGGGTACGATTTGGATTTTGACCCATGGCCAAATCTTGCTCCCACATGGCATATTGCCTCCCCGTTGCCAAGGAGCCGTTTGGTATAGAGCGTGCGGCTCACCGTGCCTGTCCGAACATTGATCCTTACTGCCGGAATCTGCTGAATGTGGGCGCTACAAGCAGCTGCCAGAGCAATGGCAACTACAAAATCGGGTTGCCTCGACTTTGCAGCCTTTGCAAGTCTAGCTCGGTTGGTTCCAGCCCACAACACGACACAGAAGCGCCAACATTGACCGGAAACGGTTCCCCCTTGTCCAATTAATCTTAAACTCCCAAACAAACATCTAGGGGCCCGCTTCTTCCTCGACCCGGCCATGCCACGCAAGCAATGCGGCGAGTCTCTCTTTGAGACCATGATCAGCACTTCCACATACTGCCATTTCACCTGGCCAAGCCATCGAATGACACCGCTGGACGCTCGATGCTCGAAAAACATCAAAAGACTGGACAAGCAACTTGCTGGTTCTCAGGGAATGACCGCTACAAACCATCCCCTATGGTTTCCTTTAAGGGAATCCCTAGCTTCATTCCCAACACCCGGAAGGTCATTTCCTGAGCACCAGAAAGATAATTACTCCAAGCGGCCGCGCAAGGACATGCACATGATGTTTCCTTAGTCTTCCGGAGTCAAGCCAAGGGACTGAGACTCTCGTGATAGATGGAACAATGGAAGCAAGCTGCAGGAAAAACAATGGTCTGTGGAAAGTGCATGAAGGCTCCTTGGTTTGACACCTTCCCGCAATCTCGCATGCCAGGCACCTCTCTATCTCACACAACTCGGTTTATTTAATATGAGGGTTTCCAAATGAAAGCCAACCATCGGGGGGCCGACTCCGAGAAAAACGAGAACCCCCCATACCCCTCCCCCCCGGCCCCCTGCTTCTCTTCGCTTTTTGTGAGACTCGGGTCCCGGTTCAGTCTGCGTCTACCGTCCGAGGGTCGATCTGAGAGATCCACCACGCGGCCGCTGGAGCAACTGCTGAGCACCTCTTTGCCATGCTTCACACTGGTCCATTCCTTCACCTCGCGATGTCAACTTGGCGGTACCGTAATATGCCAATGAATTTTTAGGGAAGCCAAAAGGAACGGACCGCCGCGTTTGGGGTCGCCCTATTTTGACACATGCCCATGTGGCAGAACTTCTGGGCTTTGAGTCTGTATCAGAGACTCACCGAGACAGAGGGTCTTCTGAGGGAGCGAAAAGAATTGTCGGGCGGCGGCAAAAATGACAAGGCTTTACGTTGAACACCCAAAGTTGCAGACCTTCTAGCGTGTTGGGCTGTTGTTCGTTATTTAATTACACTCTTGGATTGTTCTTGGGGGGAATAATTTTAGCGAGAAGCAGCCCAAAAGGGTTGCTGGGTTCAACCGCAGGCTGTAAACAGACCAATGCATGGACCAGTGTAGCCAAGGGCTCGTTGCATTTTCCCTGGGATGTTGCTTGGGTCCCCCAAGCAAAACCAATCCTTTTTTTCTGGGGAACCCTGGGGATGACTCTGCAACTCTGCGTGTGAGGGATTCATAAAACAACTGCATTGCGTGATTGGTTGTCTCACATGTTTTTTTTTTGCTTTTGCCTTGGAATCGACTGGATCCGTTTGGGAACCTGAGCATAGGCCAGGTCCTTTCTTCCAAGCAGGTTCTAGCCTGGTCCCTTATGGTTCTAGCCTTCCCTTATGGCCTTACGGTTCTGGCAGTAGGAAAACCGCATTCAGAAAAGCAATCAGCCTGTTTGCAAGATTGCCATTCCGTGAAACCATTCGACTATACCGGCAGAAACCAGGCAAAGAACAAACACAGTCCGAATCCCACCAAGCGCTGTCCCCCTTCCCCCAGAGAAATCATTGAAGCGTTCGCCGTCCTGTTTCTACATGTCAAATTCCGGAGACCCCCAAGGGGCGGCAACCTTTAATCAACACGTCTCTCCCTTTGGGCCAAAAATAACAAGTGGTTTTGGTGGTGTTCTTGGTATTTATTCGTGCACTTTGCTATGCGTGTCGCATTTGCGGTCGTTGAAACTTGATCCGGGCCTGAGTCTTAACCATGGGGGCACCCACAAAATTGGTGAGTTGGTGGTTCGCTCGCCCCTCAAGAAAACATGATCCGTTCAAGGGTGGAAGCACATACCCCCTCGCCCATACCCCTTTGGCTTCCTCGGCTCCCCGCTCAAGGGTATATACCCCTCTTGGGGAGAGGGGCATAAACATAAGCAAGCCTTCTGTGGTGAGTTACCTAAGGAATCAAAGGGGTGTGTACATAAACCCCCCATCCAGGCATCCAGGTCCCAGGTGCCGGCAGCATGGCGTTCTCAGGGCCCTCCTTCCACCGCGCCCCGGAGCCAGCGGCGCCCGTGACCAGCGTGCCGCACACCGCGAAGGGCGAGCCGGCCTCGTTTCGTTTCGGGTTCCGCCGGAGTTTCCGGGCTCCGGTTGGAAGAGTGCCCAGGCAGTTGGGCAGGGTGCCCTTCTAGAGGGCTGATTCGGCGAGGTGAGGCCCAGCCTTTCTGGGGCTTCGGGTTTTCAGGTTGAACCCCACATCGCACCTGAACCTCTCATTTCTAGCTGCTCGCTGCACCTCGAAGGCTCCCAAGCCCACGAGCTGGTGAACCCATGGTTCCCTTGCCTCCAATTCAGAAACCATCCAAACACATATAGCATGGGTTTGTCTCAAACCGAGAGAGCCCCACAACTTGCGTGGTTTTCCTGAAGTTCCCCCTGTCAACCAGCCTCAAAACCGGTACCCACACCAAAAAAGAGAACCCCTTCCTGGCGGGTAAGCATCTTTCATCTGCGGTTCTCAAGCCCAGCCTCAGCTTTCCCTCTGCTTCCAGGCTTCGTGAGGGACGCTCGGCTGCTTGGCCGCGAGATGGAGTCTCCACCTTTTCGGAAGACGCGTGGACTTAGACGCCCAGCTGTTTTATTGACGGGCACACTCAGCCAGCTACATCAAGTCTTGCCAACTAATCGAAACAGCTTGCGAATTAGACCCTAGCAAGTCAGACAGTTGGCACCAAAAGAAGGTACAGTAATCGACGGGCCAACTGGGGAACCAGATCGACAATCAACTGGCAATCCGCCAGAGATCACCAGAGCACCTCACTGCATTCAATGCAAGATCTTAAGAAGCCAATTGACCATCTTACAATCTTACTTAGCAAATGCCAGTAGTGCAGCAGCCAGCCTCGGCCAGTTCGAAACTTTGGAGCCCTGGATTGCTGGACTTACAACTACCCGTGCGAACGCAGTCCCACAATTTTCAGGACAACTCCTTCGATGTTCAGTAGCACAATCGTAGATCTTATGGCAGTCGCCGTCCTCTACAAACTGCCAGTCGTTTCATCTGAGCAATAGCTGGATTTACGCAACGCGGAAGGCAAATGAGTCAGAATCAAAACCCCGTACTAAAATGGTCGACCTAGAACCATGTAAAGGAATTAGAAGGCGGCCGCAGCTATTTATGGCAAGGGGATTGTCCCGTACTCACCTTCATCTACCCGAGTTTTGCGAACGTGGCTCAAAGGTCTGACTGGTTCTGCTCCACTTCTGATGCGCCAGGCCACTTCTGGCCAGCGGCCCGCGACGGCTCTTGTCAGGTCCGACATAGGCGTTGAGGTAAGGGTCGTCACTGGTGTCTACCCCCATCTCCTCAGGAAGAGTTTCCGACAAAACAATGCCAGGGCACAGAGATTGGGAAGCGGACATTGAAAGGAAACTTGGAGGAAACCAACCATGAGGCCTTTGAATTAAGCCGTGCATTCCTTGTTGAGCGACATTGAAGAACAAATCAGCTCAGCAACTCCCGCATTGACCCTTGCCCTTGACAGCAAGCCACAAGCTTGATTTCCAGTCACTCCGTCCAGAATCCGGGGCACACAGCTCTGCCATGGTCACAAGCTTCACACAAGCAGGACACTCATTCGCCGGAGTGGGCATTCCAAGTACGAATTTCACCAAGCTCAAAGCTCGACAAGCTTTCAGGCCTCAGGTTGCCTCCGAAAGATTGGCCTGAGTGTGGTGAACTACACTGGTGCACGTGCTCACAGCAACCGTCTACCCAAATATTACCAGGTATTGCCCCTACCTCGAGGCTTTTTGGGCCAGGGAGGTCCCTGGTTCCAGCGCCTCCAGACCCTGCTTGAACTCGCGCATGTAGTCGCCATGCGCCAGGTGCGATGTGGCCATGGGCCCAAAGGGCGAGGCTGCAGCGCTTTTGGGCTTGCCATACCTGAAGCTCAACAGACACAAGATGTTCCCCTTCTCAGAAATGTGGCCAATGTAGCCTGTCCCTGACAGAAGGCTGCCACCATCTGATTTGGGCTCTGTGGATTCAGCAGTTCTACGCTACACGTCAAGTGCACCGTGTTAGGGCTGATCCTTTTGAGACGTAACAGTGTGCGGCGTTGCTTGGACTCGAACGATGCTGTGCTGCCAGGAGGCTTCTTGTCGTACTTCTGGTGCAAGCTTTCCAATTCGTTGACCGCAGGCACCTCCACTTAAAAAGGCATGCAAAGGAACAAGGCTGTCCACCCAATAAACCAGGTGATCCTTCCCTCGAATGCAAGACGCAGTGGTTCTGAGGGCTGAATTATGTTTCCTCATGGGATATGAACTCATGATTAATGGCCCCAATTAAGTGATTCATGTAAGTGATTCATGACTGTCAGTATCAGACTTGGACAACACACACCAAGCACGATGCAATGCGCTCTGTACCGGGCAAACGCATCACTTGAAGCTTTGAGCTGCTCCTTGTATCCACTGAATACGTTTCTCCTCACCACAAACCCCAATCCTCCACTCGACCAGTTCCCACTCCGGGCCAGGCTCTGCGCTTGCCCCAGCCTTCCCAAAGGAATTAAAGCCCTGAAAACGGGCCCCTCAAAGACTCCCCCCCAAAAAAATAAACAAAGACCCTCAAAGACCACCCCAGGTTTTTGGTTCTTCTCGTGTTTTCCTGACATCCCGCCTGGGAGGGGCCGGGCGGCGAAGGGAAAGGCGCTGAGTCGTCGACCCAGGGCACCATCTCCCGCTGCCGCCGCAGCAGCTGCTGACCGTCTGGCCCGCGCAGCGGCAGGAAGAGCCCATCCTCCGTCCTGCCCAAACACACAGCCACAGGCAGGCAACAAAAACATCTCAAAGACAAACAGATACAGCCAAGCGGACACAGCCACAGCCACGCATTGATCATATTGATCATATGTGTATATTTGAGCTATATGGCTGTGGTGGTCAAAACCGTTTTGGGATCCCATTTTGGTTGGTAGGTGAATTCACCACCCATTTTAGAACCTATCTTAGTGGGATTTGCCGGCGACCAGATTTGGCCATGGGTCAAAAGCCAAATCGTACCCCATCCCAATCCCCACTATAGACTATCATGGGTGGTGCACCTACCCCCAAAATGGCACCAAAATGGTTTTGACCCACAGCCAAATACGTCTTGCTTGACCCAGAGCGGTCGCTGAACGATGTGGGTGGCTCGTCTTTTTTAGGTTTTTCTTTTTCTGATGGTATCCTTTTGGGTTGACTTAAAGGGAAACCAAACTGAAAGCCGCCGTTTTGGCGGGCCCAACCTAAGCAAAGACACACCCCTGTGTTGTTTTTGTGTGGAGCAAGCCACCCAACTCAACGGCAGCACGCCGCTGAGGTATCCAGACGCACACGATTCCGACGTGGATTAAAAAGGGGCAAACGGAGAAGGAAGTAAGTACAGCTGCAGGACGTGCTCTCCAGACTATGAATGCGCAAAAGGAATCCTTTGCGGGAGAAAAAAGCGTGGATCTTCACCATTGCTTCTGATGGCAATATTTGTTGAAGGGAAATTTCCAGTACCAGATCTTGAAGTTCCAAAACCGATGCTGATCATCCCAGAGGATTGAATAGGCTGATAGGTCGTATGGGGAGTTGCCAACATTAGGGGTCCTTGTTGGTATCCAATTGAAAAGGAGGGACAAGATGGCGCCGGGCTGCTTTGTCAAGCCCCCTGTATGAAGGACGGTGTGGTTTTGTAGTCTGTGCGAGGGGCAGGCGGGCAGCACGTCTGCTGCAGATTGATGAGGTTAGGCTTAATATTTTCTAGACTAGGCGCAAATCATTCAACACTGGCAGAAGAACGATAGGGTGTGCCAAGGGGGGCGTAACACTTATTGAAGGCATTGGTGTAGGCGTCTCCGTGTTTGCGGAAGTCATTCAGAAATAGAGTTGGGTGCTGACCGGATTCAATGAAATTGAATCCATGAAGTGGATCAAAGTTGATTCAGTGAAACTGTAGTGACGGCTGTTGAGTGGCAGCTCAGCGGCAGAAATGTGATTCCTGGGAAACGAAAAGTGCCTCTCTCATTTGAATACCCGCTTCGGGTGGTCAGCCGACCGTAAAAGCCCACCGTGCCGTCTGGGTTGGTTTAAGATCCGTTGGCTTTGCGTCTCCTTTGAACAGGTAAACACACATCTATAGTGAACATAAGCTTTGCCAAGCAGGTACAAAGGCTGTCCTCAACCAGTCATCCACCAGCTCGCCTTCTACCTTGGCCATCGCTCGAAGCAAAATTGTGTGCAAGGGAACTCACCAAAACCCGGCCAAATTCATATAAACTTTTGGAATGTGGTCCAACATGGGGGAACATTTTTCCCTGCCCCCTAGCCCTGTGGTATCCCCAACAGCCCGGCACTCCCCCTAGCGCCGTCCCCCCCCCAAACCACCCCTTGCCGCCTGTCGACCAAATCCATAGCTTTCGTGAACATCCCAATCTCCACTAAAATAGACTAAAATGGGTGGTGCACCTACCAACCAAAATGGGATCCCATAACGGTTTTGACCACCACAGCCAAATCTCTGAGGCTATGGCCACATCCCCGCGCTTGGTGGGCCTCCGGTCCGCTTTGGCGTCCAGGTCCGGCGCAGTCCGGTAACCCACCCCCTTGGCCCACACCACCTCGAAGAAAGGCATGGGGCATGGGGCCCCGGGGGCATGGCCAACAAGTCGACTCAGAACCAATCAGATCTGGCAGCTCAACTGGCTGAGTTCAGCTGAGGTCATTTGATTTGCTCTCTCGAAGTCTAGATAGCTTGTGGTTCGGCTCGTGCAACACAGAAACGTGCTTGTTTGTGTATGCGTGCGCACGTGTGGCTCGAGCGTGAAAATGCTGCAGGAGTCTCCAGGCATGCACATCTCGTTCTCAATGGCCCCTGGCAGTCACAAGGTCAAAACTCTGGCCTGTGGTCATGGCTCCCTTTTACTAGGAATCATTATACTGGTCATTAAAGATACCTACTATCAGGTGGATGAGCATCCCTGCTAACCCAAATAAAGGGGTCTTTTGACCATCGCGCATAAACATGTGAGCGACATGGGGGTGTAGGTTGATCGTTTCTTTTCGCAGCTCACCCCTTTCGTAAAAGGGGACAGTTGCGAGTTCGGGGGGTCGCATTAGTATGCCTCACGTGTTGAGGGTCCCTCTTTGGCTTGTCACACAAGGAAACCCAGCCTTTCGAAGTCGTTCGGAGCCGTTCTCAGCTTGCAATGGGGAACCCCCACCCCCCTTTCATGGTTGGTGTCCGTTGGGTTTTGAAGGGAAACTATCCCAAAACCGGGCTGCACAAAAAAAAAGTCTCACACGGCTCCTGAATCTTCTCCTGGTCATAGGTGCTGTCTGTCTCCTCCACCAGCTGCTCAAGCTGCTGGATTCGCTCCTCAAAGTCTCGGGCTGAGGGCTGAGCTGCTGACTCTGAACGGTGTTGCCAAATGGCAGAGCCAGGAATTCAAAATGACAATGTGGAGAGGGAGGGAGGGAGGGAGGGAGGGGAGGGGAGGGGAGGGGAGGGGGGGAGGGGAGGAGGGGGGGAGGGAGGAGGGAGGGGAGGGGAGGGGAGGGAGGGGAGGGGAGGGGAGGGGAGGGGAGGGAGGGGAGGGGGAGGGGAGGGGAGGGGAGGGGAGGGGAGGGAGGGAGGGAGGGAGGGGGGGAGAGAGGGAGGGAGGGGGGGAGAGAGGGAGGGAGGGAGGAAGGCAGGGAGGGGAGGGAGGGAGGAAAGGAAGGAAGGAAGGCAAGAACTTGGCCCACGCCCAAATCTCAAGGTTTGCTCATGCCCGCCCTGCGCCATGTTTTGGTCAGACCGGCCTTCACGGCGTCTGCGTGCTGGCCATCAGTCACCAAAACAGCCTGCAGGAGCCGAAGTTCGGAAAACACGTGCTAGTCGCCTCATAGCTTGCGACTATGATCATGACAAAATTCGCGTTTTGAATCAAAGTACCCCCAACAAAAATCCTCTCTACTCTGAAACGGCCACTTCCGCGCGCCTTCTCCTTCTCCACCACAACTTTTTCGCCTGAACTTGAGCCGTGATCTGCGCTGAACACACTGGTCCCGGCCGGAGCTTTTGGCCTTTCAAATAGTTCTTTGGCCTCGTTCGACTCATGGCTTTACTTGGTTATCAAGGAATAGGTATCAGCTTTACTATCCTACTTGAACCCAGGTCCCCTGCTTTTTGCTGAGACCATGAAGAACCTACACCAATTTGGCTGTGTCGTTCTGTCAAGGGCACCCCTTTCTTTCTGGCTTTAAAGGGAAGCCAAATGGCTGTGGCTTAAAACATGTACCAAAATTGCACCTTGGTATATGGAGCAAAAGACTAACGCTCGCGTAACGCCACACCCATATAGGAAAAGCTATATATGTTCCTTCTTGCCTTCCGGGGAAAAAAAAAAAAAAAAAAAAAAAAAACTGGACATACCGCCACTTTCACAAGACCAACTGCACCGTGACTGCACTGGGCCCCCCAAAAAAACCCAAATAGGGAAAACCACCAGTCTTTTAGGGCTCCCCCCAAAACCAAGCCAAAAAATGGCAACCCCGCAACCCCAACCCCAAAATGCAACCTAAGTGCAACCCCTAAAACCAGTACCCACCAAAAAATCGGCGGATGCTCACCCCCAAGGCCCAAGCAGGAGCCCAGCTGCGCCACGGTGGCGTCCGCCAAGGTCATCCCCAGCTCGGAGTTGATGAACTCGGCGCCTGTTCGACGCGAACCTCAAACGCTGGTCCTTGGTGGCGCCTCAGACCCCTGGGCTGTGCTTGGTGGGTCCCTTTTAGAGGGAGCTGAATTTTTAAGGGGCTGATTTGTTTAGAGGGAGCTAATTTATCTTTTTGTGGAGGGACACTCCTTGGTGTGAATGTGTGTGTGTGTGTCTCTCTGGTTTTTCAGATTTTTTGAGCTGAGTTTGGATGGATGGTTTTGAGGGTATCTGGTTTATGAGGGTGTGCCTTGAATGAATGAGGGTGTCTTTTTCAAGGGTTTGAATCTTGGTGGGTCCCGGTCCCTTTCGTGGACATCATTTAGGTGGCAAATCATGTCCAAACACTTTGGAGGCGTTTCTCAAAATCGGGATGTCGTTTTTGCATGGTTTAAAGTGGAAGCTGCACCGGGTGGAGTATGTATGGGGATCGGAAGTCACTTAAAACTACTCTAAAACTAACCCCAAACCTGTCGCGCGGGAATAACACACACAACTCGTGCTTTGAAAGAGACCGTTGATTGCTTTGGTCTGGATGCGATGAAAGACTGGTTGGACTCATCAATTGGCACGACATTACTCCGTCATGTCTCAATCGAGTCTTGACACTCATGGCGATGGCCCTCCCTGCACTTCCATGTCCCCTAGACCCTCGCGTGCGGCAAACTCGTTCCAAGGTCCCCCCCGATGTCCGTACTCCACATAGTTCAGCAACTGCAAGCCAGTGACACCCAAAAACTGTCACACCAAGTCGAGTCAACCACTCCATGTCAGCTTCCCTCTTGTCGGTGGTCTTCTGGCTTGGCGGGTTAGAGGTGTTCTGGAGTGGTTTCCCTCTACAAGAAGGGGTTGCAATCCAAATCCAGCCCAATCCAAACCACCTAGTAGCCCATGTCTTGACCAAGCAGATTTTTTCCGGAAACGATGAGACCACAATTGAGCAACGAATGCGCCCCATGTCTTCATGCGCCCCATCCCCGGCCACAGGCTGGGGCCAGCCTGTGGCCAGCGCAATGTCCTGCAAAATCGCCGTCTTGCGGGCACCGAAGGCCGGCGCCTGGCCAGGCGGAAGAATTCGTCCGGGGCAAAAGAATCTTAGTCCAAAGGGATGATATTCAATAGGGGCAAAATCTTGATCATCCCAAAGGGCGACCAAGAATCGTAAAAATATATTCCGAGAAAAAAATGCTGGATGATTCTTGGTTGCCCTTTTGGATCCACGCACATCAGAGACTTGACCTTGCCAAACCTCAGGTGTTGCATCCGGCCTTGATGGCCACTACGTCCAGGATACCCCGCTGCTTGTTGAGCACCAAGGTCTGCAAGGCCTGACATGCTTGGTGCCATGTGGGTATGGGTCAAAATTAAACCACCCGGGGTCTGCAGGTTTTAGTCTACTTGTTTTTTCATCAGTGTTATTTTGGGTACCTATTTTTCACCCACAGCCATGGTTGTGGTCATGACTCTCTCCGAGAAACCAGCAAAAAAGGACCGTGTGTTCTCGATTCCCTCGTGGGACTAAGGTCTTTGATCTTCTGGACAAATACTTTACATTTGTGCCAACGGCACCCTGACGCATGTCTGCCCACTTACCTCTTCCGATCTTGACACCCATCCTTCCGCATGGGTTGCATCGCGGCGGCTGAATTCAAGCGATTCGCCTTTAAACTCGTCGCTCCCGGGCCTGGGGTTTGGCACTATCTTTGGTGTTGCTCGTCGCGAAGCCACGCTTGGGGAATCGTTGTTCTCACTTCCCCGGCTCCGCAACGTTCGCTTTTAGCTGGCTAACGGACCACAATGCGGGAAGCCCAAAGGGAGAAATGGGGACTCCCGCGCTTTCGCTGGGTATGTGGAACTCCGATTTCCTGTAGTTCCCGGCTCGCTGGGGTCCATCTGAGAAGGAAGCAATGGCACGGTTGGTCACACTGGGCTTCTCGGATTTCCTCTGATGGTTCAAGGCCTGCCATTCGTCAGCCCCAGAAGCCAGGTGGTTTGCATGGTTTTCCAGTATATGGATGTCTTTGTTCACGGCACCTTCTTCGGGGTTGGCTTAAAGGGGAACTAAAGGGAAACCACCCAGGGTGCCTTTTTGTGACACATCTATCTCATGAAGAGCAATAGCCTCCCCAGTGACGTCGTCTGCGATGATGAAAATCGGCTGCTTGCTCTTCAACAGCTCCTAGGCTTGCGGGGAATCAATCTTCTGCCTGTTCTATGTGTTCCCAAAGTAGAACAAGACATCTCAACATCTCACTCCCCAACAATAATGGAGGCTAGCACGGCTTTGAACCAAAAGTGTTCCTTTTGGGGAAGCCCCATGCCCCCTTTGCTGACAATACAGAGAATAGCATTGACCCGAGACAGCAGAGTATCGCTCCTCAAGTAGAGTGAGGATGTCATAAGCGTCCGAAAGCTTCTGATCCGTGACCAGCACTCTCGGCCTCGCACGAAACACTGCGTATGCCAGTCAGATGTCAGAAATAATTACATCCAGAAAACGGAAGATTCAAACCACCAAACTGAAAAACACAATGCTTCAACGCCTTCAAACCAATTCAAACCAATTCAAACCATCCCATTTTCCCAGGCTTCCTGGCTCCGCCTCGCCCTGTGGCCCGCGCTTCTTGAGCTCAGCCACTAAGCGCTGGGTATCTGTCACGAAGTACGGAGAGATGTAACCTGACAACGCACCCATCACTTAAGGGAACGCCCCCCCCTTTTCCATGGAATGGGATTATTCATCCTGGGTCGGCAATAATAGGTACTTCGGAGTTGGCCAGTGAACATCCGATTCAATCCAACCACTCAAGGTTCTAAAATGGGTGGTGAATTCGCGTACTCCAAAAATGGTACCATGGGTTTTGACCCCCAGCCGTGCTCCTAGCCAAACAACATCAGGCAACCATGGGGCGGCATATGTGAGAAAGATGTATCTCGACGCAACCACCGCTTGTGTCCTCTCAAATCTGGTATGTGCCAAGAGGATGTGCAGCAGTACCCTCTTATGACCAGCAAAACATTGAAGTCTCTTCAAAAAAAGGTTTTACTGTGGATGGGCGAATTCCTGTATCCCCTAACAAACCCCGGTTTCTGATAATGTAAGTACCAACAAACAATGGCTTCAACCATGGCTTCCAAGCGGTGTGAACGGAATTTGCAACTATCCACACGCTGTGTCCAGCCCAAGTCGCCTCTGTCCAGCGTGAGACCCTCGCTGACCTCAACCTGAAGCGGGCTCAAGGTGGCTTGGAACTCCAAGGTGCCATGTGGATCCATGTGGGCTGTGGTAATTAGATGCCCTATAATTGTTGCCAGGGGACTTAGGGTTAAACCCTGTGAATTCACCTCGGTTGGCTTACTTGCAATGCATCCGGGGCATCCGTACGCAACAAACTGCCACCGAAAGGGTCGCACAGTCCAAGCAACCGTCACGGCATCCGCGCGCCTCGTCCTCCAAAACCTGGGACTCCTCGATGACCTGATGTGCGACTCGCGACTCGCTGGGCCTTTCCCCTGAAAGGTCGGTACGATGGGGGGAACTTTTAGTGGTTGAACGGAAAACCCATTAGTTGGCAAAAAATTAAAGTCCTAACATCCAAGCAAAATGCCCAAAGAAAGTCCATTTCCCTAAAGGAGCTTCCTCCACACATAGCGGTTTTTCTGGGGGTCCTTCTGGTAAACTGTCGGGGAATGGCGCGAGCTCCTTCCTAAGAGAAGCGATAAATCTTGAGACGCTAGGACACGAGGTGGGTCAAGGAACTAGCATGGCACATGAAGGCGCTTGCAAACAAATCCGCAGGCCGCACTCAGATTCCAGCCACATTCCCAGTGTCACCGACACGTTTGAAGGCCTGGCGATCGAGGCGAGCGCACGGTTCATGCAGCCTGTTTGGTGCATGCGCCCCCAAAGTAGGTCAGGGGAGCAAACTGTTACGAGACGAGAATCATGGAGCCCCATTCATCCGCACATGGTCCATCGAGATGTTCGGACTCGGGATGCAAATTTGAAACCTTCTGTCTTGGTGCTGACAACTCAACGTCGGAAGAACGGACCCTAAGCGAAGTGTCCACAGTTTGAAGCCAGAGCATTCTCGTCATCCACGGGTTGCATGCATTTAGCAGCTTGAAAAATGCGTATATCGCTTTTTCTCAACGGCTGAAAGCTATGGGGTATCCGCCCAGAAAATGCGGTTCCGTAGTGGCCCGGAACTCCAAGTTCCGGACAACCTTCGGCGATTGGGTGGGCCCAAAGCGATCTGGTAGGGTGCTTCTGCGGATGGTGCAAGCAAGGTTGGGGCATCTCTTCGTAGGCAGCCTGCCTCGGCAATCATCTGACCCATGTTCTCGTTCCCGCCGACGGACACCGTAGCAATATCTCGCGGACACGTGTCAGGCAGACAAACTACACAGCATGTTTATATATATAATGTAGACATATACATGCATATCAATATGAACCCGCGAGCAATTAGATCTTGACTGGTGTGGACACTGTCCAGAGCATGCCGACAAGAAGACCTACTGGTTGCACCCCCAAGTCGGTCCACGTTGTCCACGTTGGCTTTGCGAGGTCTTCCCAGCTGCATCAGCCGGACAAGGAGTTCTTGTGCGTTTGCCTTTCATAGGACCAAAGTTCTTCAGCGCGGTGGCCACTGCAGACGATCATGCATTTGAATAGGGAACCACCTAAATATGTTCACCTAATCATGTCCATCAAAGGGTCCGGGACCCATTAAATACTGGGCTGCCCTCAGATCTCCTGCTAAAAGCTTAACTTTTAGTGACCTCCATGCTGCCCGGTTAAATGCCAACTACCACTAAACCCGAAAAGCCTACAAGGCTAAGACGGCTGGGGCCACAAAGAATATCCACACCCAGATGCAGAGACCAGGGAATTTCCGACCAATGCACTCTCAAAAACCCGTGGCCTTTCAGGTCGCTGCTCTCAACGGGCTTTGCAAGCTTCTCCACCTGAGGCAACATCCACAGCACTCAAGATCCCATAAACAAGGTATCTATGTGTTTATGTTTGCGCATCAATGTATATATATATATATATATGCTACCCCCCCCCCCCAGGTACCCAGGTTTGGGCTTGGTTCAGATGTGCTTTGACCGCGGAAGCAGGCAGGAAGAATAGCTCAGATTTGCACACTGGGAGACCAGAGGAAGGAGGTTTGCCTCATTGAAGACAGGCGCCTTGCACGTGACCCATGCCCTTTTTCAATGGCTCTTCCACACAAAATTCAATTCACATATCTTCCCGCACAAACCATGCCTTCTTTCAAAGGCTCTTCCACAGATAACTCACATATCTTCCCACACAAACCATGCCTTGTTTCAAAGACTCTTCCACAGGAAATTCACACATCCTCTCACCCAACACATGTCTTTTTACATGTCTTCTTTCAATGAAACAAAGGCAGCATATATTGAAAGAGTCGCTAAGGAAAGGGGACCCTGTGTAGAATAAAACCAGGCTATGGCTGGGACAGTTTTGTTACGCAAATGGTGGTTTTACATGATATGTACTGTCTTTTGCTGTACTTTTATGAATCACTGTAACCCTGACTCTTCCACAAAGACTCACATATCATCTCTCACACAAAACATGTCTTTTCAATGACTCTTTTCTACCGAAAATTCACATATCCTCTCACCCAGAACATGTCTTCTTTCACAAAGGTTCACATATCCTCTCGCCAAAACATGCCATTTTTCAAAGGCTCTTCCGCACAAAATTCATATATCTTCCCACACAAACCCCTTCTTTCAAAGACCCTTCCACAGAATATTCACATATCATCTCACACAAAGCATGTCTTTTCAATAACTCTTCTCTACAGACAATTCTTTCATCCTCTCACCCAAAACATGTCTTTTTACATGCCTTCGATCACAAAGGTTCACATATCCTCTCACCAAAACCAAAGGCTTTTCCACAGAAAATTCGCATATCTTCCCACACAAACCATGCCTTCTTTCAAAGACTCTTCCACAGAAAATTCACACATCCTCTCACCCAACACATGTCTTTTTACATGTCTTCTTTCAATGAAACAAAGGCAGCATATATTGAAAGAGTTGCCAAGGAAAGGGAACCCTGTGTAGAATAAAACCAGGCTATGGCTGGGACAGTTTTTGTTACATAAATGGTGGTTTTACATGGTATGTACTGTCTTTTGCTGTACTTTTATGAATCACTGTAACCCTGACTCTTCCACAAAGACTCACATATCATCTCTCACACAAAACATGTCTTTTCAATGACTCTTTTCTACCGAAAATTCACATAGCCTCTCACCCAGAACATGTCTTCTTTCACAAAGGTTCACATATCCTCTCACCAAAGCATGCCTCTTTTCAAAGGCTCTTCCACAGAAAACTCACATATTTCCCACACAAATCCCTTCTTTCAAAGACTCTTCCACAGAATATTTACATATAACCTCACACAAAGCATATCTTTTCAATAACTCTTCTCTACAGACAATTCTTTCATCCCCTCACCCAGAACATGTCTTCTGTCACAAAGGTTCACATATCCTCTCGCCAAAACATGCCATTTTTCAAAGGCTCTTCCGCACAAAATTCATATATCTTCCCACACAAACCCCTTCTTTCAAAGACCCTTCCACAGAATATTCACATATCATCTCACACAAAGCATGTCTTTTCAATAACTCTTCTCTACAGACAATTCTTTCATCCTCTCACCCAAAACATGTCTTTTTACATGCCTTCGATCACAAAGGTTCACATATCCTCTCACCAAAACCAAAGGCTTTTCCACAGAAAATTCGCATATCTTCCCACACAAACCATGCCTTCTTTCAAAGACTCTTCCACAGGAAATTCACACATCCTCTCACCCAACACATGTCTTTTTACATGTCTTCTTTCAATGAAACAAAGGCAGCATATGTGAAAGAGTTGCCAAGGAAAGTGAACCCTGTGTAGAATAAAACCAGGCTATGGCTGGGACAGTTTTTGTTACATAAATGGTGGTTTTACATGATATGTACTGTCTTTTGCTGTACTTTTATGAATCACTGTAACCCTGACTCTTCCACAAAGACTCACATATCACCTCACACAAAACATGTCTTTTTCAATAACTCTTCTCTAATGAAAATTCACATACCCTCTCACCCAGAACATGCCTTCTTTCACAAAGGTTCACATATCCTCTCATCATGCTCCGCAAATGTTGCGCAACATTTGGAATTTGTTGCGCAACATTTCCCTGGACAAAAAAAAACAAAAAAAAAAAAACAAAGAATCCCAGCCATGGTGGGGGCTAGGATTGGTTTCTTTGTTTTTTGGTTTTTTGGTTGTTTGGTGTTTTTTGGTGTTTTGGTTGTTTGGTTTTTTTGGTCCACAAAATGGCCTTGCAGAAAATGCATGAGTTCAATCAAACATACACTGTAAATATCAATGGTTTTGATACATGATGCAACAACACCTGGGTACGGGGGGGTACCATATATATATAATATACATATATATATATATACAGTCCCCACATCTGGGTCTTTCTCTGGGTCGTATCTCCCAAAACGGCTGCCAGAGCGCAGCCAGCCTCTGCGGAGATGAAGGACGATGCCGCCTGCCGACGTCAGAAACTGGCGCCCGGTCACCACGGAAAGCCCATGTTTTTGCTAGGTGCGACAGGCCCAGTGAGATGGGGCCCAGGTCTGGCTTTCCTGGAATAGTACTAGCCGCGACTTCCCTCAATTTTCAACACCCCAGAATTTTGAGACTTGCCGCCCAGAAAGTTGGAGAAGTTACATGATGGATTTTGGGAAAGCATGGCCTGGCTTTTGGCACAAGCTGGAAGTGCTGGACATGGTCCTTTCTAGAACTCTATCTTGAAATAAGGATCCCTAAAATCATGTTGTTACCTCCAGTTGCCCACCCAAATTGTGGGGCATCCCTCCAGAAAAAAAAAGACACCGAGCCGCTCCATCTGCGTCACACGTCACACATCACACGCGCTCGCGCCCCCGGCCCGCATGCCCTTCTGCATGAGCACGGGGTTGAAGCCGCTGCTCACCAGCTGCATGCCCTGGCCGTGGGCGCCTTTTCTGATGCTCAGGGCCCCGAACCCAGGCTCATTCCCAATATGGGTGTGGACATGTATGCCATATACATAAAGAATTACTGTTATTATTAGAACTATAATTACCATAATTCGGATAACTATCATTAATATCGTTGTCGTTGCTATTATTCGTATAATCTATTATTATTATTGTTACTACTAGTAGTAGTAGTAGTAGTAGTAGTAGTAGTAGTAGAACTAGTAGTAGCAGTAGCAGTAGCAGTAGCAGTAGCAGTAGCAGTAGCAGTAGCAGTAGCAGTAGCAGTAGCAGTAGTAGTAGTAGTACTAGCTTAATCATTGTTCTTATCATTTTCAGTATTATTCTTTATTAGTATTATTATTAATGTTATTATTATTATTATCATTGTTATTAGTAGTAGTATTTTTATTATTATTCATTATGATTATCATTATCATTATCATCGTTATTATTAGGGTTTATTATTGTTTATTGGGTGTTTTATGATTATTTTTCTGATTATTATTAGTAGTATTATGATTATTTATTATTATCATTATTATTATTATGATTAACATTATTATTATTAGTATTATTATGATTATGATTATGATTATTATTATTATTATGATTATGATTATGATTATTATGATTATGACTATGATTATTATTATTATTCTTATTATTATTATTATTATTCTTATTATGATTATGATTATGATTATTATGATTTGTGATTATTATGGTTATTATTATTATTATTATTATTATTATTATTATTATTATTATGATTATTATTATTATGATTATTCTTATTATTATTATTATTATTATTATTATTATCATCAGTGTTTTCATTATGTTGTCTTAGTTGTTGTCATTTTGGTTATTAAACTATTAGTTTTCAAAATAGTAATATTATCATCATTATCATTATCATAGTATTATTATTTGTGCGTGGTTTCAATAAGAGGTGTGTCTGTTTGTGAGGATACCCTGTGGGAGCTTATTTAAGGGAACACCGAAGGACAACCACCTATGTTTTCTGTGCGGGGGAGGGTCCGCTTGAGAGAAACTCACGCCGGTGGCTTGATAACTGATGTTCCGCTCAAAACGCAAGCCGGCCTCGTTGACCATCTCCTGAGCAATGGACACGCTCATCTCTGTTTGAGGGACCCCATTTCTTGTGGTTTAAAGGGAAACCAAAAGGAAAACCACCGGTTTTTTTGGGGGGGGGCCCTCAAAAGACACACCCGACCGTTGACGCAATTCCTTGATATGGCAGCTTGCCTTCCTGCATGGGTGACTACACTCGGCAGCGGCGAGAATTGGAAAATGTCTGCTGACGCGGAAATTGATAATCTAGATACTAGTGCAAGAGCTCAAGGCAACGGACACCACCCCAAATCCACCCCAAACCCCGAGGGTGTGTCGGGTGGGACGTTGACCCGATCCACCCTGAGGTCACGATTTTGACCATTGCGGGGAGTTCTCACAGTCAGAAAATTGTTGTTGCTTCCTTCAACCTACACACTGAGAAATCACGGGGCCCAGTCCAGCTGGAGTCCATCTGGGACGGTCCTGCGTCAGCACCGCTGCGCTGGTGGTGCCATCCCCGGCGTTGGACTCGGACTTGGCGGAGGCCTGACTCAAACCCCCGCGTTCGAGGCGCGTAGACGGGCTTTTCCGGGGCCGAACTTTTGGTGGCGCGGTACCTTTGTGTGAAGCGATTCTCAAGCCCATGTTTGGGGCGCTTGCCCAAAGAGAGCTCAATGGTCTTAAGGGAAGCCACCGAGCTGCCAGTTGGAGGGGCGGAGTTCATGTCAGGTTTTTTTACAGAGTAGATATCAAATCATGTTGGTGACTACTGGCGTGTAAAAGGCATTTGCGTCGTGTCTCTGCAGCTGCCCAAATCCCATTGACTTTGTGTCTACTACGATGATTAGAATGGCTTGCAAAGGCCTTACTACTACCTTCATGAAACCAGGCAGAACTCATTTGGTTTGGGCTTTGCAAGCCAACCACCTTTGGCTATCACACCATATAGCCGGGTAGTAGAACCACCATCCAAAATGGCCAAGAGGGGTTTTGGCGGTCAAATGGAGCAGCTTGATGGGCCTGCGTCAACAGCTTCGCGCCCAAGTTCATCTCCTTGTCCTGGCAAGCATCGGCATTTGAAGCAAACACCTGGGCTGTTTCTCGAACTGAGAAATCATCAAAACCGATCGGTATTAACATGGTCTACGCAGAATCATGCCTTCAAGATTTCAAACGGCGGCGAAGGCGCCCATATTTATGGCTGGGATTATATCCCTTACTAACCTTCATCTACTCGAATGTTGATTGTGACTCAAATGAAAAGCACCCGCCGGCGCTTCCGCAACTTCCATGTTGCTTTGCCTGCTTGACCCCTACCCTGTACACCAAGACCTGGATGAAGTCGCAGCCTCTCCGAACTCCAGAGCGGGCCTGTAAGGAAATAGCCCGGGCGATGGTCACGCCATCGTTGACAATCTGAGGCACCTGAGCAAGAGCTTTCCACTCGGAAAGCCTGGGATGTACATCTGGGCATGTGGTTTTCAAGGCGACTCCCTCGTTCCACCAATCCAAATGTCTCCGGGGTTCCTTCCAAGTGGAAAACCACAAGAGAAGCCAGGTACCAAAAGTCAGCCCGCCTTCTTCTTTTCACCAGCCCACCCGCTTCGGCCCCTCGTTTTTTAGGGCACCCCCTGACCCCCTGACCCCCGAGTCGTCTTCGTCTTCGCCTGGAAGGACTCTCGCTGGAGCACCACGTTTCGGCCCTTCGGCCCCAGGGTCACCTTCACCGCGTTGGTCACCGCGTTGATGCCCGCCTGGAGCCTGCGACGGGAAACGGGTCCCGGGTCCCGGGCAAGGCGGGGCCCGCGGGACCGGCCAGGCGCGCAAGGCACGGGACGGGGCCGCTCGAACGTCGAGTGCAAATGGCAAAGGCTCACCCCAAAAAAACAGACAAGACACAGATGGGGGTTTGCTCAAAATTGGGACTACAGAAAATTGGTGTCCTACCGGAAACCCTCCAACATGGGATCGATCGATAAGAAGACTTTGGCCACGGATTCGACCCCCTCCGCTTCTTCGGGTCGCTCGTTGGCCGCTCTCCGAGTTTTTTCTCGCCGAGAGGCTTCTGCTGGCCAGCTTCTCGGAAGGAGATCTTCTTCGCGGCCTGGCGAGGCGAGGCGATGCCATTCGCCGGGCCCAAGGGAGTGGTTTTCAAGATGGGAAGCGGTCCCCTGAAGCGAGTGGCGCGTCTTTTTTCAGGTAACCCCCCCCTTTTTGGTTGGAGTTTAGGGAACCAAAAGGAGAACCGAAATCGAGGTTGACCAAAACGTGGTCCACCCTGCTATGAAAGGCCGAAACATGGACCTCCGTATGGACTCCGCCAGCTGCCTCTCTCACCACGGCGCTTTGATCTCGTGCGGGGACTTGGAAGGATGGGCGGCCTGCGATCCAGATCTTGGCAGCTCACCATTTCGCCTTATGAATGACCTCCTGCAAGTGATGGCCTTCCCATTTTGCGTGAACTCCATCTTGAACAGCATCCCACCGCATCTTGCCATTCACGAAATCCTCAATCCGGAGACCAGTGAAAGAAGGCATAGCCACCATGTTTTGACCTGGGTCACTGAAAAGCCCTGTCTTTACCACTGGTGTTCCATGGGTGGTGTCCGGTTTTGCCTGGCGCGTTTCCACGCGTTTCCAAGCCCCAAAGGCAGCTCCGAGAAGCCCCTAAACCCGGCCTGCCACGAAATTGCACTGCCAACTGACGGCGGCCTGAGGCAAACTTGGGTTCGCGGTGCTGAAAAGCGCCGACCACTTGGAAACAAGGCAAAAGCCTTTGTTTGTTGGTATTTACAGGGGAATCGAATTATTTCTGGGTTGCTTGGTGGTGCAGGATTTCGTCCATACACAGCAACACACTAGTTAAGGGCTGAGTGAGATTCATAAAGCGCTTATATATGCCGTCCGATGTTGCTGGGGGAAACGGCAAATGTTGAGGGGAATCTTTGAAGGCAACAGGTCTTAAGTTACAAGGGGAAATCGACCAGGGAAAACTCAGATGCTGTTTGTTGCTTTCTATTTTCATCTGTGGATCCCGCCAGAGAGTAGCCGCTGCCAGATTGCAGGTATATGGATCATTCCCTCCCCCGCCCGCCAAACCTTAAGACCAAGAGCTGTTGTTCAACAACGTTTAATCAACATTATGATGGTTGCAGCCGTTGTCCTCTTACAGTTCTCAAACAAAAGCCAATGGGTGTGTCTTGTTTTAGGGACCCCAACATGGTTGTTTTCCGTTTTGATTCCCTTTGACCAAGGAGTTCCGAGCCTCACAAAAAGACAAACAGGGATTTCCCAAATCAACAGTTGATCCATTTACTGTTGTGGTGACCAATTGAAGTCGCCACAGGTTTCCTTGAAAGGGAAATGGCTCGGAAATCCTGACAAAGCCTCAGAAGTGCCTGCCGGTTTAAGACAAGCCCAATGAGTGTGTGGACCCCCCACACGGTGGCTCTCCTTAGAGTTTCCCTTTAAACCAACCAAGAAACCAACCGACCTAAAAGATCTAAAAGTTTCCCTTTTAGTTTCCCTTAAAACCAACATGGCTCTCCTTTCAGTTTCGCTTTGGACCAGCCAACAAGCAGCAGTTCCACCGGCCCGGCTGTGCTTTCTTCCCGAGAAAAACGCCGCGCCCCGAACGTCTCGGTGCCGCGCCAGCGCCCCCAGCAGCGCCAGCTTCGAGAGCCGGCTGCGCCTCATTCGAGCCATCGCCTGAGGCGACGTCGCGGCCGCAAAGCGGGCCTAAGAGACCTCATCCACCGCACGATGGATGCATCCACCAGTAAGTCTCGAAAAATCAAAAGGTCAGGCTAAAATTTTCCGTTGATGTGTTGGACTTTCTCTGGCTTCTGCATTTGCTGTTTCTTGTTTGGGTCACTGGCGCTTCAAGACATCCACGTAGCAAGACCCTCGGGAGGAAAGGGGGGGAAGTGGGAGAAGCGCAGTCAGTCCTATTACTGGCGGGTGAAAGTGCGTGTGGCCTGTGCCTTTTGTTGCAAGGGCGAAGGTCCACAAGTTGAGAGGACCTGCAAAAGAAGGCATCTTTCCTGGAAGGGCCTTCAATTCCTGCTCGTTTTCTTTGAACTGGATCTGTTACGGATAGGCGCCGTGTTTGCGGTTCAGACGTCGGCCATAGAAACGTCTGCCTGTCGTCCAATGTGGACTCAACCAGCGTGAGTGTTACGGATCGAGAGAGCCAGACGCTGAGCATTGCTTGTCGACAAGAGACACGGCAAGTTGCAAGCCTTCAAAACCAATTGATTTATCTGAGCAGCTCTTGGGTCTCGTCTATTTGACACCAGGCAAAGATTGAAAGCTCAACAGCTGATATCAACCTCCTGAAACATCCCAGAATCGAATCTCGGGAGGCAACCATCCTGCTGACATGTACAATGCAGGTAGGGGAAACAGCTGAATCATCTGCTCTCTGAAGCAGTTGAAACCCAAAGAGGGACCAGCAGAACATGGTCAAAATTGCCCTCGAACGCCGCGGTCGGGAATTGAGTAGGCGTGAGACCCGGGTGAAGGCTGGGCCCCGATGCAACTCTGCATGTCCCCAACAGAGTCTAAATCCAACCCCGGCGAGAAGAAATTTGAGCCGCCTGTGGTCTGCGCTGGTGCACGTGCAACGTGCTTGCCAAATCCTTCTTTGGTCCACTGAGCCAAATGGCCAAATCCAGCAAAGGTGAACTAAGAGCTCTGTCAGAAAGACGCTGCCCCAATCACAAGACTCTAAATCGATCTGGCATACACGGCAATGCAAGATGTTAGGTCAAGGGCGCGCGTTTCCAGCAGGCACGCATCAGTTCGTCGTACCGCGGCGAGTAACATTTGTTCATGCAGAGTGGGCATAGCATAGATTGGCATGGGCCAGTAAAGGCCGCAAGTATTAAAACTCCACACACACACACAGACTTTTGAAGCTGTGAAACGGGTGTCTTTTTCGAGGCTCGGTACATCTCGGTACCGTACCCGAAACCAAAGGAAACCCGGTAACCGCCATTTCGGGGGGGAACCTTCACAAACACGACTCAAACAGGAACAGGTGTCTTGGTGCTGCATGGGTTGGAAACATCCAATCGTCGAACTAGAAGCGGAGACCCTCATGAATCTTTGGAACACCCAGTTGGGTGTCTTTTTTGGAGGTTGGACCCCCCAAAATGTCGTTTACCGGTGTCCTGTTGTTTTTTCTTGAAAACCAAAAAAGCGGCGTACCGAGCCTCCAAAAAGCCGCGGAACACACCCCCTTGGCACGGGCGCTAAGGGCGCTCACCGGCGGCAGCCTCACCTAGCAGCTCGATTCTCCGCGGAGAGTAGTCCCAGCGCTTTCGCGGCGAGTTTCATTGGGATAAAGATGGATGAAACATGAGAAACCCTGTGAATCGTGGGATAAACCTGGGACCACTGACTAAGTGGTGCAGGACTTCGTGCATCCACAGTAATTAGGGGTAAAGAAAGAGGCTCCCGGAGGTCTTCAGCTGACTTTGACAGGGCGCATTCTTGAATATCTCTGAAGTATCTCTGATCAGGGATGAAGTTCCCAGGCGATGAAATAAAGGGGGACCCCAACATTTGTCCCTTCTAGGGTTCTTGAATTCTGCCTCTTTGGGCCGCCCCCCTTTTTATGTGGGCCACTTGAAAGGGGCACTCACTGGATTGACACAACCTCTTAGCCTCCCCGAGAGAGAGAAATTCTGCCCCTTTGACTTAATCACCTAGTCAATTGGCTGCTTGGAGATGACAGCACCAAATCGGGGACGAGGGGAACATTCTCAAAAATAATCTCTCTTGTTTCTCATGTTCACACTTTTGGTGTCAGCACCCCACCAGTTGGTATGCTTGACCATGGACAATCATGATCACGCGACAACCCATGACACGCTTTGATGCCGTTCTGTTTCAGGTCGGATGTGCAACATGTTGGCTTGTGTAACTCACTGGAGGAACAATTCAATGCTCTGTAGCCATCAACTAGTGTCCCTGCGCACCCTAAGCGCGCAAAACTGTCCAACATCTAGCATGCAATGCAATGTGTCAACTATAACAACCACAAAACAAAAGGGGGAATGTGGTTGCAACTGTTAGTAACTGGCTTCCAGGATGGGTTGCTTGGGCACCGGTTGCCATCCTTGCTTGTTCTGCCACAGCTTTCTGCGACGCATCCACAAAAAAGCAAGACGGGCCGAGCTCGTTTCTCGTGCGACACGCATAAGGAGACTTCTGCCCCTCAACGGCCAGCTTGGCCACCACTTCGCTCGCAGATCTGCAATGAGCTACAATAGAATGGGGATGTGGGGTACCAAAACACGAAATTTGGTCATGGCCCCCAAAACAAAAAGCCTTCCTCTTGTTGAACTGGATTGCATTTGTCAAATCACGACTTTGGCCGTGGTTCACTGTACTGGATGAGTCAACACAACTATTACCTTTTCCAACTGGAGGGAAAATAATGCTGGTATTTGTTCAGCCCTTGTGTATTGGCACCCTTGTCTGCTTTAAAAGTGTGAGCAGTGCTTGGTGCAAAGAGGCAAGTCGCCGAGACATGCAGGGCATGCACAAGGAAGAAGCTTTCGTCAACATACTCCCCTGAAGATTGACATGGTCATGCTTAGAGGAAACTCCATGTTGATTTGCACGATTGGCACTGAAGCAAATGCTCACTACATATCAGTGGCAGAGGCCGGAAATTCAGACTATGTGCCCCATGCTCGCAAAACAATCCTCAAGTGGTGCGAGTTTGGGGCTGCAAGTCAACACATGGGCGTGTCGTTTTTCACAATTGTGGTTTTTGTGTGGTTTCCCTTTAAAGGGTACCCTCAAAAAACGACACACCCACATTTGAACAGCCGCCCCGATGAGATGTGGGCTCTCTCTAGCCCAAAGCTAAAGCCTCGGTTCAAACATGGTGCCAAACAGCAAGTGCGATGATGCTCGAGTGCAGAAAGGAGCGTCCAATCAACTTGTGCCATTTACTTGGCATTGCACTGCCAGCTTTCCGAAGAAACAAGCCATGGTCCCACATGCTGAAGGTCAAACATGCCTTAAGAATGCAAATGACCATGTATTGAACGAAACGAAGGCTGGCAACGCTTCAAAAATAGAGCTGCGTTCCTCTCCTGTTCATGTAGAGAGTGAGGGTCGGCCGTGGTAGCCAACTATAGGTTTTGGTATGCGCTGGCTGGTGTTACCAATGCCAGGCACAAAACCGACTGTACAAATAGGACACCTTTCCCCGTGCCTTTGCAAACAGCCGCAGTCTTTGGGCTGACTTACGTCTGCATAGACAATAGCAAGATTACTGAAGTTCACATGCTTTCATTTGTGTGAGCTCCTTTGCAGACAGCCATATTTTGGCTGCGGATTGGTTTCGCCTGTTGGTTGCAGCTGGTCACGCAGCAGTTCCCTTGCCTGGCTGAAGCCTGAGGGGCTTCTCGCTCTGCCTCGATGGGATCCGTTGCTGCCAGAGAGCCTGCACCAAGCTTCTCAGCGAAAGTGGGTCTGCCATAGTGACGAAGGCATAGCCACAGTTGCGGCCACTCCTGTTGACAGGAAGAGACAGGCCGAACGGTAATGGAGTATGTGCGCGGAGGAAGGCATCTAGCTCTTGGTATATTGCGAATCATGAGCTTCCTTGCAGCCTGCCAAGTAGGATGATCCGGGTGAAAGCCATATACATCGTCCTCATCTTCATCTTCATCCCCTGACCCGTCTTCGGGAGGTACTCCATCTGGCTGTGGCGGCTGTGAGAGGGCATTCTCTGCAGATAGGGCTGGCGAAGACTGGACCCGAGCGAGCCTCGCCTCCGCCGGAACCAGTTCCAAAAAGGTGCGAGATGTTCGAAGGAGCAGGTCTCCCTCCACGTCCCATGCCGGCTGCATCGAGTGACAGATCCACTAATTTGCTTTTGATGCAACAGCTACAGCCGGCAAAAGCAGCAACTGCCCCGGGGAATCAAGCCTAGGCCTTTATCATCCTCTCTGTCAACTCAATGTTTCGGTTTGTACCACGGAGACTTGCGAGCCGATCTATTTGCTGGCGCGACTTGCCCAGGACACATGCACCTATGCCCTCCAACACAGATCTTTTCTCGTGCTGGAACATTGCGCTTTGACAGTACATCATGAGCAAAGCATAGAGCATGTTGCACAAGCGCACATATTTTCTGAAAGCCTAGTCTTCACCTCTGGCAGACCTTAAAGCATAGTTTTGTTTGCAAGCGGTGGCAAACAACAGGGAGTAGTGTGTATGTCGGGCTTGCACAACCGGATCGGCTTACAAGTTCGCTTGCGTGAATCGTCCAGCCTTGCAGCAATGGTGAGCTTTCGATTTGTTCGTAGGTTCTAGAAGGTTTTGACCCACAGCCACATTTTTTACAGGATCCACCGAGTCGCCAGCCCGCGGGTTTTCCCTCGGCGCTTTCTGCGCGCCTCGCTTCGGCCAGGCCGGCGGCAGCCGCGGGGCGCTCCGCGCGCTCCGCGCGCTCCGCGCCAGGCGGAGCGCGCGGAAGGCCTCCGCGCCTGCGAGCGCTCAAAGCCCAGCGGGCGCGAGGCATCCGGAGCCGTCCGGAGCCCGGGGCTGCAGGTCACTCCGGAACACGGCTTCACATGCATTGAGTTTTTTCATAGCCCCATGTAAGTGGGTCTTTGGTTCTTCTCAGGGGAATTTGGGGTTCCTTGAAGCAACCATTTATGTTTTTGGGGGGTGGGGGGTAGCCATAGGCTTACGGAAACCTCAAGGAGGTTTCAATCGATTTGGGTGGGGCGCATGCTTCTGCCTGGCAAAAGGCCCACGCAAGGGATCTGGCTCGGAAGCCGTGTAAGGTCTAGGCGCGGACAGGGCTCGGGGAATGAGCTTCAGAATCAAAATGTCTGGCACCAAACCTGTGCTCGGACCCCCTTTTGCTTGGTTTTAAAGGGAAACCAACAGGAAAACCCACCATTTTGGGGTCCCCAAACAAAAAGACATACCCATCATACCCTTTGGCTGAATCATTGAACTGTGCAGGGCACTTGCCTCATCCTTATCTCACAATGCTACTGCGTCGTCGAGTCGTTCCTGCCTGGGCCCTGCGCTTTGGCAGGCCTAAGATTTCCCCACAAGCACCGCACTCAGAATCGGGATGTGGCTTTAAAACCAAGGCCATGATCACAAGCTAATGCGAATCTGGGCTGTCCGTTTTCTGATCCCCTGACAGAGGTGAACTGTTAGTCGGTTTTAATTCGGAAACCCAACCACTAAACCAACTAGAAACACCTAAAAAGACCGAAGGGACCGGACGATTCACTGGGAACCGCCAGAAATTGGGCAATGAGTTGAGCCCTTCTCCCGTCCAGCACCTCATTGCCTCTCTACCTCTCTGAGGGCCTGGCTTGGCGGGCTTCGGCAGCTCGCCCCAACTCCGAAAGGCCTCAGAAAGGCAAGTGGATTCGAGCGCAGCCGCTTGGGGGTTGACTCTTTTTCGGGAAGTTCCTGGTGCTCAAAGGGATTCCAAAAGGAAACCGTTGCCTTTTTGGGGCCATTGGCACTGCTTGAAACCTGGGCATGGCCTCGTTTTAAACTCGCTGGCCTCGTTTTCGGGTCAAAATCCAAGGCCACCAGTTAGTCTGGCTCGGGCAAACTTGCCCCGATTCTCAGTTGAACGTGACTTTTGAGATTACTTTGGCTGTGATCAAAATGGAGGGCTGGCTACTCCCTATAGCACGTAACGCATGCCAAGGCATCAATCAGGCACCGCCACAATCTCAAGACCTCAAGCGGCTGACTTTTGTAGATGGACGGCTTGAAAGGGCACCCCATCCCACCAGGCTATCTACTTCCAAGTGTCCATCTGATTTGATCAATGCACACCCCGATCTGATTCATTTTTTTGTGATCTGAACGAGTTGAAACCTGACTCAAAGAGGTCATGTCCTTGGCGTCCCTGAAAATCATCCAACCAAGGAGGGGAGGGGGGGGGGGCAAGCAGGCTCCAGATACTTCTTTCAGCCATTTTGCCCTACGGGCCTCCGCCTATTCTCTCCGGGGCGCAGTGGTGCCCAGCTTCTTCGGAGGCAGCAGCGGCAGCTTTGACCTCGCACGGTGAATGGTGTGGGCGGCGCGCAGAGAACAACCGTGCGAGGTTGGCGCTTGGCTGGCGCTTGGCTGGCGCTTGTTGAACGCAGCATGCCATAGGCAATGGCGCGGCATGTCGCACCTACATATACATATATATATATATATAACCTTATACATATATACATACATGTACATACATATCTACATAGTGTGCGTGTGTGCGTGTACATATATATATATATATGTATATATAAATATGTATACGATATATACACATATAATATATATATATGTATATATATATATATATATTCGGTCAACTCAGCCACTACTTCTGCATCAGATTCCCTACCCGGGGCTCCAACCCCAAGTAGTTCTCCGCAAACTGCTCCTGGAGCTCACGTGCACGCCTCCGCTTCAGGTCACGCCATCTGGTGGAATCAAATGGGTCTATTCGTTTTAGGCGGCATCCCTTTGGTGGCATTTGCTGGTATTTTATCAGATGGTGCTACCATTTTGGGGGGCAACCATCAAATTGTAGAATCTTTTTGCGGGGGGGCACTTCTGTTGGTACTTCTGTTCCCTTCATTTTAGGGGTGCCCCCCTTCCCTCAGGCTGCCCGGGTCTAAGAGGCACATTCGGAGCCTCGACATGCGTTTAGGTCAGAAACAATGCGCTACAACAATCGCTCGCCTCATGCTGACCATCCAAATTAGCAAAACTGGGAATTGAGCTGGGAGCCCACGGACGCGTCTGAGGCAGTGCAAATCTTAAACCAACTCTTCGGATCTCCCTCCTTTCGGCTTTAGCCAAAAACGCGGGGAGATCCACAAAACAAACGCGGCAAAAAAAAAGAAAGAAAGAAGACTACGCACGCAAGAGCTCCGCCTGAGACTCTCTCGCTTCTTCTCCGCCCACCCGCGGATCTGCTCCGTGGCTGGGTGCGGCCTTGGCGAAGCGGCGGAGGTGCCAGGCGTTTGTCAGGCCAGTCGTCGGCAATTCATGGCCGACTCTCGGACTTGTACAGAAACTAACCAGTTCCATAGGAGAAAAAAAAGAAAGAAAACCACATGCAGCGTCCCGCTACGTGGTCATTGGTGGCTTGGAAAGGGGTTCAAACCCCCAACCAAACATAACCAATCCACTAACTGAAGAAGAAATGATGTAAAAGAGAGAAAAACAAACAGGAGCGGTCAACGTCGTTTGCCACTTGCGACTGGCCCCCGGCGCACGGTTCTGCAGCAGGCCGCGCGCGCTCACCAGGCGAGCATGGAGCCAGCTCCGAGTCTGCGGCGTGCGGCGGTGCGGCGGGGCGCAGCATCCCAGCAAACTAGCTAAAGGCGCTAGGTTGCTCAATGCCAGCTCCATTTGCTGTGAAGGAAATGGGGAAGTCAAGTTAGAACCGATGGAAACAGCCGTTGGAGTCAGAGAAAAGTTTCTCAACCCACTCCCAAAATCGAACTTCCGACCTCTTGCTCCAGCACGCGCAGCTGGTAGAACCAATCCGGGGCCTGGCACTTCGGTTAGATGCCACATGGTTTGCGCAGTAGCCGAGTCTGGCATCCATCAATCATGCTCCATAAAATCGCCTGCTTCTGTAGACGCCCATAATATATGATCCAATCATGCTCCACAAAAACACCTGATTCTATCACTCATGCCATGCACTCGTTGGTTCGAGGATACCGTTGGTCAATGTTTTCAGCCGGCTTGCTTTTCCGAGGGCGCATGTTCATCTTACGTTCAATCGCTTGCCCATTGAACGCTTTTTTGAAATGATGCAGGGATCCTTACATTTTACACCTGAACATTGCCTTATAAATGGTGGTGTCCCTTTATTTTTAGTGTTGAAAAAGCAACATGTTTCAAATGGTTGCAACATGTATCTTTTAAGAAACCCTGTGATGGACTCTCTTGTTTCTGCAAAGCTTGCCTAAGACGGGCCATGTGCGACGCCCATAAGTCATGCCACCCCGAGCCTGTGGAGTGATGAAGGCCGCCTGCTGCAAGTCGAAGTGCCAGACGCGGAAGACCTGCCACACCAGCTGAGCTCAAGGCTTGTCATCCCGTCGTTACCAAGCAAGCATAAGCTCGGTCGCGAAATCTGCCCTGCTAAAAGTGAATAACTTTTAGTGGTTTACTACGGAAAACCCATAGTGGGCAAAAAGTTAAAGTCCTAACATCCAAGCAACATGCAACAAAGTAAGCTTAGCCCAATGCACATCACTCTGCGAGACAAAGCTCAGATTTGTTTGGATCTTGGCTTGTTGAGACCTTGCCTTACGCGCAAATTCAGCATCCAACAAAACGGCCGCAAGAATCCAAGGAAACATTTGGAGAAATCCGGCAAGCTGTGGGTTCTTTAGATTTGCCCCTCCGAAGGGTGTTCATGACAAGCCAGGCCAACCTCGCAGTCTGACGACATGGCGCGCAGAAACGCGCCATTCGCCGCCTAGATGGGCATCGCTACACACCAATATCCCCCACGCCTATGTAGATATGGGTCCATCTGGAATCTCGTGCAACAGGAATCTATGTACTGAAAGTACAGCACAAATGCCGCAAAGCAACAAAAAGTTGGCAGCGCGCTTGCAGACAGCACCTAAGGCACGTGCCAGCATGCCCTCCGGGACGACAGACCCCGGCCTGAGGAGCATCATATCTCATGGTCTCCCCATGTTTTTTTGTCCCTCAACACAGGCGCACACACACACACACTGGAGTTTTGTTGGTGGAATCAGGCAGTCGAGGGTCGAAATGGGCAGGATCAGCACACATTTGGGGTCCCTCGGAAACACCGGGAACAAAAAACCCACACACACACACACACACCACAAAAACCCACGGCCCAACCCCACCCCGGCGATCGATCCGTCGATCCCTCCCGCGTCCGAGTCCCCGTACTTCACGTGGAAGTCCACCGGCTGGCCGCCGGTCTCCAGCTCCAGCGCCACGCGGCCACGCCTAGTCGAGGAGAGTTCCCAAGCCCAAAACTGGGGATTTTTTGATGGGGGGGTTCCTGAAAAATTGGGGGGCCCACCCCCATATTCAAATAATTAGCTCCTGTTGGTTTGGGGGTTCCTCAAATTATGGGGCCCTTTCTTTGTAAAATGGTCGGCTTCCTGTTGGTTTCTCTTTAAATGCCGTCCAAGAAGGGGTCCACCATGTTGAGAGACCCCCACATGGGGGTGTATATATATATATATGTCTTTTTTAAAAACAACCCCCCCCCTCCCCAAAAGAAAAGAAATAAGAATGGTGATTGTCCTTCTGGTTATCCCCTTAGAACCACAATCTGAGACACCCTCAAACATAGACACACCCACATGCCTAGGTTAGAGGCATTCTTGTTTTTCCCCAACGGATCTCAATTCGCAAGGCGCATCGTTCAGCTCGTGTGCGTGTGCGTGTGTGTGTCTGTGTGTGTGTGTCAGGAAGCGCGCGGAACTGAATCGAATCGGCCGGCGCGAATCGCGCCGAACCAGAACCGGCGCGAACCGGCCGCGCGATTCCTGGATACGAATCGACACCAAGTACGCCAACCCGGCGAAACGAAACGAAATGAATCGGCTAATTGGCGGTTTCCAAACCGAATGCAATCGAAACGGGCCGGTTGGAGGGCAGAGCTGGCAAAGAGAACAGGCAAACAAGCCGGGATGCGGCTGGAGGAAGGAAGTCTAAGAGATTGCATGGGTAGACAGGTTAAGGTCCAAAGTGGAAACCAAAAGGTTTGTCCAGAGGGGCCTGTCTTGGAGCCAGAGCTTGGAGCCCAAAGGTTGGAGCCCAGAGCTTGGAGCCTAAAGGTTGGAGCCCAGAGCTTGGAGCTGCAAGGTTGGAGGTCAGAGCTTGTAGGTCAAAGGTTGGAGGGGAGCCCAAAGCTTGCAGCCCAAAGGTTGGAGCCCAGAGCTTGGAGCCCAAAGGTTGGAGCCCAGCTTGGAGCCCAAAGGTTGGAGGCCAGAGCTTGGAGCCCAAAGGTTGGAGCCCAGAGCTTGGAGCCCAAAGGTTGGAGGCCAGAGCTTGGAGCCCAAAGGTTGGAGCCCAGGGCCAGGAGGACAGAGCTTGTAGGTCAAAGGAGCCTTGGAGCCCAGAGCTTGGAGCTCAGCTCAAGGTTGGAGGGGAGCCCAGAGCTTGCCCAGAGCTTGGAGCCCAAAAGTTGGAGCCCAAGCTTGGAGCCCCAAGGTTGGAGGCCAGAGCTTGGAGCCCAAAGGTTGGAGCCCAGAGCTTGGAGCTCAAAGGTTGGAGGCGAGCTTGCTCAAAGGTTGCAGGCCAGAGCTTGGAGAGCTTGGAGCCCAAAGGTTGGAGCCCAGAGCTTGGAGCTCAAAGGTTCGAGGCCAGAGCTTGGAGGTCAAAGGTTGGAGGGGAGCCCAGAGCTTGGAGCAAAGGTTGGAGGCCAGAGCTTGGAGCCCAAAGGTTGGAGCACAGAGCTTGGAGCCCAAAGGTAATGTGACAACTTTAGGTGTGGCAAAAGCATCCTGAACCAAAAGTATTGTTGATTTGCAAGGCCCCTTTTCGCCCCAGCAGACTCCCAAATACGCCAATACAATCTTTTATCATTGAAGTGGACTCTCCGGATCTGAAATTAATCCCCATTCCTGAAGCAGTCTGCTTGTTTCATCTCTTGACTCAACTCAGACCCCTTGTTGGCCCGAACTATGCCCAAGCAGCTGAGGCAATTCAATATAATATCCATAGGGGCACTCAGGAAAAATCCGGAAGCGTGTGAAGCAATGGATAATCACACATGAAAGGGATCACTACAACCAAGCAAAAACACTGGATTGAATCCTTTGAGCCAAGCGTATGACTACTGGCAGGATCAACCGGTGGACCCAGGAAAGAAGGGATTTGGAGGCGTGCCCGCCCCTAAAGGTTGGATGAAGTGGCCCCGGCTGGTTGGAGGGCCGAAGGTTGGAGGACCCAAAGGTTGGACGGGCAGCCCGCCTGTTGGAAGACGGAGGCGGCTCGGCCCTGGAGTGACCCTGGAAGGGCGGCCCTGGAAAGGTTGGATGGAGGAGAGCCCCACAAAGGTTGGACGGCCCACCTGGTTTGGTTGGAGGGACACAGGTTGAATTGCAAGGTTGGTTGGAAGGGTTTTGGATTGAAGGCCTTTGAGAAAAGCATATGACTACTGGCAGGATCAGCCAGGATTTGCCGGTGGAGCCAGGAAAGCTTTGGCAAAAGGATTTGGAAGCGCGGCCCTTTCAAAGGTTGGACGAAGTGGCCCTGGCTGGTTGGTTGGGGGGCCAAAGGTGGGAGGAGAAGCCCCCAAAGTTGGACGGCAGTGAAGGCTGGAAGGGCGGCCCTGGAAAGGTTGGAACATGTGGAGTGGCCCCCCAAAGGTTGGAGGAGAGCCCCCACATGGTTGGAGGGACAAAGGTTGGAAGACGGAGGCGGCTCAGTGAAGGCTGGAAGGGCGGCCCTGGAAAGGTCGGGTGGAGAGGTGGCCTGCCCCCACAAAGGTTGGACGGGCGGCCCGCCCACCCCTGAATGGTTGGAGGGACGAAAGTTGAAAGCCAGATCCACAAAGCAGCAGATCCATTTCAAGAACATGCGTTTGCTTTTCCGAAACTTTTCCCTTGTCGGGTTTCTTGCTTGGGTCTCACCATCGGTTGTGGAAACTTTGGTTTATTTTCTGTCTTCTGTTTTTAGCCCCCAAAAAGCTTTTTGCGGTCGAGAAAAAACCACTTGTCCTGCTGAGGTCTCACCGTCCTCAACTCCCTGTATAGACAAGCGTTTTTCCCTTAACCAACAGAAAAGGTTCTATTTTGGGGCCGTTAACAAAACCAGTAGAAGCATGCGTTTGTTTTCTGTTTTTTTCGTTGAAACCCACCCAAAAAAAGGATCCCGTAAAACACCTGTCCCGCTGAGGTCTCACCATCCTCAACCCCCTGTCCAGGCCTTCCCCCCCCCCCCCCTGTCGAAAAAAGAGCGTTCAAAGAATCCAGTAGACGCGTTCAGTTGTTCTCCGTGTAGATGAGATGCAAACAAGGGTTCCAGTACGGGGCCGCAACAGAAAGGCTTGTAAGAAATCATTTCCAAAGCGGGCTTCCATGTCGGGACCATTCATGAGCTCCGCATTAGAACGCTCCATGTAGGGATCATGAAGATAGACTTCTTGACACAAGCTGTTTTAGGAGGGCCGCTAAACAGGCTCCCAATGGTTGGAGGGACGACGGGCTCAGTGAAGGCTGGAAGGGCGGCCCTGGAAAGGTTGGAAGAGGCGGCGGAGAGGGCGCACCCAAAGATCGGAGGAGGCGACCAGCGGCCCCCAAAGCCCCATCGAAACGAATTGAAACGAATCGGGCCTTGGCAAGGAACCGGCTGCGAAACGAAACGCCCGAATCGTACGGCGATTCAGGGCTATCGAATCGAACACACCGAAACGGACGTGCGCGCGAAACGGAACGAACCCAAACGAATCGTGAGAACCCTGGTGTGTGTACTTTCAAAACTATCGCCAATAGGTTAATATGCAGGCGATGCACCAGTGCACCACTTAGCGTGACAAAATTTCGGAAATGAGTCCACCGGAAGCAATTGGCTTGCAGCAGAATGTTGGCCTGCGTAAGACCCCAGAATCTGCCACGAGCAAATAAACAGCCCTAAGCAGAGCAATTGGATTGGGCAGGATGATAAGCTGCATCAATTGAAAAGTGTGATGACAATCTGCATCAATCCTACCAATTTGGAATGATATCATGTCCATTCCCAGCCCACCAAGTTGGAGCAGGTGCTTGAGATGCAGGTCCTTGCAATCTGTTTGCTGTAAGCTATGAGAAGTTAAACAATTCACCACGGCTTGTCCGGCCGCTCGCTCTCTATGCTGGATTTGGAGTCAACCAACCATAGTTCACTCATGTTGGGAACCTTCAAAGAATTGACACATCCACGGGTATGTCTTTTAAGGGTATCCCAATAGTAGGAGGTTGTTTGTTGTTAAAAGAGAAAAGAAAAACCATGAAACGGAGGACACCCACCCAGAAAACGGGGAAAAGGAGGCACCCACTCAAAAACGAACACCCACACAAAACAAAAAAAGGGCCCAACACTGACCGGGAACTTGGGCTCCCGGGCACCACGAAGGACAGCCTTGGCCCAGACTCATCCGAATCGGCGGCCGGCTGCCAGCAGGTTCCTAGCCTCTCAGTCGAGGCAAATGGGCGGCTCGTCACCCCGGGCACCTCTTCTTAGGGTTGGCTTTGCAACCCTTTCTCAGCTTCGGTTTCTCCTTTCACAGTGGTCGGGGCATTTGCGGTTCAGCGCTGCCAGATCGCTGGGCCGCATGCTTGCCAGTCCTTTGGCAGCAAACCACTTGAAGCTTCTTGCAGGCCACCAAAAATGAAACAGAACCAAAACAATACAACATGCCAACAACAGCAAAGTTAGTGTCAACAAAGGAAAGGTCCATCCGAAGAAAGGTAAAAAACAATGCAGCTTATGCAAGAGGCATCCTTTTCGCACCCAACTGTGTTTGCCTTCGTTTTGACGGTACCCCTTTGTGGTGGTTTCAAAGGGAAACCAAAGGGAACCACTCTCTGACTCTCTCTCTCTCTCTCTTCTTCTGGGGGGGGAGGGAGTGCCCTAAACAAGACATACCCAAATAAGCGAAATGGGAAACATCTGAGCGAAAGCGGCCTAAGCAAGGCTCATTATCTTCAGCTGGCCTTGGCGCATGTTTAGATACAGGTGGCCTGACGAGCCAAACATCTCAAGCTGGATCGCGTTCGCTCTCGTACAACTTCTCAAGCGAAAGCGCCGTGCCACTTTAGGGGTTGCCTAATTTTGAGAGAAGCATCATATGTCAACACAACAAACCCGTAGTGACTGATGAACAAAAGTCAGACATCCGCGAAATAAGTGGTAAGTTTAACATGTCTTTAGAAGAAACAAAAAAAGAAGAAACAAACTGGACACATGCGTTTGTTCGCCTCTCGCCAAAAAGAAAACGACCTTTGTAGCTTTGGATGCGCTTCTTGAAACAAGTGAAACAACCAGATGGGTGTTGTCTTTCTGCGACCACTTGTTCAGGGATCCTTACATTATATACCTGAACATTGCCTTGTCAATCTTGTCAATGGTGGTTTCCCTTTATGTTGGTGGAAAAGGCCATGTTTCGAATGGGCAAAATGTATCTTTTAAGGAGCCCTGGTGTTGTGGCTGGTTGTTAAGGAAACGACGATCGCTGCGCCATTTTGGAGGAATCCGGGACCCCTACACCACACACACTGGGACTCCAGGCTCCAGTGGCAGCCGCTCGGCCCTCAGCGACAGAAGCTGCGCCCCGGTGTCCTGCATGCTCGTCTTTTCAGGCGAAGGGTATCCTTTGTTGGGTTGGTTTAGAGCGAAACCCAAGGGAAACCACATTTTTCTGCGCTCATGCCTGTTTTTTGGGTTGGTTCAGAGCGAAACCCAAGAAAACCACATTTTTCTGCAGGGGGTCTCCCATGGTCTCCCTATTTTGCCACACACACACACTTAAATGGGCTGGCAACCTGGTCACATGGCCGGCGGAAGTCCAGCACTCGGCCCAAAACCATGGCTGAAGACGTGGATTAAGGGCCACGCCATACCAAATCCGCTGGGCAAACCAGTTTTCCCAAGAATTCTAGGGACCTCCAATGGTGGTGTTGTGCCCATTGACGATGGACAAGTGGGAAATAATGATGCTCAAACAAAAGATCTCGAAACTAGATGTAGGAAAGCAGGCCGTCGCATCGTCTTGGTCTTGATGTTCAATCGGTGGGTGGCACCCGCATGCAATCAGCAACAGGCAACTGAGTCACAATAAAAACCTGGTAGTAAACTGGTCTACCCAGAACCATGCAAAGGATTAAGAAGGCGGATTTCCGCAGCTATTTCTGGTTGGGATCGTCCCTTACCAACCTTCATCTACCCGGGTTGTGCTTGTGTCTCAACTGAAGACTTGGATCTCGCAACCTCGGCGTCTGCGAGTCGCCTCTCGCCTCGTCCAAAGACCCCCGGAGGTTCAGCAGCTGACCCAAGGGCGAATGCTGCTGCACCTCCGGCCAAACGTGACGTGCGCGCTTGTCCGCTGGAAACAAATATGGGTACCCTTCCTCCAAACACGGCACCTGTGGTAGGTACCTGGAAGATTGATTTCCTTTTGAAGGGAGCCCCTGTCAGTTGCCATGTTAGTTGGAGGGAGGGTATGGGTCAAAATTAAACCACTAGGGGACCGCGGGTTTTAGTTCACGGTTCCACTTACCCAGGGTTCCATTTGGGGTACCTATTTCTGACCCACAGCCGTATGTCCAGTGATGGAGATCATCAAGATCCTAAAATGGATGCTACTTGGCGGCCTTCCCTAAATTGGTCCTAGAGGCGTGAAGGGCCTTTGTTCAACTTCCTTTTGGTGTCTGGGAAAAGGGGCAGCACTTGGTGCCCAGGAAAAGACTCAACTCATAGACAAAAAGGAATGGTTTAAGGAATGCCAGAAACCCCTGCCATGTCCGAACCTGGAATCGGAATTCCCTTTACAGTAGAATGGCGGTGCATGTTGTAACGCCCTCCTCTTTTCCTGGATGTGTCCTCTTCAGAACCAACACCAATGGGAACTTGGATTGGAAAACAAAAAATGGGTGGAGGCAATGAATAAATACAACACTTGGCTCCCAATATAGGAACCCCCCCCCTCCAACCCCAGCTTGAAAAAAACAAAGCGCCAAGCCAGCAACATTTGCAGTCCCCTCAGTCCTCATAAGTACTTGAGGACCAAGTTAAAAGCCCGACAACGCTCTTTTTTAATAATCCTTCCTGCACTCCAATCGCAGTAAACAAGCCTTTGTTTGCGGTATCCCTGACACAGGAACAAGATGGAACCTTTTTTGGTAGTTGGTTTGAATGCGAAGGCTTGCCGTGTGGATTGGCAGCCATGCCGAAGCCTTCAGTTCTCGGAAGGTCGACTCCGGAGCAGCTCAACATTGTGCAGGTTTCGCCGTGGGAGAACCAGTGTGTCCCGTGGCTTTTGTGGGATTTTGTTGCGAAGTTCTCCATGCCACCAGAACTTTTGAGCGAACCTCAAATGCCAAGCAGTGGTCGAATCTCTAGCGGGTCGGATCAGTTGGTGCACCTCCAAGATCCAAGCAAGTGCGGAGGCTTTTCCTGCCATCATGGACGACGACTCTGGCAATACTGAATATGGTGGTGCCTGCAGCCAGGTGTTAGAGCAGTTGCTGAGTGTGCAGCGTATTCAAGCAACTTGCCGTGCTTTTGCTGCCATCCTGGATGACGGCTCTGCAATCCTGAATCTGGTGGTGACAGCGCTCAGATGTGGGCAGAGCAGGGTCTGCTACAAGGCAAGGACATTGCGTAGCTGTGGCCCAGGCCGGGCACAAGTGGCCATGGGAAAAGCGGGCCTTGTATTGGTAGTCGATACGTTTAGCGCGTTTTGAATCGAGGAAAGGTTGTAAAGAGCTCAAGCAAACGCTTTCACTGACTAAAACGGTTCGCCCAAAGGCAGAATGAGAACCAAAAACTGTCAACCCTCATGTTTTGGAGTAACCAGAGACCCATGCGTTTCGTGTTTCACCCCCAACACCCTGACCCCACGAATCAACCACTGGCCTGCTTCCTGCGGCCTTGGACCAGCTGCTTGAAGCCCTGACTTGGGCAAGCATCCGCTGGTGTCTGTTGAAGTATCCGCTTCACCTACTGTGGGTGGACGAAATCCGTGCGCACCACTTTGAAACCATGGCTGAAGCCCTTGGTTGCTGGCAGTTACGGGGAATCATCATGCCAGGGTTTCCTGGCTGCAGGATTTCGTCTATCCACAGTATAGTGGAAAACCAAAAGAAGCCAACTGGGACACCCGATTTCGACGTGGGAGCCTTCCACAGGGATGAAACTGGAGCAAAGCTTTTACATCATCGCTGGTCACACAAGTACTGTACCTTGAAAACCAGCTGGTGGCTTTCTGGCAAGGGCAGCACAACGGCCACCTCCTTTCTGGTTGCAAGCCTTTTGGCTGGGGAGGGGGGCAAACAGAGCAGGAGAGGGCATTTAAGGCCCACAAATGAGCTGAGAAGTGGTTCAGGCAGCAAACAGTGGAAAAGAAAAGGCTGTTGGGTAGGAATGGAAAAAGACTGCGGTGCAAAACCTTGTTGAACAGCTGGCCAGAACCAACGGCAGGTTCCTCATGAGAGCCGAGTGGTCAAAAAAAGTCCGTTTCTGGACCCGCTGCCATGTTGTCCAGTCTTGCTGACAGAATGCACCTAGCACGACTGAAATAACCCACGTACGGGCTGGTGCGCTTTGTGGATTTTGTCCGCAGGGATCATTCGGGCCTCCTTGAGCACACGGGCGCTGGGAGCCGCTAGCGCAGTAGTGAGTGCCTCTGCGCACGTGGAGCAACTCTTGGGCTGGTTGGTTGGGAACCTCCCTTTGCGAATTCGTCCCCTGGAAAGGAAATATGTCCAGCGGTGACAGGTTCCCTTTCAACCAACAGGGGAACACGAGTGTTCAAAAACAAAACACGTTCATGTCAGCACATGGAAGGTAAGGAACACCTCACGTCGGCCTGTGACAAGATGGCCTGTGCAAAGTGGTCAAAATCTTTGAACGGGGAAAGCGGTTGGTTTTTGGATGGCGGCGAAGGGGATTCTCCCCACTGGCTTGAAGATTCCTCTGGTTGATGAATGATTGGACATGGGTGGCTCGCCTTTGAGTTGGGACGCTACCAAATACATTGGAATCAGGGAACCCTTAGTTGGTGGTTTGAAACTCTGGTTCTTGCCGGGGAAATGGGAAACCACCACCAACCACACCACCAACCACACCACCAAACCACCAGGCTCTCTCCAAACCAAAGGGGAAGCTGAATCTTTGGACAGACTCTGCTTATGGGGTGCTCAAGGAAAAGCTCCGCGTTCAGATTTCCGGAAAGAAATCCCAAGCCTCGTAGCTCACTGCCAGTAGCCGGCACGCCGATACCGCCTTGGCCTCGGGGAAGACACCCAGCCACGAGCATAGGATTTGGAGCTGACCACTTCCCAAAGATCTCGATCTCGATCTTTGAACAGCCCTCACTCAGCCGCAGTTCTGGGGCTTTTTGGGCCCAAGCCCCTTCTGCCGTGGATGTCTCTCTCACACTACCCTCGAAAGCCCCCTCTGCGTACTTTGCCTCTCTCCAACCCCAAAGATATGCGAAGGGAGACGAGCCACCCATGTTGATGCTCAAGCACCCGGTTCCACATGCCCGGGTTGCCGCGCGGTGACTGTGCGGTAAGACAGGAGGCCTAGCGCCTGCCATGCCGGACTCCCCGAAAACACCTGTTGATTTGTGGCACAAAGACGCTCATAAAAGGTTTAAAATGTTGCTGTGTCTTAGACTAAAGCCCAAAAGATATTTGGTGTTCTTTTGATATCCCTTTCAAACCACTCCAAAAGACGTATCCTCAGAAAGAACCGCCCGGTTCTAAGGGGCCTTGCTAGAAGCCCCCCCAGATGAAGCCAGGCAGAACCACCTCACATGGCCGGCAACATCGGGGGCCGAATTATCGGTGCAGCTCAAGGGCTTTGGCTGAAGAGCCGCGAGAACATCGGTGTCCTTTTAGGTTGGAAATAGATGGGAGGACCCCCAGGTAGGTGAGCAAAATCCCACCAGCTAAACCAGGAATCGAAACCCCTCCTATTTTTCGAGCAAAGCCACCAAAGAGGACACCTATGCGCGAGAAACGTTCTTCGGAATGCTGACAGGGCGAAGGTGGAATGGAAGATGAAGCCAACAAGAAGAAGCGTCCTTCGGAGCTCGCCATATCGAGAATTGCACGGCGCAACGGGCGCCAGTTCGGTTTGCAAAGGCCCGTGTCCTGGAAGCTTTCCTTCCGCAGTCCATAGGGCAAAATCAGGAGAAAAAAATCCGGGGCACCAGTGATAGATGAAGCCCCGGAAGAACTCATAAACTCTCAGTTACCCAAAAGACCTGGATATAAAAGCCGTTGGAACCTTGGAAAAAAAAAGAAGGAAAAGGAACCAACACCACCAATCCCTGAAGCATGCGGATGGGTATCCGTCGGACGGAGCCCGATGTCCAAGCAAGTTGCAGCAAGAGCTCCACCGAACTCGACAGGTACACAGCAACAAACATATGGGTCTCTTTTTTAAGGTTGGACCCAAAAACAAAGTGGCGCAACGGGTGTCCTTCTGGCTTTAGTTGAAAACCACGAGAAAAAAGGGGCGCCGTCAAAAAACACACACCCATATCGTCTTGCACGTTGCATACTTGCTTTCGCTGCCAGGCAACAGCGTACAATGGTGATGAATCAACGTGTTTTGACCGAATGGTTTGGGCAAACAAGCATGTGCCCCACTGCATTCTTGAATGCATTGGTCACACCAAATAAACACGGCCATGAGCCTTGAACCCCCAGTGGCCCTTCAAAACTCACAGCCTTCCAATGGGTGTGGCACCCCCTTTTGGGATCTTTTGGGTGTTTTTACTTGGGAAACCGAAAGGAAAACCACTCAGCTTGGCGCCATCCCCCCCAAAAAAAAAAACGAGCCAAATAAAGCCCCGGCGAACCCCCCAGACCTTGCCTCTGGTTCCCCGAAGGCTCCCCCAGGCCCAAGACAACCGATCTGCGTGCGGGTCACCGCGGAGCGAGCTCTGGGCACATCCCCGAAGAACTTTGAGACGGACAAACGCAGAGAGAGACATGAAGAAGATTGAAAAGCCACAAAAACAACCAGAACGCAGCAGACAAACAAGACACAACAATTCGATGGGTTCCCTTTGAGACATGTCAAGCCATGCAGGTAATCAGCACAGAAACAGACTCGACGTTGAACAAATCGACCTCGTGCAAATTGACCCCTGCGCCTCTTTGCCAGATTTGGAACGTAGCTCGACCAGGCCCTGCAATGCTGGTTGCTGCAGGCTTCAAGCCAAATATCTACTGCATCTGTGATCTTCTTAATAATAACCTGTCTCATAATACCGTTAGAGGCCTAAACAGATCATGAGGCCAGGGTAAAGTCATGGGACAAAAGCATGCAAACATAAGTGCAAAGTCTTGTGCTGGCCAACTCCGGCCGAGGTGAAGCAACCCCCTCATTCAGCAAACTTCACACTGCCACACCGCCACAACTCGATACATGCCGCCCTTGCTCTGCAACTGTGCCAGCGAAACGGCCCGCAGGAATCACTGTGCATCGGAGTGCTCAAAAAGCGGTTCCTGTTCGCTGAAAGCCATCTCTGCTAGCTTGCGTGCTGCTTGTTGCAACCTGCTGCCACAAACAGCATAGCGATGCTAGCTACAACTGCCCCCCCTTTGACAAATCCTGCAAACTTCGCTCTGCCACACCGCCACATCTCAATACATGCCGCCCTTGCTCTGCAACTGTGCCAGCGAAACGGCCCGCAGGAATCACAGTGCACCGGAGTGCTCAAAAAGCGGTTCCTGTTCGCTGAAAGCCATCTCTGCTAGCTTGCGTGCTGCTTGTTGCAACCTGCTGCCACAAACAGCATAGCGATGCTAGCTACAACTGCCCCCCCTTTGACATATCCTGCAAACTTCGCTCTGCCACACCGCCACATCTCAATACATGCCGCCCTTGCTCTGCAACTGTGCCAGCGAAACGGCCCGCAGGAATCACAGTGCACCGGAGTGCTCAAAAAGCGGTTCCTGTTCGCTAAAAGCCATCTCTGCTAGCTTGCGTGCTGCTTGTTGCAACCTGCTGCCACAAACAGCATAGCGATGCTAGCTACAACCGCCCCCCGCTTTGACATGTCCTGCAAACTTCGCTCTGCCACACCGCCACATCTCAATACACGCCCTTGCTCTGCAACTGTGCCAGCGAAACGGCCCGCAGGAATCACAGTGCACCGGAGTGCTCAAAAAGCGGTTCCTGTTCGCTGAAAGCCATCTCTGCTAGCTTGCGTGCTGCTTGTTGCAACCTGCTGCCACAAACAGCATAGCGATGCTAGCTACAACTGCCCCCCTTTGACACATCCTGCAAACTTCGCTCTGCCACACCGCCACATCTCATTACATGCCGCCCTTGCTCTGCAACTGTGCCAGCGAAACGGCCCGCAGGAATCACAGTGCATCGGAGTGCTCAAAAAGCGGTTCCTGTTCGCTGAAAGCCATCTCTGCTAGCTTGCGAGCTGCTTGTTGCAACCTGCTGCCACAAACAGCATAGCGATGCTAGCTACAACTGCCCCCCCCTTTCACAAATCCTGCAAACTTCACTCTGCCACACCGCCACATCTCAATACATGCCGCCCTTGCTCTGCAACTGTGCCAGCGAAACGGCCCGCAGGAATCACAGTGCACCGGAGTGCTCAAAAAGCGGTTCCTGTTCGCTGAAAGCCATCTCTGCTAGTTTGCGTGCTGCTTGTTGCAACCTGCTGCCACAAACAGCACAGCAATGCTAGCTACAACTGCCCCCCCCTTTGACATATCCTGCAAACTTCACTCTGCCACACCGCCACATCTCAATACATGCCGCCCTTGCTCTGCAACTGTGCCAGCGAAACGGCCCGCAGGAATCACAGTGCACCGGAGTGCTCAAAAAGCGGTTCCTGTTCGCTGAAAGCCATCTCTGCTAGCTTGCGTGCTGCTTGTTGCAACCTGCTGCACAAACAGCATAGCGATGCTAGCTACAACTGCCCCCCTTTGACATATCCTGCAAACTTCGCTCTGCCACACCGCCACATCTCAATACATGCCGCCCTTGCTCTGCAACTGTGCCAGCGAAACGGCCCGCAGGAATCACAGTGCATCGGAGTGCTCAAAAAGCGGTTCCTGTTCGGCTGAAAAGCCATCCTGCTAGCTTGCGTGCTGCTTGTTGCAACCTGCTGCCACAAACAGCATAGCGATGCTAGCTACAACTGCCCCCCCTTTGACGTATGACGGTTGTCTGAAATTCCTTGTTCCGGAAACCGCCATCTTCGCGAGAAAAAAATTAACTTTCGCGGACCCCATCGCGGAACTTTCGCGGGGCTGTTTCAGAACATTCATCACAAAAGTAGTACACGAAGTACACTTTCGCAGCCCAGCGCGAAAGTCGCAGCTCTTCAGTGATTGAATGCGAAAGTAGTACACGAACTAAACTTCCTCAGCCTCGAAAGCCAGAGCTTTTCAATACGAAAGTAGTACACAAAGTGAACTTCCGCAGTCCCAGCTCGAAAGTCGCGACCTTTCAGTTCCAAAGTAGCACGCGAAGCGCGCTTCCGCAGCTCCAGCTCACAAGCCGCAAGCTGCGCATGAGAGGACCCGTTAGCCTCATGTCCGGAAACTGGCGGGGAAGTCCGTCGACTTTCGCGAAACATTCGCGGATCTTACGCCAAACATTCGCGAAAATCCGGCTGGAAGTTGCGCTCAGCTTGCCCCGACAGCTTCAAAACTCCCAGAAGCTGGTTTCTGCTGGCTGGGGGTTGCTTTTGCAGCGGCGTATTCTTGCGGCGACCCTCAGGCTGCGCATTCTCCGACCAACTTTACTCTGCGGGCATTCTGCGCGCACTGCCGGTAGATACACATGGTTCATCACTCCAGCTTCCAGATAGCAAGCCACACAAAACTTTCGCGGAAAAAAAATTAACTTTCGCGACCCCCTTCGCGGAACTTTCGCGAAGGTCAACGCTAAGACCAAAAGGTCGTCCCCTTCATAGCTCAATACAACGACCTTTCGGACGACTCTCATATCCTGCAAACTTCACTCTGCCACACCGCCACATCTCAATACATGCCGCCCTTGCTCTGCAACTGTGCCAGCGAAACGGCCCGCAGGAATCACAGTGCACCGGAGTGTTCAAAAAGCGGTTCCTGTTCGCTGAAAGCCATCTCTGCTAGCTTGCGTGCTGCTTGTTGCAACCTGCTGCCACAAACAGCATAGCGATGCTAGCTACAACTGCCCCCCCTTTGACAAATCCTGCAAACTTCACTCTGCCAGCCACATCTCAATACATGCCGCCCTTGCTCTGCAACTGTGCCAGCGAAACGGCCCGCAGGAATCACAGTGCACCGGAGTGCTCAAAAAGCGGTTCCTGTTCGCTGAAAGCCATCTCTGCTAGCTTGCGTGCTGCTTGTTGCAACCTGCTGCCACAAACAGCATAGCGATGCTAGCTACAACTGCCCCCCCCCTTTGACATATCCTGCAAACTTCACTCTGCCACACCGCCACATCTCAATACATGCCGCCCTTGCTCTGCAACTGTGCCAGCGAAACGGCCCGCAGGAATCACAGTGCACCGGAGTGCTCAAAAAGCGGTTCCTGTTCGCTGAAAGCCATCTCGGCTAGCTTGCGTGCTGCTTGTTGCAACCTGCTGCCACAAACAGCATAGCGATGCTAGCTACAACTGGCCGCCCCTTTGACATATCCTGCAAACTTCACTCTGCCACACCGCCACGTCTCAATACATGCCGCCCTTGCTCTGCAACTGTGCCAGCGAAACGGCCCGCAGGAATCACAGTGCACCGGAGTGCTCAAAAAGCGGTTCCTGTTCGCTGAAAGCCATCTCTGCTAGTTTGCGTGCTGCTTGTTTGCAACCTGCTGCCACAAACAGCACAGCAATGCTAGCTACAACTGCCCCCCTTTGACATATCTGCAGCTTCACTCTGCCACACCGCCACATCTCAATACATGCCGCCCTTGCTCTGCAATGTACCATGAAACGGCCACTTGGGAATCACAGTGCACCGGAGTGCTCAAAAAGCGGTTCCTGTTCGCTGAAAGCCATCTCTGCTAGCTTGCGTGCTGCTTGTTGCAACCTGCTGCCACAAACAGCATAGCGATGCTAGCTACAACTGCCCCCCCTTTGACATATCCTGCAAACTTCACTCTGCCACACCGCCACATCTCAATACATGCCGCCCTTGCTCTGCAACTGTGCCAGCGAAACGGCCCGCAGGAATCACAGTGCATCGGAGTGCTCAAAAAGCGGTTCCTGTTTGCTGAAAGCCATCTCTGCTAGCTTGCGTGCTGCTTGTTGCAACCTGCTGCCACAAACAGCATAGCGATGCTAGCTACAACTGGCCGGCCCTTTGACATATCCTGCAAACTTCACTCTGCCACACCGCCACGTCTCAATTCATGCCGCCCTGTGCCAGCGAAACGGCCCGCAGGAATCACAGTGCATCGGAGTGCTCAAAAAGCGGTTCCTGTTCGCTGAAAGCCATCTCTGCTAGCTTGCGTGCTGCTTGTTGCAACCTGCTGCCACAAACAGCATAGCGATGCTAGCTACAACTGGATTCCCCTTTGACAAAACCTGCAAACTTCACTCTGCCACACCGCCACATCTCAATACAGCCGCCCTTGCTCTGCAACTGTGCCAGCGAAACGGCCCGCAGGAATCACAGTGCATCGGAGTGCTCAAAAAGCGGTTCCTGTTCGCTGAAAGCCATCTCCGCTAGCTTGCGTGCTGCTTGTTGCAACCTGCTGCCACAAACAGCATAGCGATGCTAGCTACAACTGCACCCCCCCCTTTGACATATCCTGCAAACTTCACTCTGCCACACCGCCACATCTCAATACATGCCGCCCTTGCTCTGCAACTGTACTTGTGGCTTGGCCCGCAGGAATCACAGTGCATCGGAGTGCTCAAAAAGCGGTTCCTGTTCGCTGAAAGCCATCTCCGCTAGCTTGCGTGCTGCTTATTTGCAACCTGCTGCCACAAACAGCATAGCGATGCTAGCTACAACTACACCCCCTTTGACATATCCTGCAACTTCACTCTGCCACACCGCACATCTCAATACATACCGCCCTTGCTCTGCAACTGTGCCGTGGCTGGCCACTTAGGAATCAACCGGCGTGCTCAAAAAGCGGTTCCTGTTCGCTGAAAGCCATCTCTGCTAGCTTGCGTGCTGCTTGTTGCAACCTGCTGCCACAAACAACGCCAGCGTGCTAGCTACAACTACCCCCTCTTTCACAAATCCTGCAAACCCGCTCTGCCACACCGCCACATCTCAGCCACATACACCCTTGCTCTGCAACTGTGCCAGCGGCAGCCCTTAGGAATCTGGCACAGTGCGCCGGAGTGCTCAAAAAGCGGTTCCTGTTCGCTGAAAGCCATCTCTGCTAGCTTGCGTGCTGCTTGTTGCAACCTGCTGCTACAAACAGCATAGCGATGCTAGCTACAACTGTCCCCCCTTTGACAAATCCTGAAAACTTCACTCTGCCACACCACCACATCTCAATACATGCCGCCCTTGCTCTGCAACTGTGCCAGCGAAACTGCCCGCAGGAATCACAGTGCGCCGGAGTGCTCAAAAAGTGGTTCCTGTTCGCTGAAAGCCATCTCTGCTAGCTTGCGTGCTGCTTGTTGCAACCTGCTGCCACAAACAGCATAGCGATGCTAGCTACAACTGCCCCCCCCTTTGACATATCCTGCAAACTTCACTCTGCCACACCGCCACATCTCAATACATGCCATGCCGCCCTTGCTCTGCAACTGTGCCAGCGAAACGGCCCGCAGGAATCACAGTGCGCCGGAGTGCTCAAAAAGCGGTTCCTGTTCGCTGAAAGCCATCTCTGCTAGCTTGCGTGCTGCTTGTTGCAACCTGCTGCTACAAACAGCATAGCGATGCTAGCTACAACTGTCCCCCCTTTGACAAATCCTGAAAACTTCACTCTGCCACACCACCACATCTCAATACATGCCGCCCTTGCTCTGCAACTGTGCCAGCGAAACTGCCCGCAGGAATCACAGTGCGCGGAGTGCTCAAAAAGTGGTTCCTGTTCGCTGAAAAACCATCTCTGCTAACTAGTGCTGCTTGTGCAACCTGCTGCCACAAACAGCATAGCGATGCTACAACTACCCCAACGGCATATCCTGCAAACTTCACTCTGCCACCCCGCCACATCTCAATACATGCCATGCCGCCCTTGCTCGCAACTGTGCCAGCTGGCTTGGCCCGCAGGAATCACAGTGCACCGGAGTGCTCAAAAAGCGGTTCCTGTTCGCTGAAAGCCATCTCTGCTAGCTTGCGTGCTGCTTGTTGCAACCTGCTGCTACAAACAGCATAGCGATGCTAGCTACAACTGCCCCCCTTTGACATATCCTGCAAACTTCACTCTGCCACACCGCCACATCTCAACACATGCCGCCCTTCCTCTGCAACTGTGCCAGCGAAACGGCCCGCAGGAATCACAGTGCGCCGGAGTGCTCAAAAAGCGGTTCCTGTTCGCTGAAAGCCATCTCTGCTAGCTTGCGTGCTGCTTGTTGCAACCTGCTGCTACAAACAGCATAGCGATGCTAGCTACAACTGCCCCCCTTTGACATATCCTGCAAACTTCACTCTGCCACACCGCCACATCTCAACACATGCCGCCCTTGCTCTGCAACTCTGCCAGCGAAGCGGCCCGCAGCTTGTTGCAACCTGCTGCTACAAACAGCATAGCGATGCTAGCTACAACTGCCCTCCCTTTCACAAATCTTGCAAACTTCACTCTGCCACACCGCCACATCTCAACACATGCCGCCCTTCCTCTGCAACTGTGCCAGCGAAACGGCCCGCAGGAATCACAGTGCGCCGGAGTGCTCAAAAAGCGGTTCCTGTTCGCTGAAAGCCATCTCTGCTAGCTTGCGTGCTGCTTGTTGCAACCTGCTGCTACAAACAGCATAGCGATGCTAGCAACAACTGCTTGACGACCCATTGACCCATCTGTGAACTGGTCCAATAGGTACTTTTGCAACCTGGCTGCTTCTGCCCTGCTCTGCGGTGCGCTTTCTCTGCTTTTATGCCCCAAGAGCTACTCAACAGAACCAAATCCTGCGCGGCTGTTTGACGACCCATTGACCCATCTGTGAACTGGTCCAATAGGTACTTTTGCAACCTGGCTGCTTCTGCCCTGCTCTGCGGAGCTAGGCAGTGCGCTTTCTCTGCTTTTATGCCCCAAGAGCTACTCAACAGAACCAAATCCTGCGCGGCTGTTTGACGACCCATTGACCCATCTCTGAACTGGTCCAACGGGTGCTTTTGCAACCTGGATGTTTCTGCCCTGCAATAGACCGCATGCAGAATCGGAGAACTCAACAGAATCACATCCTGCGCGGCTGTTTGACGACCCATTGACCCATCTCTGAACTGGTCCAACGGGTGCTTTTGCAACCTGGCTGTTTCTGCACTGCAATAGACCGCATGCAGAATCGGAGAACTGCTGCGGAGCTAGGCAGTGCGCTTTCTCGGCATGTACGCCCCAAGAGCTACTCAACAGAAACAAGTCATGCGCGGCTGTTTGACGACCCATTGACCCATCTCTGAACTGGTCCAACGGGTGCTTTTGCAACCTGGTTGTGTCTGCCCTGCAATAGACCGCATGCAGAATCGGAGAACTGCTGCGGAGCTAGGCAGTGCGCTTTCTCGGCTTGTATGCCCCAAGAGCTACTCAACAGAACCAAATCCTGCGCGGCTGTTTGACGACCCATTGACCCATCTCTGAACTGGTCCAAGGGTGCTTTGCAACCTGGCTGTTTCTGCACTGCAATAGACGCATGCAGAATCGGAGAACTGTGCGGAGCTAGGCAGTGCGCTTTCTTGCTTTTATGCCCCAAGAGCTACTCAACAGAACCAAATCCTGCGCGGCTGTTTGACGACCCATTGAATCATCTCTGAACTGGTCCAACGGATGCTTTTGCAACCTGGCTGTTTCTGCACTGCAATAGACCGCATGCAGAATCGGAGAACTGCTGCGGAGCTAGGCAGTGCGCTTTCTCTGCTTTTATGCCCAAGAGCTACTCAACAGAATCACATCCTGCGCGGCTGTTTGACGACCCATTGACCCATCTCTGAACTGGTCCAACGGATGCTTTTTTGCAACCTGGCTGTTTCTGCACTGCAATAGACCGCATGCAGAATCGGAGAACTGCTGCGGAGCTAGGCAGTGCGCTTTCTCGGCTTGTATGCCCCAAGAGCTACTCAACAGAATCACATCCTGCGCGGCTGATTGACGACCCATTGACCCATCTCTGAACTGGTCCAACGGATGCTTTTGCAACCTGGCTGTTTCTGCACTGCAATAGACCGCATGCAGAATCGGAGAACTGCTGCGGAGCTAGGCAGTGCGCTTTCTCTGCTTTTATGCCCCAAGAGCTACTCAACAGAATCACATCCTGCGCGGCTGTTTGACGACCCATTGACCCATCTCTGAACTGGTCCAACGGATGCTTTTGCAACCTGGCTGTTTCTGCACTGCAATAGACCGCATGCAGAATCGGAGAACTGCTGCGGAGCTAGGCAGTGCGCTTTCTCGGCTTGTATGCCCCAAGAGCTGCTCAACAGAACCAAATCCTGCGCGGCTGTTTGACGACCCGTTGACCCATCTCTGAACTGGTCCAACGGGTGCTTTTGCAACCTGGCTGTTTCTGCACTGCAATAGACCGCATGCAGAATCGGAGAACTGCTGCGGAGCTAGGCAGTGCGCTTTCTCTGCTTTTATGCCCCAAGAGCTACTCAACAGAATCACATCCTGCGCGGCTGTTTGACGACCCATTGACCCATCTCTGAACTGGTCCAACGGATGCTTTTGCAACCTGGCTGTTTCTGCACTGCAATAGACCGCATGCAGAATCGGAGAACTGCTGCGGAGCTAGGCAGTGCGCTTTCTCGGCTTGTATGCCCCAAGAGCTACTCAACAGAACCAAATCATGCGCGGCTGTTTGACGACCCGTTGACCCATCTCTGAACTGGTCCAACGGGTGCTTTTGCAACCTGTCTGTTTCTGCACTGCAATAGACCGCATGCAGAATCGGAGAACTGCTGCGGAGCTAGGCAGTGCGCTTTCTCTGCTTTTATGCCCCAAGAGCTACTCAACAGAACCAAATCCTGCGCGGCTGTTTGACGACCCATTGACCCATCTCCGAACTGGTCCAACGGGTGGACCGCATGTCGGCCTCCAGTACCACCAGCATGGAATCTCCGGCGGTGTTGCAGGCCACAATCTCCTCACCAGATGCTGTCGTCACAACCAACAAAAGGCCTCAGGTGGTTCCAAAAAACAAGTGTCCCAAACGAACAAGAGATGACCTTTTTGTGGTGTCCTCTTTGCTGCCCGCATGACACCGGCAGAAAACACTAGACGACCCATGATTTTTCTCAGCTCACATTGTTGCTTGGCAAGAAAATGCCAGTCACAAAAGAGCCACGCCAGCGAAGGGCGAATCATTCGGCTCCAGAAGTCGCGTGAAGATGCGATGTTCCATTCTGCAGTCAATTGCTCGGGGAACTGCGGGGTCAAAACCAGCTCGGCCGCCCTCAAAATCTCAACAACAACCCCTCCAGCCCTCGCAAGAGGCGAAGAGTGCAAACCTGGCATCAATGCCAGACCTTGCCCTTCGGTTAGGGGATAGTTTGGGAGAACCAGATTCAACTAGACATCATTCGGTGGCCATCAAAATTAATTTAAAAAAAGCTCCCTATCTTAGCCCGATCCAGCTTTGGAGCACCAGAACAGACCCTTCTAGGTCATTGAAGCTACAACTTGCGCAAGCGACGCCTCCCTTTTCGCGCCATCAAACATATACATATAGTGTGCAGATGTACATCTATAATATCAGCATGATATGCCCGCCAACCCCGCCGCTAAAAACCCAAAAAAAACATCCCCCGCCCCCCTGCACATCCCAACACCCACCCCACCCCGTGCCAGGCCTGGTCAGGGTCCCAGGCCTCCTCCGCCAGTTGCCCGGCCACGTGTAGCAAGAAGTCCTCGGGGCAGCCGGCCAGCAGATGCGTGCGCCCCAGCGCCGGCACCGCCACCTCCCGGAAAACCCGGGAAGAGCAAAGATTCGGATGGAGCGAGAAGGGTTTTTACATGCCGTTCGTTGCCAGGTCTCGGATGAGAAATAAACAGAAGTGAAGAATGTGAGATCTTTTCTTAACAAGCTGAATGCTGGAACCTTGCTCAAAATGTTTCAACCGCAGTCACTGGATTCCCTGCCTGGTGGGCCCACTCCTCTCGCTGCGCCAATAGCCTCGCCTCCTCCCGCCGCAAAGCCGCCGCCTGGCGCCGCCAGCACTCCGCGTCGGCTGGGAAGCGGCGCAGGGCCGCCGCCACGCGCTGGGGCGCCAGCCGCGCGCAGAAGGCGGGGGACGCCGACGCCGCGCGGCCCTGGCACTCCGCGCCGCCCGCGGCGCCGCCGCCGGCGTCGGCAGTCGGCTGGGCGGCCTCGGCGGCCTCGGCGGCCTCGGCGTCGGCGGGCGGGGCGCCCAGGACCTCGCCGGGCCCGGCAAAGCGCAGCAGGATGCCGCTGGCAGACTCCACCTGCGCGGGGCGACAAAGGGTTTCCTTTTCAGAACTCGGCTTGAGCTCCTTGCCTGAATGCGCCCCGCAAGAACGATATGGAGATCACCAGACAGCAGATCGCCAGGCGCCAGCAGCACGCCCTCTGCATCGCTGCAGAGGTCAACAAGGAAGTCCCGCTGACAAGACTGGAACTCCCGGCCAGCTTCTAAGAAGGCCAGCAGCCTCTTGCCCGCCGCTTCCTGACATCTCTCGCTTTGTCACATTCTAAAGTGTTAGACAGCAGTTGTAGTCTCACTCCTTCGACGTGTGGAGGAGTTGACCTTGTTTCTTATCGAAAGGATGGTGCATTCTATGCAACCCAGGTATGTCATGCACATGATCAGACGTCGCAATACAAGCAAAAGTGCTCAAGTAAGCCAACGTAATGCGAAAGCAACAGAAGCTGCATAGGAGTCCAAGCACTGTTGGTCTTGTGGCCCACGCAGGTCCTAATTTGCCTGACCTCTGCCAGATAAAGTCAACGAAGCAGGCCATCTTGGCCATGGAAGCCCCGGCTTGTCACAGGCACAAACACAAACGCTCGCGCGCGCGCACACAGACACACAAAGACAAACCCAGACACACAATTCCAGACAACTGGCTCACGCTGCGTACTTGGTATGTAAGCCATCGCGCGAACAAAACCAGGCTAGCTACATGCAACTCAAGCAGGTCAACTTCACCCTCCCACGATTGGGAGGTGGCACCTCGCAAAGCAACTAGAGGGCTCATAAGCGGCACTGCAAAACATGCGGACAAGCAGGGCTTGACAAAGCAGCCCCAGAAGAAGAAAGCGATGCTCAGCTGCTAAAAGCTCCATCCAAGCAGTTTGAGAAAATCCATCAACCAACAAGCAGTGTCTGAAAACGCACATGAATCAAAACAAAAAAACTAGACCACGGTTGGCCCGAAAGCATAACATCGCAAGCGAGGTCGGCCCAACGCTGCAGGATGCGTTCTTTTTCCCTACACGAAGCATTCGTGAAGCAAGCGCGAGACAGCACCAGGCAAGGTGCTCTGCGCAAACTGGCCGGTGCAAGTTGGTCTGCGCAAGTTGCTCTACGCAAGTTGCACTGTGCAAGTTGCTCGGCGCAAGTTGCTCCGCGCAAGTTGCTCCGTGCAAGTTGGTCCCTGCAAGTTGCTCTGTGCAAATTGCTCCGTGCAAGTTGCTCCCTGCAAGTTGCTCTGTGCAAGCTGCTCTGTGCAAGTTGCTCTGTGCAAGTTGCTCTGCGTAAGTTGCTCTGCGCAAGTCGCTCTAGGCAAGGCGCTCTGCGCAAACTGGTCGGTGCAAGTTGGTCTGCGCAAGTTGCTCTGCGCAACTGTGCCTCTGCGCAGTTGCTCTGCTGTTGCTTTATGCAAGTTGCATCTTGCGACGCCCGCCCGCGGACCAGGGAGGAATCGAACCCGCGACCCGCCGGTTCCGGGAGCAGGCGCGCGAACCACGAGACAACTCCCGAGGACCAGTTCGAACAACAAAAGTCGCAAAAAACCTCGAGTTTTTGCGCCTCGACCACGCCGATCCCCGCAGAGGGTCGCGCGGGCATGTTAGAAATCGCAAAAAACATCGAGTTTTTGCACCTCGACCACGCCGATCCCCGCAGAGGGTTGCGCGAGGAGTTTTTGCACCTCGACCACGCCGATCCCCGCAGAGGGTCGCGCGGGAACTTTAGAAATCGCAAAAAAAACCTCGAGTTTTTGCACCTCGACCACGCCGATTCCCGCAGAGGGTTGCGCGAGCGCCGCAGAAATCGCAAAAAACCTCGAGTTTTTGCACCTCGACCACGCCGATCCAAAAAACCTCGAGTTTTTGCACCTCGACCACGCCGATCCCCGCAGAGGGTCGATTTTCGTGTAGTGTCGTCGGCACTACCCGCCGCCCCAAGAAGAGATTTTAACTCCTCGCAAGTCAATTGCACTTGACTCCTTGACTTCCTTTGACTCCTTACACTTGCAACTTGCACTTGACTCCATGCACTTGCAACTTGCACTTGACTTGGCTCCACTTGCAACTTGCACTTGACTCCTTGCACTTGCAACTTGCACTTGACTCCATGCACTTGCAACTTGCACTTGACTCCATGCACTTGCCTTGCACTTGGCTCCTTGCACTTGCAACTTGCACTTAACTCCGTGCACTTGCAACTTGCACTTGACTCCATGCACTTGGCTCCTTGCAACTTGCAATGGCTCTCATGACTCCTTGCAATGACTCCTTGCAATGACTCCTTGCAATGACTCCTTGCAATGACTCCTTGCAATGACTCCTTGCAATGACTCCTTGCAATGACTCCTTGCAATGACTCCTTGCAATGACTCCTTGCAATGACTCCTTGCAATGACTCCTTGCAATGACTCCTTGCAATGACTCCTTGCAATGACTCCTTGCAATGACTCCTTGCAATGACTCCTTGCAATGACTCCTTGCAATGCAATGACTCCTTGCAATGACTCCTTGCAATGACTCCTTGCAATGACTCCTTGCAATGACTCCTTGCAATGACTCCTTGCAATGACTCCTTGACTCCTTGCAATGACTCCTTGCAATGACTCCTTGCAATGACTCCTTGCAATGACTCCTTGCAATGACTTTCATGATGATGATTCCTTGCAATGACACCTTGTAATGACTCTCATGAGAACAACTCAAGTGAACCCAGCGGAAGAACCCTTCGCCATGCTTTCGGGAAAAAAACATCCCGGCTTTGAACCACAAAGGTAGCATTGACCCCATCCGTTAGGGGCACTACATGGGTATGGGTCAAAATTAAACCACCAGGAACCGGACCGCAGGTTTTAGTCCATGTTTACATTTCCAGGGTTCGATTTTGGGGTTACCCTATTTCTGACAACCACACCCACATAGAGCTTGGGTCTGCGCTTTCGGGACAGTCCTGCACACGGCAGAATGGCACACCGGGCACGGCGAAGAAGGTGGCCTCCCGCGAGAAGCGGTCGAAGACCTTGGCCTCCTCCGGAAATTTCTGCAGCACAGACCTCAGCCAGACGTACTCTCCCCTAAACCTGACATGATGCAGGTCCTTTAATTGGGCATTCACATCTTGCGTCAGGTTTTGTAGTTGTGGAAGTTGCTGGCTACTGAGGGGTCCTGGAAGACGAAGATGTACTCTCCCACTAAACCTGACTGAGGGGTTCTGGAAGACTGGTTTCCTTTGACCATGTTAGTGGGCACCTGCGCAAACTGTTTTTGCACCGTGCGAAAGCGGCTGTTTGCCCCGTGCCAAGTGAAGCCAAGGCTCTGAAAGTCCTGCTGGGATATGACCTCGGGCGCGTGACATGCATCCCTTGAAAGGTGGAAAAAGTGTGTTTCTGTTGGGGAGACCCACAGATCATTCGTGTGTGTGTGTGTTCGCTTTAAGAAGAGACTGGAAGGTAGTGGTTTTTTGATACGAGACACCCAAGCATCCAAATGCAAAGGTCAACCCTCCAATCTCTCCATGACAATCTGCCAGCCTTTTCTGCAAAAAGGGCAATGGCTTTGTCAAAACGGAACCCCGAAATTGGGGGGGGGGGGGGGGTGAGGGGTGAGGCATGACCCCAACCCAAAAAAGGGGTAAACCCTCAAAAGCACTCACATACGCATGCACACACAAGTGCTTCTAGCTGAGTTTCAAGGCGGCCCCAAGTTGGTTTTGCACCTCGAGCTAGGCTGGAAAGCAAAAGAAAGTGCTGAAAATGAGTTTGCCTCAAAACAAAGGAACCCACAAAATGGTGTGGTGTCCGTTTGGTTTTCCTTTCAATCAACCCTTACATGTATACCCTTCGCCTCAAGAAAGAAACACCCAAGTTTTGGCACTTTGGTTCGGCTCTGATGTAAACGAAGCTGTGGGATAGCCTTGGGCCTTGATGTTCAACATGCTTCCACAGCCTATGGCCTGTACCATTATGTTGCTGTTTTTACATGTTCTTGTTTTTCCTTTTTAGAGAGAGAGAGAGAGAGAAAAGAAAAAGGGGAAAAAAGAAACAACCCTTTGTTAAACCTGTTTTTGTTTTTTCACGGGACACTAAATGGTTTTCACCCACATTGTGTCTCCATGAGCCAACCCTCCGCCGCCGGGACTCGGCCGGGACACTTTGGCTCGCGCCCAGGCGCTGCAGCTGGCGCGAGCCGCGCCGGCGGGCGGCAGCTCGGCCACGCCCAGGAAGGCGGCCTGCGCCAGCCGCCCGCCCAGCGGTGTCCCCTCGTTTTGGAGGGGATCCAGAATGCTGGGTTTTTCCACTGAGCATGCTACACCCTACAGCAAATTCGCCGGGACGAGTGGTGTTACACCCTGGCAAAACAACCCTTGGGAAATGACCCAAAATGGTTCGGTGTTACGCGGAAATATGCCCAAATGGGGGGCATTTCCGCGGTGTAATCCCAGGGTGTTATACAACAACCCTTACTCAACATGCTCGTTTTTGCCCTTCATGCTACATCCAAACAAAATTCGCAGGGACGCCATCTTGCTGGCAACCTCCTGCACCTATACAACCGCAACACCAACCAGGTAGGTCCTTTAAAAAAAGAAAAACAAAACAAAAACAAGGGATATCTTCAAACAAGAAATTTCTTTGAGGGTACCCCCTTTTGGCGTTGGTTCCGATGTGCGGGGTCTGCCACCCTGCGAGTCGCGCAGCCCGCGGTTTTTGTTGACACCGCCGACCTGAAGCCAAATTCATGGGCAGGATAGCGTGTCAGCACGTGAGCCAAAAGCAATTTATGTCCAAATCTTGCATTTCTCTTTTGGCTTGTGGTTGAAATGTGAGTCCCCCATGTCCCATGCCAGGACTGGGATCCCGCCTCATTTAGGGCCAGCGGAGCCCGGAGCTGTGCCTCACGCCTCAGACAAGTCACTGGGACTGGGGACGCCGGCCTTCAGGACACCCTCGATTGAGTCTCAATCAAAACCCGGTACCAAAAATGGTGAACCCTGAACTATTTCCGGCTGGGACTGGCCCTTACTAACCTTCATCTACCCGGGTTTTGATTGTGGCTCAATGGTTTGGCGGTTTGGAGGTTGGGGGGGTTCCAATCCCAGAGCCCACCAGTCCAAAAAACCACTCAAGGGTCACCTGAAGCTTTGCGGCTACTCGAACACTCTGAGTCGGCAAAAAGTAGTTCTTGAGAGACGCACTACTCCGAGTCAGGCAGGACAACTGAAACATCATCTGCTGAAAGCAACGAGCGATGATTGAAACGCACACCCGCCAAGGAGATACTTCAATTCTCCCGGGAAGGATGGAACAAAGGTATTTGTGAGGATCCCTGTAAAAGCCCTGCGCGTGTTTCACCTTTCTGAAGAGAGTCGTGGATCTCTGCACAGGATCTCTTGTGAGGTGCGAACACAAAACCCCTCAAGTGCTCAGGTAAACGACTTTGCAGGATCTTTGCACAGGATTTCTTGGGAGGATCCCTGCAATGTACCTGCACCCTGCACATCCCTGCACACAAAACACACGTGCAACGAATTGCAAGCAGCGCCCGTCACTGGCGACTCCGAGGCGCTGGCCCCTCTTGAGCGTAAGACCCGCGGAGCAGCACGGTCAGAGACTCCGCCTGGAGGGAACAGGCGCACCTCACGTCTTTCAACCGACGCACATGCTGAAATTGGCTTCCAAGTGCCTAAGGACAGTGCGAAGCCGCAACGAGCGTCCTGTGTCTCTGATTTCTGAGTAGAATCAATCCCGACAAACACAATTGTTCTATGTTGGACTCATTTTCCTGGAAGAGGACAGCCAAACCATCGCAGGTCCAGCACCGAGCATATCTCAGCCAAGCGCGCACTGTTTCCCTCTGACATGGTCTGAGCTGGAGGTTTTTGGTCGACCTGCTCTTTGGCCTGGTGGGAATCCATCACGCGCCTAGCACTCCAAGCCAATTCGAAACGGCCGGCTTACATACTGCAAATGCTGCATTTCAAGCAAGGAAAGTAAACCGCAGGTTTCTTGCTTGGAGCCGGCGTGTGTCCTGCCGTGTTACAGCAGATGGAAAAGAAACGCAAGCCTTCAGCGGCGCGTCACCACATCTGATTCCATCACAAACAAACGGTTCAATGACTAGTCTTGATATGTCCACGGAAACCAAACAAACATTTGCCAACATGCCCTCGACCCTTGACGAGTCCGGCCAGCAAACCTCTGCGGCCAAGCCAGTTCCTACCGAAAAGGACGCCTGCGCAAAACTAGGCCGGCAAATTTCGAGCTGGGTCCAGAGCGGTTCGCTGCTCTTCGCACATTTGGCCCAAGCCAGGCCCATGGCTGCAACCTCTGGCCAGCTTCTCTGAGGTCGGGCCCCCCAAAAAAGGGACGGCCTCATGGCCCCACTCGCAAAGCCTGCCCAGTCAGCCAGCGAAAAGGCATCGGCTGCGACCGGCTCACACATCGAGGGTCGCTGCCAGTGAGGCGCTCACAGCTCCGAGCGGCCCGACTTGGCCTCAGCGAGGGGCTGGAAGCCACCAGGCCTTTGAGGCCAGGAGTCGCCTTTAGACTGCTTTAGACTGCTTGCAAATGGAGCGACCCTCTTCAGCTTTCGGGGACGGCCCGCTTCAGCTTTACTCGCCCGCTTCACTTTTTTCAGGACCCGCTTCGCGCCTGCTTTTGGCCCGGCAGCATCCGCAGGGCAGCCTGGAATCTATTCAGGCTGTCAAAAGGGGATTGCGGCGACTTGCTTGATTTGGTGATTGCCCTGAGACGAGTCCGCACGAAACATGGGTTGCAGTCACGCAGCCGCATGTGGGTAGATGTCAAAAACAGGTTCCAAGACCCCCAAATCCCCTTGATCAACCCCAAAAAGCTGCCTTGGATCCAACCTGAAAAGGGGAAAGCTTGCCTCAAAAAAGAGGCCATCACCCCCCCCCTCAAAGCGGGGTGAGCGAGGTGAACCAGCTCGCTCGTTCCGCGCCTCGAGGGCCTCTCCGGCGCCGGCGGGGACGCTCTGTGGGAAGTCGATGTGGAACCGGATCACCAGCTTCCCCGCGCTGGAGGGGTCCTGACCAGGGCTAAAGGCAGACAGACAAGGGCGTTGTGTGGGCGAAGTGCGTTGGGAAGACTCGAACATCGAACCACGCGACAGCCACATCCTAAACCACCCCAGAGCCTATCTGGGCTGAGACCCCAAAGCTTTCAGCTGTTAGGGGAAAAAACAAGTCCGAGGGCACGAGCAACATCGGAGCAAGGAACCCCGTGGAACCCGAGGCAGGGCGCTGTCTTGCAAATTGCAATGTGTCAGGCGGAACAGTGAGGAGGCTGCTGCAGCAGTGATCTTGCGACCTGCTGCAGGACGCCTGACGCGCCCAATGGGGCGGTGCGCGGCCCTGCAAGTCGCTCAGGAAGCGGTGCCGCAAGCCAATGCGGATACTCCAGGCAACGGGGGTGCCGTTGTAGGCACCACCGTAGCCGACGCCAGGCAACTTTTACTGAGCACGTTCTGCATTGGATTTCGAGTAGAGGCAGGAACGGGCCTGCAGGACTTGATACGGAATACCTCGCAGGATTCTTCCTTTTGGTTTCCCATGAAACCCACTCCAAAACAGGCACCAGGGTGTGCAAAGGTTTTTAAACATGCATCTGTTGTTTGAGCCCGCAGGGCCTTTCCTAGCAAACCTGACTTGGTCACAAGGTTCCTGAAGGAGTGCCCCCGCTACGTAGGTCATACTGGGCGACTTGTAAGTATGTGAGTCCAGCACCCGCTCCTCCTTGTGTGGCATTCCTTCACCCTCGATCTGCAAGGCGCTTCCCGGCTTCAAAACCTTCGAAGCGGGAAACGGCAAGCTGCATGCTTACGACATTCCGCGGGATGACTTGGAGGTGTTGGCTTAGTCTGTCCCCGAAAAGCAAAGCCCCACACTCACCCCCGGGACCTTGCTAGCCTGCACGCGTTGCGCAAATATACAATCATCTCTATCTCAAGATTTCGCTCTTAAGTTCCTCCCTCCAAATCTCAACACACCTTCGCCAGACTAGGCCCTCTCACATCCCCGCGCGGCATGCTGTACCGCACGATGTGCCCGTCAAGGTGAACAAGCTCGCGCTCGAAGCCCAACAACGCCTGGAGCCGAAGGCTCGCTTGTTAGCTTCAAGTTGTGGCGAATCGAAAAAGAAAGCAAGACCCAGCGATGAACCCCCACTCAAAGGGGCAACCGTCCTGTTAATCAACCAGCGTAGTAACCCAGAAATCCCATCATATTCCTGCCCCCCAAGCCCGAGAAGCGATCAAACCCCTTCAGAATTGCTTTTGTGACCCTGCCAAAATCCCTGCTCCAGCTGCCTCCAGTCCGCCTGAAGCGAGCCTGGAAGCAGCCGGCCCGCAGACCCAGGAGGTCAGATCCCTGACCCCGCAAATCCCTCCAAAAACTGTCCAATTCCCTGCGAAACCGATCAATCCCCTTTAAAAACCGTAGAAGTTGGCCCCTTCTAGAAGCCGATAGAAACCGGCCAACTTCCTCTCTCTGCAAAGACCGGAAACCGGTCAACTTCCTCCTCTGAAAGCCGGTCCAACTCCGGCCAAATCCCGCTCTAGAGAAACTGGTCAACACAGAAAGCTGGTCCAGCTCTGGTCCATTCCCCCTAGAAGTAAAAACCGTAGAAACCGGTCAAGCCCCCTCTGAAAACCCCATCAAACCCCCTAGAAACCAGCAGAATCTCTGCGGCTCTCGTTCTGGCCCCTGAAGCCAGATGGAATCGCACCGACATGCACCCACCCTCTAGCTTGGCCAGCAGCTCGCCATTTCAGCACTCATTGGCAACACTTCAAGGCAAACTAAAGCACAGTATATACCTCAAAGCCAGCCAGAAGCGGACTGGCCGAGGCGGGCAACGCGAAGCGTTTACAACAAACCAACAATCCACAACAGCAAATTCATGGTTGTTGTTCCAGGAGTTCGCAAGAGGGCACCTTCTCATGCAGGATAGGTACATTCTCAGAACAAGGAGAAATGGAGCCTACATTGAGTCTGCGACTGCTCAAAATACGGTGCCCCCAAGATGGAGGTAGGCAAGCGAGAGAGTCCTCGTACAGGCTGACGTGCACGTCGACCATCAGGTCGTCGCCCAAGCGCTTGAAGACAGGATGCTTCTTCACCTGGAGTCAGCTGCCCACTCAACAATGGTTTGGAGCCCGGTGGTTTAGTGCTTAGGGGTGGTTTCCCATTTATCCTCAAGAACCAGTGGTTCAAATCCCCAGTTCCCAGCATTCCAAACCACCAACTAGAGTACCTGAGACCAAAGACTGACTGAAAATGAGATCCCCGGCCTTGATGGTGATGAGGGCATCGCCTGTTCGCCAAGCACAAGACTCCGAATTAAACCATCAAAAACCTCCCGTGGGAGAAAAACCATTTGCCAGGACAAGAGGAAAGAGAACATCTTGCTTGAACCATGTTGGAAGCTGGAGGTGATGTGCTGTGGTACGCAAATATCTTATTATGCAGGTAGTTGTCCGCCCATTTGTCTTTCAAGAATCACAGTACTCTCTTGGGATGGGTTTAAAGGGAGATCAAAAGCAAGCCGCCCACTTTGGATGGATTGCCATTCTTGGGAAACAAATCCTTATGATCCTTCAGCTCCTTTCCGGGGCATCGTTTTTCATCGGCCTGGGATGTGCTTGGGGAGCTGGCTGCCCATGTTGGGAAACTGCGCCCGGTCCCCGTACCTCAGCCGGTCGGACTGCAGGAGTGTCAGGTCGAGGTTGAGGCTCCGACGCTGTGTGGGTCTGTCCTCTTTTGGGGTTAGTATCCTTCTCGGGCTTAGAATAAAAGCACGACCAAAAAAAACATCACCTACTTTAGGACATTCCATTTCTGGAGTTGGGGTGGACGAAATCTCCGAACCCCAAAAGCAACCCGCGAATGTGGGCGAAAGCATGAGCCAGGGTGCAAGGATGTGAGGTGCCTGCTTGAAAGGATGAAAACGACAGGGTGAGAAACACTAGGCACAGTTACGCAGCGATGCACATACCTGCTGCGCACACTGCATTGGGAAAGAGTCTTTGAGCAACTTCACACTTTACACTTGACACACCTGTACAATTCCCAAACAAGTACATTCAAACCCCATTATGGAGGGCATCAACCGGGCAAATAACTTCAAGGCTTTTTGCCACCTGCCAGCCTGCAAGAAATGAGTATTTTGTTTGGGCGACCAATTTCCTAACAGGAGAATGCTGTCAAACAGTCAACAACCCGCACAGACAATGTTGTTGCCAAATCCTTTGTTGCTCCTTTTCCAGCAGCACATATCTTTCCCACAATTTGGTTGGTTTTCAACTGCCTTCCCCCTGAACTTGTCTTTGTTGCACAGCGTGATTTGTCATTTGTTCTCGTGTGTTGCTCGTATGCTTGCCGCAAGGTGTGGGCCGGTCACAGCTGGATTGAGCAGCGCATGTTTGATCAATCCCCGTGTTTGTTCTGTTCCACGACGCTTTCATGTCGCCAGCCTCATGCACAAACTCTTCCACTTTTCATTGGGATTGCCCACCCTTGCAGAAACAAATGGCTCCGGAGATTCCTCCAACTTTGAGCCCAGGTACATCGCGCCACGCTCCAGCTGAAGATTGAGCTT